TAACAGTACCATGGTCCTTACCTGTGGTTCTCCACTGATGTCCAAATGACTAGCTCCTCCCTCTATAGCAGCTTTTACCATCATCTCACCATGAAAACGGTACTGAAAATACAAAATTCCTATAAAACAAGGCAAAGTGTTGCAAGGCATTCCATAGTCCCCCACTGGTAATGATTTCTATAATTAACATTCAGTACACTTACATGTATTTCAGGCGTTAGCTTATGTTCAAAGCATAGGTCATAGTGACTAACATTGTACTTTATGCACTTGCCATCCCAAGATGTCCTTGTACACTAAATCTGGTTACTCCAGGTGAAATAGTATAGAAGATATGCCCTGGACAAACTTCTTGGACAGACGGACACCCCCGCGCCATTCAGTCAGCTACCGTGAGTTCTAAAGCAATTCAAAGCGTTAAAAATTCTGGGTGCTGGAAGGTATCGGTTAAACTCCTGGGATCATGCAGAGACAACTTGCTCAATGAATACATGACAAGAAAACTATAACATCCATAAAGCTGTTTATGACATTGGGGCTAAATTCACATCAGAAGATATTTGAAGGCACCACAATTTATTTCCAGTCATGTTTGTTAAGTATCAAAAATATAACTACCAACTGAATAATAACCGCCATACAGAAAGTGACACATGACTATGGTAGCTATGAGGATGTATACAACTTTGAACTGATGGGTGAAAACAAGACTTACTGGGCCCACACAGTTGAGTATGACCTTGGCCTGTTTACACATCTCCACCATTGATGACTCGCTGGTTGTGTCGGCTATCAGGACTGGGATGGAGTCAAGCTCTTTACCTATTAAATAGATGATAAATATTCATGCGCAAAACTATGACATATCCAACGTGTCCCCGAAGTTGTGACCTGCATCCGAACAATTGGCAAACTCAGGTCACATATTGGCGAAGATGTACGATAACCAAAGTTTTTATATACTGTGTGTGTGGTTTTGTATATTGTTTTTGTCCTTTAGTTGTTCAAATATTTCATTTGACTCCAAAATAGCTGATGTTCCCATCCCAGACCAATACTAATCCAAGTTATAATTGTGGTAATGCACTACTAATCCACAGGCAATGGTTATATATAAGCCCATTGGGTGTATCTAAAATAAATCAATGAACAAGATCCCTTGATGTGCCTTCATTTTTACAACATTAAATATGACTCACTTTATTCAGGGATACTCCAGGTTAAATGAGTACCATATATTTCTTTACCCATACTTANCCCCCCCCCCCCCCCCCCCTCTCAATTTCCCCTAATGTCCTAATGCAGCCTATACTCCAACTGGAACCACACCCTTCTACTATACAACATACCGACACAAAGCGGATGACCCATGCTAAAGAAAGTTCGCAAACTTTCACTGTCATATAAACTTCAGGAGTATAATTTTCAAAATTCACATCGCCATGGCCCTATAACCATATTTCTGTCCCCATGGGGACCACATTTCTATTTACCCAACTTTAGTCGTGCATTTCTTTTTCCTCTCCTGTTCCAGTATTTTTTGGCAACGGTATAATGATAATATCATAAAGAAAACATTTGAACATGTAGAACAGTACTCATGTCAGTTTGTAGTTTCAGGGCTGGGCTACATTAGGTGTTTAAAAGAATTGTTAATCTAACCTGATAACATAATTGGCGTGGTTTGTGGATTATAATAAACACTGTATTTTGTTAATCTCTTTCAAAGATTTAGAAACAGAATGTAAACAGTATTTTTTCTATATATACTGAACAAAAAAAGAAACGCACAAAGTTCCCCCCCTGCAGTACACCTTAGCTGATTGATCAAGAACGATCTCCCTTCTCAACAATCTACCCTAAAATCAGCCAAGCATGACGATGTCATTGTGTGACTTTGTGAGCTTCTTTAGTCCAAATTACGTGGCGTGATCAAGCCAAGCCGGAGTTTTTCAAACAAATAATCTCAACGGATACTCTAAGTTCAGCCACATTAATTTTCCACGTTGGCATTTTGATTTCGCCATTGACCGAGATGCCACGCTTAACGCAAATTCAGAGGGGTAGAGCAATTGCGATGTTGATGGATGGTCATAGCCAAACTGCTGTCGCACGGCAGTTTGGTGTTGGCCCGTGTACAATTAACCGTCTCTGTACACGTTTCCGTGCTACTGGGTTAGTTTCTGATCGTCCCAGGAGCACGACAAGACATGGCGATTCGATTGTCGCATTTGCGCAACAGATTCAAGACTGCTGTAGAGACTGCGTCGCATACCTTAGGTACTCATGGCAGACCCATTAGTCCTCAAACTGCCAGGAACCGCTTGCATGCCGAGAGAATCATTGCGCACCGACCTTATGTCAGGCCACTTCTGACACCACAGAGGCGGTAAGTGCCTGGATGCACAGACATGACCCAAATAGGTTTGGGATGCGTCAATGGAGGCGTGTGATGTTCACCGACGAGTCTAGATTTTGTCTGTATCGCTCAGACGGAAGAAAAGGGTATATCGCAGATGCGGTGAGTGTTTCGCCGACGCATGCGTGGTTGAACGCGATAGATTCGGTGGGGCTTCTGTAATGGTTTGGGGAGGCATCTCCCATGGAGTAAAATCCCCTTTAGTGGTCCTGGATCAAAACCTCAATGCCATTCGATACAGAGACCAGATCCTCCAACCACATGTCCTTCCACTTCTCAGACGTCATAACCTAATTCTCCAGCAAGACAATGCTCGACCGCATGTTGCCAGAGTCTGTCGTGATTTTCTCACGGCAAACAACGTTCAGCCTCTGGAATGGCCCCCATATAGCCCCGACATGTCTCCCATTGAGCATCTGTGGGATGAGCTGGACAGGCGTATTAGAAAACGTCAAAACCCCCAAACTAACCGCGCCCAGTTGATCGCAGCATTAACACAAGAATGGAACAACATTCCCTTAAGGAGAAGAAATGTTCTCATGAATTCAATGCATAGGAGAATCCGTGCAGGGATTCGTGCAAAAGGTGCCCACACCAGGTACTGAAGTGTCATTTTGTTTATTGCGGGTATCCCACTTTGAGTAACTACTGATGACACGAGTGACGTCACACAGACTTTTCTTCTACAGTATTGTAAAGAGTAGACTTGTCCCTTCATATTGATATAAAACTTTGTACAAATTTCCCAAAATATCATAGGCTATTGATTGCATAATTTAATTGTGCGTTTCTGTTCAGTATAGTTCCTTGTAAACCCATTTCTCTGCATATTCTAGTTGCCCGGAAAACACCCTTTTTCTCTGTCCAAAAATAACCTGGACTTAGGTTTTTGAAGATTTTTTACTTTTTCATATGGGATTTTCTTCTAATATCAACCATCCTGTGAACTATGATTTTCTATGGCAAGCAGCAGTTTGAATATCTGTATGTATAATGTTGGTGCAGTTGCTCAAACAAGGAGTCCACTACTTATACTCTAAACAATAGGGGGTTAATCCTCTTTTGTTTATTTATTAGTAGGGTCTCCAGTCAGGTCAGTGATGAAGGCTCAACGGACTGTCTACCTTATTCGTATTGTTCTAATGTCACGGTGTGGTGATCACCCTGTCCGTTGAGAGAGGATAAACCGTCTGTTGGAATTACCTAGGTATATAGGTTAATTGTTATTTCAAAGGTAGAGTCCATTTCATGATAGATAAACCTGTATTTTCACCTGTGGTTTCATGTACACGTGATTACCAGGAGTGATTAATTATACCTGTTAAAAAATGTAAATTTCAAAGACAATAAAGCATCCACCTTAGCATCACGTTATCAGGTGAATAATAACCAGTGTTAGCCTGGTATGTATATATATCCTTTTTAACAGCTAGGTGTTGCCCTTGTACATATGCATGCATACAAATTCACAATAAAAGACAAACAGTCAAATCATAATTCATATTTATGACAAAATGAATTAATATTTAATTGCCAAAATGCTAGCCTTAACTACATGCACATGAAAGGCATGACACAAACATCAACACTTTTTAACCAAAAACCTACATTTTTACCATTGTTTCAGCAAATTTGTTAAAACTCGCTCCGCTCGGCCATCATAAAATATAATTACTCTGTTATAAAATATAACCTGGAATAATACTGCAAACTCAGAAAACTATTCTATGCCTTATTCAATCTGTTTGACAATGGAAATGATGTCCGATAAAGACTAGCTTTCTACGCTTGGCAGTGCTTGAACAAGTTTAGTATTACATCTTCAGAAAGAAAAAAAATTGCCTCGCTCTGCTCAGCAGGGAAATTATAATTGTCACAATCTCAGAAATAATGAAGTTCTATTTATTGTTTGGGGTCAGAAAGTAGTATACATGTACAACCGACATGACAATTATAATTTATTAGTTTTTTTGAGTCTTTTTCTGAGTTAAAATTTTTGGGCAACACCCAAAATTAATTCCTGGGTCCCCCCCTGAAGCATCATAATTGTTTTTGGCATTTTATTTCCATTTTCTGTAATTTGTCCATATTCCTTTGCCTTACATTATTGTGCCCATTTTAATTTGTATTCTCACGGACTTAGATAATCTAATTCCGTAGTATTCTCTGCGCATTTGCTTTTCTCCAAAATAGAATAAAGTCAGTGATCATATAGGCCTAGTTCCATCCACAATTTTTGAATTACTTTTCTGCAGAAAATATGAAAACCTGAGGTGAGATCAGTACCAAATTTAGTCAATTTAGTCTTCAGCTGTTCTTGATTAGTGGTCTTTTAAAGTTGACAACAGATGGAATCAGGTTGGCTGAATTTCAAAATGAAATTATATTCATGAAAAAAAGCATGCAGTCAATCATGCCAAAGGGGGTGTGGTTACCTGTCTACAACAACACGCCACAGTTTTTTTTTAATATTGGTTTTATTCATGTCAGTAAGTAATTAAGTTTTCAACTATAAATAGTCAATATGATTTTTTATTTAAACAATTTATAGGCATACCTGTCTTTTTAGATGCTTGTTCCAGAACTTTCTGCATTTTACCCATGGCCCTGCCGGCGATAGCCCACGTCAGACCTCGCTCTTCGTCTGCTATTCGGGCAACTTCCTCGACAACGAATTGCCCGGTGAAACCAGATGCGCCGAAGATGACAATGTCATACCTATCTGTGGCCATTTTTCCTTTCGACAATTACCTTACTAAGATGTGCTGCCGCACGAAATACGACGTTAAATTCTTGTCCGTTTGCCAAGCGTTCTGACTGGACTGCACCTGGGCCTGAACCTAAAAAAAAACACCTCAGGTTTACATCGCTTAAGCTCTCAACAAATAATTAAAAACGGTTTACAAATTTAAAGATTTATTGTCAATATACATCGTAAAATAGTTGAAAAGAAGACAGGTATATCTTGAAACCAAAGCTATGAGATGAAAATATGCTCTCTATCACAGATATAAACTTTGTTTTATTGTATTGACATAAGCGACCATATCCTGGGTTATTCTTTATTTCGCTTCGTTTCGCAACCGTCTTGAAAGCATGGACCTGTATGAAAATCACGATGATGGTCCAGGATTTGTGGGGATAAGATTTTGTAAAGAATGGTAAAATCAATATGTGTATATGTTAACGTTAAAAACACACTTATATTGTTGAAAATCAATAGTTTTTGACATGTAACCGTAGAACAGTACTGAAACCGTTTTGTTATTTATCAGGTTGGGCACAACGGCGCATATGGGTAATTACCCTGCATTTGGGTAACAGTTACCCATTTGAGTAACAATTGTATTACTGAAATGGGGAATAAAGTGAAATAAAAACACACAGATTTCCCGTCACCCGCCTGACCACCAGTTTAAACGGTTCTGTTTGTATCATTCTGATAATGATGTGTAAAAAACACCATTTCATTGTAAACAAAATAGCTTGCTGTGGAGAAGTGTCAGTGAGTGTAAAATAGCTGTTACCGCGTGAGCTACAAAGTAAAGAGTTGCAAAATGATCTAAAGATACTGCATGGATTACGTTGTGGAACCATTATTGCAGATGGAAATTATTTTAATACTAAATGTATTCCTCTGGATAGCCGGTAGGAAATTGAATAAAGCTGATGTAGAATTAAGCACAGTGGTGTTAATGTTTTGAATGTTAAGTATTTGAAATAAAGTATTTATCCTTTTATGTAGCCATGCAGAGACGTATATATTACAGAGAGTGGCCACTCACACAGATCTCGCAAAATCATGCATGATCATATTTTTCAGGCGCAGCAAATTAGATACTGTGCGAAACTTTGGTCGCGGTTCCAATAAATGAAATATTGTTTTAACGATATGTGTTCCTTCAATAATTATTTTTTATTTTTGTTTTGTACAGCAACAACATGTTGTACCCAAAAGAAGACAAAGAGAAGAGAATAATGGTTTACGCTGTAAGTGCTGATCAGTGATACGCATGATCTTGTATTGATTATGGTATAAATACCATATTGTCCACTTAATACCTAAATAATATACATTCAACATGATACATGTATTACATTCATACCAAGAGAGGAACACATGGCATGATGTTACCCGGTAGTAAACATATCAAAGGAATGTAATATCTTAATTACAGTGTATTTGTATTAAACTCATTAACCCTTTCACCCCTATGTAACTTTAGTAGACTCTATCAAGCATTGATATGGAGGGGTTCATTATGGTCTACAGTGGTGAAAGGGTTAATCAAAGTCACTGTGACATGTTGTCAGAGTTCATTATATGATACATCATCATTGGCATGGGGGTGGCAGTTTTTCTGAAAGTTGTTCTAAAACCCTAAAACATGTAATATTACTCTTACACCTTAGTTTAGGTCCAGATATATATATATAGCTGTAAGAAATTCTCAGCTGTCTGTGCTCTTATCAAGAAAGAAAAATAAAGAATAGAGAAATGCTAAATGATTATTGACTAGGTTGAAAAAAGAATGGTCATGCATGATTTAGGAATCTAGTTCAGTTGCATTATATATGTATATATGTGTGTATATATAAAAAACAAAAAACAAGAGTTTCTTCAACTTCCCTAGCGCTTTCTCCTGTTTAGAGGTTGCATATAAAACTGATGTTTGAAAACTTGCATTTTATGTGTGTATATATATATATTTAGAAACATTTTAAAAACAGTATAGCTAGATTGAGACTTTTTTCCTGAGTGATATTTTCATTGTTTCAGTGCAGAAACTGTGACTATCAACAGATTGCAGACAATCCTTGCATTTATGTGAACAAGATTACCCATGAAGTGGAGTAAGTACAGTGCTTATCTACTTTACAAAAGGACATGGAATTAATATAATGCAATTATGAATCTTTTGTAAGAAATATTTTCACAATAATTTTAAAAAGATGAACATCTATTTTGTTTTCAGCAGTAAATACCACATAATTATGTGCAGGAGAAGTGTTTTTTAGGAAATTCCTAAGCACCTATTAGATTGAGTTTGGTAAGCTGTATATTATCAGTCAGTTTAACTTACTTTTAAGACTTATCATACATGACTCTCTATTTCGATCAATTTTCCTGAAACTTGATGGGGTTTAGCACTGTCGCAATATTTATAATGTAGTTGTGCATAGTTTCTTTTCAGAAATTTTCCACGAGTTATTTCCCTTTGGGGGAGCATCTATGAGAACAAGCAACTTGTCTTTTAATTTGCATCTAATTTTATTCCAAATGATCAGGGTTTACCACTAATTCTAAAACATATTTTATTAGATAAGATTGTGCTGACTGTGATGCGGTGCTTGTCAAATGTCCATGTTACATTGTAAACCTGTAAAATTGTTAGGCTTACCACCAATCATATAAACAAGGAATATTGATCCTGCTGTATTTCTTTTATATTTGCATTGTCTAAGACACCCAGTTCTTTGAGAAACAGAGAGCACTTACATGGATGTGTGTATGTAGGGGGTGGGTGGGTATCACTAAGTCTATTGATTACAACTTCAGTTGATTCAGTTTCCATAATACAATAACAACGTCAATTTCAGGTGATAAAATCATTTAAGTATACAGATTCAAATTGTCAGACTGAATCATTAATAAATGTTGATAGAATGTTGCTGTATATTTCTAGTTCATTCTTAAAGGAAAAGATGGATTTATGTTTCAATTCTAGATATATTCATGTTAAATATTGTTGACATGTTCATTTTATCCGTGTAGTGAGTTGACACAGATCATTGGTGACGTCATTGCAGACCCTACCCTACCACGGACAGAGGACCATGTCTGTCCCAAATGCAATCACAAAGAGTCTGTGTTCTTCCAATCACATAGTTCAAAGGCTGAGGTATGTCTACTGAAATCTTGAGGTGGAGGTTGTACCATTCTTCCTCAGTTTGTATCCTTGGAGTCATCAGAATTCTGAAAGTATTTCCTTTGAATGTTATGGCTTATTAAAGCAGGTTCATCGTACAGGCTGTATACAGTAACTATTCTTACAATCCTTATGATACAAATGTTCAGCAAAACATGATCATCAAATCTCCCAAGTCCTGGGCATCAGGGTGATCAAGGTTTACATGAAAAAAAGAAGATTTTGTAGGTCGGGACCAAATATCTATGAGGTAGGAGAGGCATTCCACTCCCTCCCATTCAAGGTACCCGGTTCTACTTTTTGGGATGGGCTTGGTATTCCACTCATTTCAATGCAAGGTAACAAGGTTGTACAATCAGAGTTTGCAGTATATCATTATTACTCAATCCACATTTGTGAATGTTATCCAAAACAAATGTTAACAGAACCTGCTACTGTTGATTCATTGATTTTTGTGGATGTTTCTATTTCACTGATTTTGTAGGTGCTCTTAATCCACAAATTTATACGACAATGAATCTGTAGTATTGAAGCTACACATACAAAGCAAGGTGTCCGTTAGAATCAATTATTGCTAAATCTTTCATGCCTCTTGTCTATTTGAACATTCTCCAGGATCAGGAAGAACATTAGGCAGCTGCATAGATAAGGATTTAAATTTTCAATTTCCCAGTTTGTAACCTATGATAGGTTGGAGGGACCTAGGCACTTGCATTTGGATAGGGATCAAGGAGGGAATAAAACATTCCGCAGATTACGTTTCAATAGTGCAATAATACTGACATTCGTTTTCACTTTCCAGTTCAAATGACACTTTTTTTTTGCTGATTTTGTGGGAAATCTTATGCATGAAATTTTATGTACCTACAAAATGGTGTGTTTTCAGGTAACCAGAAATAATTTCAGTCTCATTAAAATATCTCAATAGTATATAAATACTGAAGATCAATGTAAAGAATACTAAATTTAGTGTTTTTGTTTTACAGGAAGGGATGCGACTTTACTACGTGTGTACAAACCAGCAGTGTGTTCACCGGTGGACAGAATGAATGGATATTATCATTTTATTGCCTTCAGTTAAGATGCTAGAAGGAAGGAAAAGATAAAGAAACATGGCAGTGTGCAAAGAAAACAATTAGTGAATCATGGGAGATTATCCAGGTGCCATGTTCATATTCCTGTAAACTTTGATTTTATAACTTTAATTATGTCTTGATTACACATTATGTCATTACAGTTTGGTGAGAATCTGTATCAGTAGATTAAGAGAGTTGAATGTGCGAGAATGAGTGAAAGTTCATCACATATTTTTTTTTTAAAGTAACAAAAATAAACAAGATTATCTAATGTGCAATTTTTTGTTATCTTTATGAAAAGCACTGTCCTGCCATCTATCCAACTATAATAGGGATAAACTAGCTTGTCCTTCAGGGGCAATGATCTTGATATGGACTCTACTCATCCAGTGTAGAAAGTTTGGCATAAATCCTCATCCAGACATTTACTCGACAAGTGTAGAATTTCCCAGGGATGTTGTCAATAATATTTCCTCTCATCCAGTGTAATAATTCTGGTGTATGTCATATCGTCTGTCAACTCATCCAGTGTAATAATTCTGGTGTATGTCGTATCATCTGTCAACTCATCAAGTGTAATAATTCTGGTGTATGTCGTATCATCTGTCAACTCATCCAGTGTAATAATTCTGGTGTATGTCATATCGTCTGTCAACTCATCGAGTGTAATAATTCTGGTGTATGTCATATCATCTGTCAACTCATCAAATGTAATAATTCTGGTGTATGTCATATCGTCTGTCAACTCATCCAGTGTAATAATTCTGGTGTATGTCATATCATCTGTCAACTCATCAAGTTCACACTTGTAGAAACTATCGGTACATAACTGATGAATGAACTGATGGTGGAGGCGTAGTCTGTTCATATTGATGAATGAACTGATGGTGGAGGCTTAGTATGTTCATATTGATGAATGAACTGATGGTGGAGGCTTAGTATGTTCATATTGATGAATGAACTGATGGTGGAGGCTTAGTATGTTCATATTGATGAATGAACTGATGGTGGAGGCGTAGTCTGTTCATATTGATAAATGAACTGATGGGGGAGGCGTAGTCTGTTCATATTGATGAATGAACTGTATGTCATATCATCTGTCAACTCATCAAGTTCACACTTGTAGAAACTATCGGTACATAACTGATGAATGAACTGATGGTGGAGGCGTTGTCTGTTCATATTGATGAATGAACTGATGGTGGAGGCGTATTCTGTTCATATTGATGAATGAACTGATGGTGGAGGCTTAGTATGTTCATATTGATGAATGAACTGATGGTGGAGGCTTAGTATGTTCATATTGATGAATGAACTGATGGTGGAGGCTTAGTATGTTCATATTGATGAATGAACTGATGGTGGAGGCTTAGTATGTTCATATTGATGAATGAACTGATGGTGGAGGCGTAGTCAGTTCATATTGATAGATGAACTGATGGTGGAGGCGTTGTCTGTTCATATTGATAGATGAACTGATGGTGGAGGGGTAGTCTGTTCATATTGATAGATGAACTGATGGTGGAGGGGTAGTCTGTTCATATTGATAGATGAACTGATGGTGGAGCCGTAGTCTGTTCATATTGATAGATGAACTGATGGGGGAGGCGTAGTCTGTTCATATTGATGAATGAACTGATGGAGGAGGCGTAGTCTGTTCATATTGATAGATGAACTGATGGGGGAGGCGTAGTCTGTTCATATTGATGAATGAACTGTATGTCATATCATCTGTCAACTCATCAAGTTCACACTTGTAGAACCTATCGGTACATAACTGATGAATGAACTGATGGTGGAGGCGTTGTCTGTTCATATTGATGAATGAACTGAAGGTGGAGGCGTAGTCTGTTCATATTGATGAATGAACTGATGGAGGAGGCGTAGTCTGTTCATATTGATAGATGAACTGATGGTGGAGGGGTAGTCTGTTCATATTGATAGATGAACTGATGGTGGAGGCGTTGTCTGTTCATATTGATAGATGAACTGATGGTGGAGGCGTTGTCTGTTCATATTGATGAATGAACTGATGGTGGAGGCATAGTCTGTTCATATTGATGAATGAACTGATGGTGGAGGCTTAGTATGTTCATATTGATGAATGAACTGATGGTGGAGGCTTAGTATGTTCATATTGATGAATGAACTGATGGTGGAGGCGTATTCTGTTCATATTGATGAATGAACTGATGGTGGAGGCGTATTCTGTTCATATTGATGAATGAACTGATGGTGGAGGCATAGTCTGTTCATATTGATGAATGAACTGATGGTGGAGGCTTAGTATGTTCATATTGATGAATGAACTGATGGTGGAGGCGTTGTCTGTTCATATTGATAGATGAACTGATGGTGGAGGCGTAGTCAGTTCATATTGTAAGCACCACAGTGATTTAACCTTTGAATCCTTACAAGAAAGGGTATCAGAATCTACAAGTGGTATGAAACACTAGCATCGATGCATGCATGTGGATACATTATGTAAAATCTTCATTTGTTAAGAACTTTTGTCAACAAAAACGATCAGTAAAACTGATATTTTATGCTCCTGAATGGTTATCGAGATTGAAATAAAGTTTAGGGTGCAGGCAAGCATATCGCTTATTGGATGTTATATATATACACTGCCTTCCCATCCTACATATATCTATAACATTTCTGGGCTTTCTTCAGCGAATTGGAAGGTCTTTGACCTCAATCTGACCTTGACCATACAGCCCCAATAGTGGTATGTGACAACATCTTGCTATCTTAAATACACCTCTAAAATTTTATTGAACTGTCTTTGACACATCAGAAGTTATGGCCCAGACAAACATTTTGGACAGATGGACAAAGTGTCAACTATATGCTCCCGGAATTTATTTTTTCATGGAGCATAAAAAGGAACAGTTGACCTTGGCAACAACTAGTGACCTTGGCAAAATTTTCAACTTTGTCAGGACTTTTATCTTAAGGACATGGACTTTTCAATAATCTTAGAAAACAATGCTATCCAGACGAAATTATATTAAACGGTATTCAAAGAGCTAAGAAGAAGGGTCCGATTTCAGTTAACAACCCAAATAGCGCCAATACAAGTCAAAAGGATATTATAACGTTCGTTACAATATTTAACCCGAACAATTTTAACATGTTTCCAATTAAGAAAGTTCACCAAGAAATTTTAAAGAATAGCAAAAAAATGAAGTGTCTTAAAGAAGAAGAAAATAATTAATTGCAAAAGACAACCAAGGAATCTGAAACGTTTATTGCGAGTCAAAATGATGAGAAAATAAATGTAAATTACAGCACGAAAAAGTGTATGACACTGAGATGTGGAACATGTAGTATGATTGTTGAATGTAACTTGTTTGTTTTTAAGAATGGCAAAACATTTCAAATGAGATGTAATATGAATTGTAAATCAAGAAATGTAATACATCCTGTAATTTGTAAGAGATGCTCTGAAATTTACATAGGTCAAACTGGAAATGAACTACGTCAAAGAATGGCAGTCCATCGTCAACAAACCAAATCTGATAGTTAACTTATCAATTTACCGAATGAACACATCAGATACTATTGTAAGAGTTAAAAGAGAACATGTTTATTAAAACTCTAAATCCAGGCTTGAACGCGAGAAATTTCGAGCACCTCTTATACATGTTTGGATGAACTAAGTATTGTGCTTTGAAATTTATTTTTACTATCAGATGTTTTTAACTTTTACTATTAAACAATGTATTCATTTGAGCATTTCTTTTTCCATATATTTCATCGACACATTTAGTGCAAGTACATTTTCGTAATCTTTTTAAGATGTCACAATTTCTAGATGTCCGCATTATGTGTATTTCGTTTACAACGTCTTACCATGGTAAGTAGGTGTACTCCATTTATGACGTTACAATTAAATTTAAATAAGATGGGCGAAAGCGCTAGCCGATTAAACTAGCCTTCGTGTTTTGTTTTATTTATTTATATAAAGTGTCATCTACAATAACCTATTGGTTCAGAAGTTATGTTCTAGACAGACAGACAATTCCACACCATAATATACACGGAAGACAAGCATATATAAAAACACAACACAAAATAAGAAGATTTCATATTTATTGATGGATCGGGTATATTTCATATTTTTTTATATTCATATTTAATCATGTAATTCCTTACATACAATGTAATAATAATACACATAGCATTAGCTTACCAAGTCAGAACAAAAGCTGATTTCATCAAAACTTATGCCATATTCCCAAAACCATCATATCTATTCTGCAGAGAAAGAACACGGGAAACGAGTACCATTCTGTGTAACTTTTTATTTATTTATTCTGGATTCGAGAAGAAAAAAAAGTGTATGCATAAATTCTGGTGACACCGTTTTACTTTAACAATACCTGAACCGTAAACCGTGCATAATTGAAAGTTTGTTACAAAATCATTAAGATATATATTCATAATAATTACTACAAATATTGAACTTTCACAAGTCTTAATCAGTGTTAACATTGGACGTTTATTTTATATCCACGTATGACAGATGATCCTCGGCCGTTACACATCCTCAACAGAATTCAGTGTGGGATAACTTATTTCATGTTTTCAGACCAGAAAGGCCCAGGTCGGGTGTAACAATGATCTAAAACAGGGCAGCAAAATGAATAAAAATTCAAACTGAATACAGAAATAAATTGTATAAAGCTTTGATGACAGTGAACGTGATATAATAGAGAATGTCATGAAACGTTTTTGAGTATAGATTGTATAAACCGACATCTTTCTACATTGTATTTGGAGAAGACTTATGATAGAAATGGTACACAGGATTGTTTTGTGTGCACAAGATCAAAACGTTTTGGGGCAAAATACTGAATACAATTAAATAATGCAGACTGAATTTTTCCTTTTCAAAATATTGGTTTGGTGATAAAAACCAGATTACCAGGCCATTGAAATCAAAACAAAAGGACATCTGAATTAAATACAACCTTGTATTACCTTATTTCTCATGAAATTTGATATCACATGAAATGACAATAAATGAGAACAAAATGACTAGTTTCAAGATTAATTTCCAGCAAACTAATATAACTAACAACTAAGTAGTAATCCATCTATATATAAATAATAGTAACATAAACAGATCAGTAATAGTGATCTGAAGGCAAACAAACAAAAGCACAGTGTCTTGGTCAAGTCATTCTACCGCCCTTCCTTCAACAAGCTACACTACATTGCAGCTGAGCTGTGTATATGTAGGTAAGCTATATCTGAGTAGGCCCTCATCTTAATGAGCCAACTCCCTCATCCTCCTCCTAGTCCCAACAATAACAAAGCATCCACTAAACAGCTGTACAACATAACAATAAGCCAGTGGGTTGCACACCAGAATTCAGCAGCCTGTCACCAGTCAACAAGGCCTGCCCTTGGTCCGGTTATTGAACATAACTGTCAATGCTTACAATCAACAAATACAAAAAAAATCATACCATGTCATATATATGGTACGAAGTCGCCAAATTCCCAATCAACTACAGAATGTTAACACACATACAGCTCCTACAGGTAGGAAAGCCTGTACAGCATCAAAGTGTTATTTCATACATAATCCACCTAAGGTACTGTTTAACTAAACCCTTTTCCAGATAATCACTAAGAGTAACAAATTATTTATTTCATCTGGACGAATCAAAACAATAAATCAGAACACCAAAAAAATACTGGTATCAATAAGGAAGCAGCTACACCAAAAACAGGAAGATGGCTACCTCTGTAAATTGCATATTGATGGGCTAAACATTTACAGCAAACAAAAACCTAACAAGACATAATAAAGCTTTCTCTTCTCGGTCATCCAATTTATCATGCCGTGATGACAATTCAGTCCATCAGTCAAAACTCATATAAAAACTTGATCTTAATCTAACCTCCAAAAACAGAATTGAATTGGCAATCCAATCAATCATCATGGGCCAGGATAGAATATTGCCGGCTTTATATCCATGTATTTTACCCAACATTGAATGTACATATCCAAATCAATTATCACTAATGCCAGGACACAATGTTGTTGAGATTATGACACAATCAGCTGTCATTGTTGTTACATAATGCACAGAGAGCCTAGTCTTGAACACGAACACAACTATGTAAACCATATAAAATCGAATCAATTTTAAAGATCTGTGCATCAAAATTTTGAGGATCTTTAAATCAAACAAAAATAGTAACAAATATAAATTGTATTTCGTGTCGAGTGAGAATTTGTGACTTGATCAGCAGTAATATTAAGCAATTTTTTATAACCACGAACGGAGAGACAGATCATTAACAATATAATTCTCTTTTGTTTTACTATACATAACCAAAACGTTTCTTCATACACAGAAGAATTGAGAATTCTCTCTGTGGCAAGACATTTCTACCGAGATAGAATATTAAACTCAACTGTTTCTGGCAAAAGACCAAAACTAGCTCTTACCAAGTATTATCCAAGTACTGTATCAATATTACTTGTACATAGCACCCTCAACTCCAGAATCACTTTAATAATAAATCACATAATTTGTAAATGACCTGATCAGAAGTCAGTAACCAAAAAAAATGTAGCTATTTAAAATTATATCACACTGAAAATTATCTTGAGCAGTCCCTAAAACCACAATACTGGTGAAACAAATGTACCAACAATCTACAACAATGGCCTATGTAGCAACATAAGTAGTTTGTGATGTGAAAGGCAACTCTGTACATAGGTATTTCTGTTAACAAGGGCCTACTATGGATGTGGTCATGGACTGGAGCACCAGTGTGTACTGAAAAAGTGGGAATCTATGTAGGATTCTTTCTTTCGCATTTTGACTTTTCAAATGTGAAACATATTGCATATGTTCATGCCAATTTAGTGAATGTAAATCACTAGCAATACTGACGTTCATCATAGATATTTGCCTACACCTCACTGGGCCTGTGTAGACCAGAATATACCTTCAATCACATAACTCCTGCTGTACAAGCCTACATCCACTAGTAACAGAGTATGTAGGGGCAATAACTCTGTATTCATCAAACTTTTAGGAAATATTTAATTAATAGTGTTTTTACTCCAAGCTATGCCAACAAATAATTCTATGATATATTAATTCTAGAACTTATAAAATATTATTTTACTTTTAAAAGCAATAAATCACAGTTAATCAAATTTCCAAATTCATTTATAAATATCACTGCAATCAATAATCAGCAGGAAGTAATTAAATTAATTTGACAAAAACAATTTTCTAATTTTATTAGAATTCAATGCTTTTAATAAATATGATAATGTACCTCAAAAATAAGTTACCGATAATAACGTAACATAAAACTTGTGTTTATAATTTACTTTTATTTACACAAAACATTATTGATTCTATTTCCAGTGGCAAGATACCACTGTCCAACAGCACTCGATAAAGGAAGATTTATAGTATTCCAAATATAAAATAATGCTACCTGCTTACGTGTTCCATACCCAGTAGTACAATAAAGCTATGTATTATAAATGGCATTCATGTTAAGTTAAAAACTGATCCAATTTGTGACGAGCTCTATAAAACCTATTCATATTTCATACAAAATTTGATAAACCTAAAAGTCATGTTCAAGATCATCCTATCATATAGAAATGATCATGTTTCTTTTGAATTATTTATTTATAACAAATTTTCTTTCATGAGTTCACAACCCAAATATGCATATTAAATTGGCACATGTTTATATTGTTTACGTACACACAACACATCACATAGGGTAAGCCATATCATGGCAGAGAAACTAAAAGAGGAAGTGGTTGGGTTCTCCCTTCCCTTCACCCAGACACAGCACAGAATCACCAGTACACAACCTCCAGTGCAAGGGTTCTGGGCCAGAGGGTTTCAAATTAAAAGTATATCTAAACTGTACACATATTGAGGAGATCCGTGCGACTTCGTACGACTAAGAAAAGTCATAATGCCCGTTCATATACCTGGGTATATGGACATTTTTAACAACAGAGTACCTAATATTCACAAAAGTTTATCATTTTAGTTCAGATTTTGTTTCCTAAATATTTATTATTTCAAAATCAAAACCTACAAAAACAGTTTTTGAGGCACCAGTCAAAATAAAATGTAAACAAACTATTTGTCAATGAATGACCACATGGTGTCATGGTCCTCTACTACACATCAACCTAGAAAACTCAGCAGGGGGGTGGCCAGCTTGTTTAAAGTAAACAGAACAAATATATAATTATTGCATGATTTGTCTTTATCAGGGAGCAAAACAGAACTTGGTTAGAACACCTTTACAAAGAAATATTGCAGACCTAGGTGTTGGGAGACGCATGTCATGTCCAGAATAACCATCCAACCAACACATCCACTCACACAGGTAACAGTATATTTATCTATAGTATATATATTGAATTTCACATATAAGTCAACACAGATTCACTCTTAATCATTTCAATGACTTGTGTAAAAATAATATGATCATGATGTTAAGAATATGTTCTCAGCACTACTTTAGTTTGTTACTTCATTTTTAGGGGATACAGGTGGTACATGTACTGGCATTATTATAAATTGCTAGAAATATGTAGATGTATATCATGATTTGATGGAATTTTCTATGTTATTGTATAGTTATAGAATATCTGTTGTGAAGTTCATGGGTTGCAAATATGATACAGGATTGTCCTAATAACAAAATGAAAATGATAAAAAACAGAAATGCTTGTGAACTTAAACAATTCGAGAACATAATCAAAATGGCATGGTCAACAAAAACAGCTGTTCATCATCTGAAGCACTTCAGTTGTGTAGAACTCTGTCCTATCAATTAATGGACGACCTTTACTCTGGACGACTTGTACTCCACACTTCAGATAGATTTGTCTACTCTGACTGATGTGTTGTACACAGAAACTTTAAAGTCAATATCTCTTCTTTTCTCCTTCCAATGTCACTTCCTGATGCGTCTGGTCATAATTTGGTCCGCACCACACGATTGTTACACTGATGTTCCCAGGTCATTCCCTTGAGAGGACGCCTGAAATAACACGTATCAGTTATTAGGAAATGCCAACAATGACCGTATTCATGCTGAACCAGATATAATGGGGGAAAGTCTTCAAATTAAAGCCAAACTCTGTGATAGGATACCAGTTCATCTGGTTACAAGTATACCCTTGATGCCTGCCTTGTTTATGCACGAGACAGTACTGTAGTTGTGTTACAAATTTTACAGATGCAATGGTACCAAAAATGTTAATATAGCAAAAACTGTAATCAATAATCTTACATAAATATACCAGCTTGTGACCAAACAGCTGTCAGAATTTAACTTTTTAGATGATATTACTAATAAGTTATGGTGGGGATAATATTTGGCATTAGAATGACAAAGGGTCAGACCTCTGTATATTTTCTCTATAAAGCAAAGGAGTGAAGCTCTGGACAAACTTTGGTATCAAAAAATGCAAAGGGCAATAACTCTGTATATAGATAGGCATAAGACCTGACTATAGTAGTCAACACTCTACCTTCCCAAGATACAGAATGTTGTCAAGTGTAGGTGAAATATAGATTCTCCAAGGAGTGATGGTTGGTTATTATGTTTATCTAACTCAAGTTAGTAAATTTCAAATTGTAAAAGACTATTTATGATGTCCAGCCAGCCCACATCATACCATAATGCATCCCTTCATAGTTGGGCACATACAAATTAAATTTTCAAAATGCTCCTCTTTAAGGAGAAATTATCTGATAGCACTTGTCAGATAAATACAATAATTAAACATTAAGTGTTATTTTTATATAAATATAACACCAGTGTGGTTGGATCAAGATCATCAGTTAACCTCTGTGTAGCTGTAATATCATTTTTCCTGAAGGATCTATACAATGTAATTCAACATACATGTATGTATATATAAATGTTTTTATATGTATTTAATGAACAAACCAAAGACAGTTTTGGTTACATTATATTAGGATGCATATGACACTTCAAAGTTAGCTTTAACACCGAGTGTTTGTTAGTAAAATGATATAAAAATATCTACACTGAAATCTTGTTAATTATACAATTATTAGTCATTGTTAAGAACATGCAAGCATATGCATTAAGACACAGAAACAAGTGCAGTGTGATGGAGAATTACTGAGCTAGTGAAGAGTAAAGCACTGAGAATGGTTTAGTGAGCCCCAGCTTCTCCAGGTACATGTTTACCCAGTAGTGATGAGGAGTGATGGAGGAACCTCTACCAATAGGTAACGATGACCAACGCCAGCAGATGTAATGATGACGACAAGGATGCATATGATGATTACCAGGAGGATTGGTATTTTTTTCAATCCACTTTTTACCTAAGCCAATGAAACCTGAACATTTTAAAATCTTAATAACCCACATACAACACCCCTCCCACTTCAATAACTATCGTGAAACCTGGCCATCCCTGTGATGGTGTGAGTAAACCTTGGTAATGCTGATGGGGTGAGGTGACACATGATGAGGTGCCTTGTAGGCAGTAATTGGGGAGACAGTACTCACCATTACACCTAATTGAGCCTGGGGAGCGAATGACGGGAGAAAAAAGGATGGCATCAATGTTAGCAACAACACTCAACAAGCTATCAAAAACACTAATCTACAGTTTTACAACATTTTATCTAGATATACATTGCTACTCTACAGGAAGTCTACAAAACTTGGAAAAAATGTCAAATGCAGAACAAGTTTATAAAAACGACATCTTAGTATGATAAATTATCCCTGAAGCAGATCTAGATATTTTTGTTTTAAAATCAACTTCATCAGAAAGGGTAAATTTCAATTGCATTACTACATAATGTAAAAGTAAGCATTAGCAAAGCTTTACAAGACATTTATTTTTATTGAAAGCACACAGATACTAGACCTTGAAGGAAAACTTAAATTTCTTTTGTAATACAGAGTAAGGTACGCAGCACAAACTCAAAATAAATTAGTACATTAGAACTGCATGCTTAAGGTATAGCATAAGTCAAAATTAAAACACAACATGTTATTATCAGTCATTCAAACTAGGAAAAATGCAGATAACTGGTTTCTATTAAATACAGACTGCATAACAAGAAATTTTATACGTTTTTTTCTTTCTGATTTTGCCCATAGCTCAACAATATATTTTAGAAGTCAAATCTCAGTAGAAGCAGCAACGCAGCAACTTTTACGCCGGTTTTATAGAATTTTAGAAATTGTAATCATTTTCACAAACATTTCTTGATAATGCAGTTTAGCCACACTCTTTCATCCCTAAATTTCACACAGGAATCAACATTTATATGTAGTACATTTTCAAGATGAAAATGAAACTTTGTGTGTGTTTAGGAGTGAACGAGGTGAGAAAGAGTTAGGGGGTACACATCTAGTAAAAGTCAGGCAGTAAAGGTTTCACCTGTACATCTGTCTACTGTGAGTCTGCCTGAACCTAGAGGACACAAGTATAGTATTTACTCCCACACACTTCTATAACTAGTACACAGGATCAATATCAACATTAATTTCTGGAGATATTACATTAGTAACTTCTATAAGGACGTGAATACAGAATCATATGTAAAGTATCAGCTGTTAAGAGAAATCTCTGTCCTCATTATTCTAATATTACAATGAAACCAATTGAATGACGTCATATTTAGGGATAGTCATGATCAATGCAACAGCTGACTTTATAACCAAGACTGGCAGTAGACTTATGCATAATAATTTGTACCGAGACTGGGGGAAAAGATGATAACATTACTTTTTAAAAAGGAATTTACAGAGGGAATGATAAAGTCTAATAGTCTTTTATAAACTTAAAAGAATAAGTAGCACTAGTTATTGCCCAAGAGTCGGAGTGCTAGAGTGTATACAGTGAGATTATATGATAGTTCTAAAGATGTTGTCTTCTACTTAGAAGTTGAGAAAGAGAGGTTGTCAAAGCACACACTAAGGCTCTTTATATTGATATCACTTCTGTAAAACCAAGTCACATCTACATCGCCCAACTTTTTGTATCATACTGTACACATCTACACCAACTGAATTAATCCTGGCTCTCTTGATCATCATTATTGTCACATCTACACCAAGTCACAATGACTACTGTCTACATGATTAATCAAACCCTACTGGATACATTTACATCAGGTCGCTCTGACTTTCTCGGTCTACATCAATAACTTAACCCCACTGGATACATCTATACCAAGTCGCTCTGACTTTCTCGGTCTACATCAATAACTTAACCCCACTGGATACATCTACACCAAGTCGCTCTGACTTTCTTGGTCTACATCAATAACTTAACCCCACTGGATACATCTACACCAAGTCGCTCTGACTTTCTCGGTCTACATCAATAACTTAACCCCACTGGATACATCTACACCAAGTCGCTCTGACTTTCTTGGTCTACATCAATAACTTAACCCCACTGGATACATCTACACCAAGTCGCTCTGACTTTCTCGGTCTACATCAATAACTTAACCCCACTGGATACATCTACACCAAGTCGCTCTGACTTTCTCGGTCTACATCAATAACTTAACCCCACTGGATACATCTACACCAAGTCGCTCTGACTTTCTCGGTCTACATCAATAACTTAACCCCACTGGATACATCTACACCAAGTCGCTCTGACTTTCTCGGTCTACATCAATAACTTAACCCCACTGGATACATCTACACCAAGTCGCTCTGACTTTCTCGGTCTACATCAATAACTTAACCCCACTGGATACATCTACACCAAGTCGCTCTGACTTTCTCGGTCTACATCAATAACTTAACCCCACTGGATACATCTACACCAAGTCGCTCTGACTTTCTCGGTCTACATCAATAACTTAACCCCACTGGATACATCTACACCAAGTCGCTCTGACTTTCTCGGTCTACATCAATAACTTAACCCTAGTGGATATATTTACATCAAGCCACTTTGACTTTCTCGGTCTACATCAATAACTTTACCCTACTGGATATATCAATATCAAGTCGCTCCGACTTTCTCGGTCTACATCAATAACTTGAACACTACTGGATACATCTTCACCAAATCCCTACGGCTCATGGGCCTAAATCATTAATCCAACCCTGTTACGTATACTAGAAACATCTACTTGAAATATCTTCATCAAAGTCATCCTGCAGTTGGCTCTCCAGATTTATTTTCTTGCTATTTTCTCTTATTACACTGAACCAATGTATACAAAATTAAACTGGTGCTGTATAGATGACCTACTAGTGTTGTACATAAGACCAATGTCCCCACACTAACTACTAGGAGGCTAGACTCCAGGGTCAGGAGGCTAAGGACCACTCACCAGTCTCTGGGACAGCTGTTTCTTTGCTATCATCTCCTTTTCCAGCTGTTTTTCCTTCTCTTCAAGTTTAGCTCTCAGCTGTGAGAAGTTAAATAGAGTGCATTTTGGTGAAATTTGTGACAAACCCAGCCATAAAGATTATACATCCTCACAGAGTTGCAAAAGATGTATTCATTGTTGCAGTATGCAAGTTATGTTAACTCATGTGTCGTTCACAGTCATAGCATGCAAACAAATTGTAACAAAGTGCTATTTTATCAGGCTTAATTCTACCATGCCAATACATATATTGTGTGACTTACCTGTTCTACTTCACTGCTTGGTGATGCACCATTTGACCCCTGTAACACGAAACCATCAAAGCCATCAACATTCCATATCCAAATACATTCTCAACTATATGGAAGATTTCGTTTTCACATAAAAAACAAACCTTTAACAATGAAACTAAAGTATGAAAGTCTCCCAATAATTCTCCATGGTTTTTTTTCTGAACAACAATTTCAAAATCATTGTAATGATATAGTGTTCCTAAAGTAAACAATGTTACTGATACCACAAAATGTGTCGTAAAAGTTGTGCAAGAAGTGCGACAAGAAAAGTTCCCATCAGACTACCCAAGTCTATTAAAGCACCATTGGAATATATTTTTTTTAATATGCAAAAGTTGCAATAAAACCTAACAGGGTACTACTACAATTTTACTAAAACTAGATTCTTCAAAAAGTTAGTGTGAAACACCAAATAAGGATAGTGACATTAGTATATGACAAACGTTATTCTCTGTATCTTATTCTAATACACAGTGCTGTAGGCTTGGACATTTTTAATGCAATATAACAATATAACATGCAAACTGTTGCCTTCCATCCTAACTGGGTTTTTTCAAAGACAGCAGGATATCCTAGACCAAGATGTACCTTGCTTTTCTCCATTTCAATCTTGAGTTTATCCACCAAGGCTTGCTCCTGCGCCAGGGAGTCCTGACCAGTTTTTATAATGCCATTCAGTCTCACATTGGTTGTTGCTAAATTTTTTGCTTTTTTATTTTCTTCTGCTAACAACCTCTTTAGTTCTTCTATTTGCTGTTAATTGTTAAAAGAAAGAAATTTGGTGATATCTATAACACTTATAAAAGGATTAATACTTTGCTATGAAGTCTATTTTGTTTGATCATGAAGCATTTCCTAGAAACTATAGAATGTCTGTAAGACATGTGTGCAGTATTGAGATGGAAATCTTATTTCGTAATAAATCCAATCACAAATGAACAGCAATCACAACAACCTAAAGACTTTTACAATCACCCTTGTCTGATCAAACAGATATTGCCAGATAAGAAACTAGAATTATGTCAGTGTGACATTACAGCCGCTCACCACTTTAAATTTAATTGCTTCAGTGACACGTTGAGCATAAAAATCTACTATAATAACTCAGATATGTGTTCTGTATTCTGCTAATTGAAAATCAGGTCATCTGATGATGTTGCGTTTAGGATTTTCAAAATCAATCACCTCTTAAATGATGCCTTAAAAACATTTCTCCCTCTTCTCTTTTTTCACCCTCTTTAAGTGTGACGCATTGCTGTAATTTTCATTAATTAGCATCCTCCAATGATGTGACATGAGCGTTTACGTGCAGAATGGCAATCGGTGAATGGATAATAAAGAATAGGTGCATTTGTTGCTTGTGAAATGAAGGATAATTAACAGTAGTGGGAAAACATGCATGGAGAAAAGAGACATTGTACTCCTTTTATTCATTTTTTTTTTTCTTCATATTAGTGAAAATTGTTAATATTTGTAGCGACTATATTTACCGTCATTGAATATACAAAATCTCACAAATGTTCTTGGAATATATTTGAATTATATTTCCCAATGCGACTTTACCAACGTAAGAGTTATTTCCCTTACACCCAATTGCGCACGCATCCCGAACGGAAGTGGGTCCGACATTTCGTTCTCTGGACAGAATTAATAAGCCAGTCGGCTCTCGCCAAGAGCGGCTTAAAAACAGTAAATATGATATCTTACATTTAGGGCATCAACTTTAATAGTTCTGTCTATTTTCTTTGTAATTTTTTTTCAAATGTGCACCTCACAGAAATTTGACATGTTGATACCAGAAATATTTTATTTACTGCTAGACTCATTTCTTTTGAACACTGTTTTCCAGTTTTACTTGTTAGATGACAGTAATATCAACGGTGCCAGTATGTGAGGCTACTGATGCTACATGACAATGGTGCAATACAGACAGACCAACACTATAATGAACACTGTGGGACAGGCACCATTATCAGAAATGTCTGACAGTACCACAAGTTTACCAAGATTGAAACTGTGACCATGTTCTTAGGGGGAAAGGCTAAAACATCATGATACTGAACCTCTGTCTGAATATTAGTGGAAATCTGCCCACAAATGATATGTATACTGCCTTAATAGAAATCTGCCCACAAATGATATGTATACTGCCTTAATAGAAACCTGCCCACAAATGATATGTATACTGCCTTAATAGAAATCCTGCCTTGATAGAAATCTGCTCACAAATGATATGTATACTGCCTTAATAGAAATCTGCCCACAAATGATATGTATACTGCCTTAATAGAAATCTACCCACAAATGTTATGTATACTGCCTTGATAGAAATCTGCCCACAAATGATATGTATACTGCCTTAATAGAAATCTGCCCACAAATGATACACAATACATACTGCCTGTAATGATGCTGTGATGTGTTTGATATCGGGCAAAATCTCTCACTGTTCATGTCATGATGTGATTGTAAATTGGGCTTTTATGTCATGCTATAGAAGTGATCTATGATAAACCTATGTAAGGGCTATTCCAGAATATTTTGGGGATTTGGGGTGGAACCTTTTGTGACCTACAGTAATTTTTCCCTGGGGCCTACAATACAGTTATTGACAGTTATTTTATACCCAAACATAAACATGTGTTATCAATTATTAACGCCTCCTCAACATATACATTTATATCTGAATAGCCCAAAGAATAAGTAAAAAAACAAAACAAAATTGTGAACGTGTAAAAACTGTACACTACATGAATGTGCTATGTACGAAATAAGGAAGTGACAGATTGTGAGACTAAAGCTCTATAATTGACTAGTAACATGTTACTTGTCTCACCTTCAGTAAATCGTCTTGGTTACTTGTGGATTTCTGAGACTCTTGAAGCGTTGTAATTTTCTCTTCACTCTGATCAACCGAACAACAGTAAAATATCATAAATAGAATGTAATTAAATATAGTAAAATCTATAATCTAAACATGATCCTTTTTCTTTACGAACTACTTAACATCATGAATTCATTCAAATCTGCTTTATATACAGTATATTAGATATCTAAAATACAACATGGAGACAGGATTTCAAGTAAATCAATGAGATCTCTCTAATACAGCCTCCCATGGCTGATTATTCATTGTTGGAAAATATTTGCAAATGAAGTAGTCCTTCTCTTTTATCAAAAATTATAACCTGTATGAAAACAAAGGAATCTAAAGAAATAGTCCTATCTTGTTATAATTGTAAATGTCCGCTTTAAAACCAGACAAAATCCAAGAAAAATAACAAAAGCTAAAGGGTGTATTTTTTGCAGTGTGCCCTTTTTAACTGATCTAGCAGTGCCCTAATTATAAAATATAACTGTCAATCTCATCAGATCACACATGTCACATGTTCAATGAACAAAAGCCAACCTCTTCAACTTGACTCTGCAACTGTGAACACTTGTCTTCAGATATTTTCAACTGGCCATCTAGACTTAATACCTTCTCTTTCATCTGAAAAAATTTGAAGGTGTTCAGATTCTTTTTCAGTATAAATTTACATCAAAATGTGTTAGTTTGAATGATGGTACATGTGTTAGTAAAACCATTGTTTTCCAGTATTCTCAATTACTCTTTCTTCTTGGACTCAAAAACTGTGTTTCTTCATAATTTGAGAAGGCTTGACATGGAGTATCATCAGATTCATTTCAATTTTAATTTAATAGACATCTAACAAATATTGCATGCTAAAACAAAAACATTGGAATCCCAACTTGTCTCTTTAAATTATCAGTGTTATTGAACCAATAGCCAATATTTGATCACCACAGTATTTCCCAGAACTCTGTAACAGTAGTTATATATGGTCAAATTTAGGTATGCAGTGCATCTATATATGGTATCAATATAAACTTATGTCCAGTTGTGCAAAATATTTTGTTAAAAATATGTCCACCAGGGGAGACTACTCACTACTACAAACTTTCCCTGTTAACCTAAAACCATTTGGAAGAGTGGAGTGATCAGGATTTGTTTTTGTAGATTTCATAAAAGGATGAAGAAAGGGTGGCAAGAAACAAATCCAATTCCATTTTCAAAATGAAAAATATTTTTAGGTGTTTAACTCAAAACAATGGATGTTCTTCTTTATTCCTAAGAGGCATATTTATTGTCAAATATCCATCATTATGACTCTCCTTATCAACAGAATAATGTTCACAAATGTCAGGTGAAAATTGACAGCCTTACATCCTTTTCAATTGATTAGTGAAATGTTTAATTGTAAACTGATAGCCAATTGTGTATGGTTATATAGATGTTAGTTGATCTGACCATAACAACTATAGAAACTTTTTGACAAGGGATACAGTAAATATACTCTGTTTGGAAGAGAATTGAAGTTAAAGAATTATGCACATATGACAACAAACAAGGGTTATTTGATTTCTTTTCTGAGAATCAAAAACTTATTTGACAGATATTAACAGTGATAAGACCCAGGTGACCAGCTCAGACATGCAGCTAGTCAATGTATGTGTCCATTTAGTCACCCCTCACACACCCACACAGAGTTAGTATGGAGTACCCACATGTCATACCACACTACCACAAACAGTTCCATCATAACAGCGTTATTAAACATGCCATGATTTTGGCTTCTCTACAGATGTGTTGTCAAATAAATACTTTGTTTTTCATATAAGAAAGATTTTGTAATGTTACGAACAAATTACCAGTAAATAACATTTACGTATCTGTGGGAACTATTAATAAGAATATATGAAATTCAGCTAATTGTTAATCCTTGTTATTTGTCTAGCAAAGATAAGGTCATGTATATAACTGTACAGAGTTTGTGTATATCATAAGTATTTTTATATACTGTATGAGTTGTTGTTATGTATCTTATATGTTACATGTAAATATAAGTAAGTATAATTATAGTACATGTAATTTGAAAGTGTGACCCGAGAAGCCATGGTAAGGACCAGCAATACACTTAGTAACAGTTCATGCCAAAACAGGATAAAGTCAGAAGCACAAAAGCTAGTAGGCAAGACCAGGACATGTTTGAGTGAAAGTGACAGGAGTTCTCTCCCCTCCATTATCTCCCCTACCTCATCAGTTATTTGCGTCAAACTTTTCTCTAGACAGCGATAAGCAAACTCCAATTCACTTAGTGCCTACAAAGGACCAAAACAGTGTGTGGGAAAGTGGGCCAAGTGTAATCTGTTTTTGATCAGTCTCTTGGAAACAAACCTTGTGTCTACCAACATATTCAATTTATTTTTTAAAACAATACATATCCTGGAAAAGCAACATTCAAAAACTTCAAAACTATTCAATGCAAAATATGGAGAAAAAAAATGTAAAATCAGGTGATATGAAATAGACAAATGTCATTCAGTTGCAGAAGTCAAGCATACGAAAACAAAATCACAAACATTCATACACAATATATGTATTGGTAGACAATAGTGGTGGAGGCATTCCTGGAGGTAGTAAAACTATAATATACAACAGTTTCACCTAGTAAATGGATATGTCACCTGCTTCAGCTTAGGCGGAATAATGGCCAATAGAAAATTTATTGATAATGAAAGAATATAATGAAATATAATTGCTGTTGCATTACTGATCAAATTGTGGCCAGCCACATAAATATTTGCACGTTTGGCTAGGCATCCAACTAAGGAGTATTTAGAATTTTATTTAGTAAATGGAAAAAAAAAAGAATACTTGGTAGGTTTCATGGAATCCACATATCCATACATGTGATTTCTCCCGATGTGACCGGGAAGCTCCAGGTTTCAAGCATCAAAACAACCATATCTGGTTTCTCCAGAGTTTTGACATGAAAATCTCCGGACATTGATCTGACTATCATAATAATTATCCATTACTGCTTTTGTCACCCCAAGCAATATTTATGTGAGCTTTATTAGAGCCCCCCTCCCCCCTGTATGCCAAACAGACAAATTAATCCTTCTGATGCTTTTGCAGGTGACACTATAACAACTGCACTTGTAAATACAATATATACATATTCATAACTCAATCACATAGGAACAGAAAAAAAACAATCAAACAAAAAGAAAACCACCAAACAAAATCAGAAGATTATAAGTGAGTAAAAACACAAAAGCAATGTTCATCGTCAACTTCAGGTAATGATACTACTTTTAGGGCGTCCACACCGTCCTCTCCAAGTTGTAGCCATTAACGTTTTTGAGACTGGATTATGTTGACCATGACACATTTGGATTGAAAGAGATTATGGTTGTGTTATGGGGCATTCAGATAGATAGATTCACTAGTACTGTAGTACTGAAGGGGATCCTGTGTAAGTAGGTGCTTCACACTTATTTACATACCTCTGTACTGGCTTGACTCTTCTGTAACTCCTCCTGCACAGACGAGACCTCCTGCTTGGCCTGAAACATATTTCCAATACAATAAGTATTACTGGATTCAACAAATACTGACTTCCAGACTAAATCAACTCTGCTTTCCCACATGAGACACGTTAAATTTCTGCAGTAAAGAGGCCTTATGACAACTGACAAATTTAATTGTACATTTGCATATTTGCACAGTATCACAACCATTCTGATCCACCTTTAAAGATTGCTGCCTTATTTTCAGCATGCTTTACATATTGATTTCCGCACACCCTCCACATAAACATGCTTTAAGTGTTGCGGAGAATTGGACCTAGTTAGGACCTACCTGTTCCAGCTCTATCTGTACAGCCTGTAGTTTGTCGTACCACTTTTTCTCCTCTCCCTCCACACTGTTCTCCAGCTGCTGTAACTTAGACTCCTGGTAACAGAACAACAGTGAAATAAACAGTCTGGCAAATACAGATAGAGACCTACGTCTGAGAATGGTTTTACTGTGTAAAGCAGGTATATTATAGAACAGCACAATAACCAGTAAAACATTTCTTTTTCTCACATACATGGCTATAACTTACCTACCCTAAATTCTATTCTGGAAACCAAATATTTAACTGTAAATTCTCCACATTGGAATGACATATTAAATCGTTTCTAGCTGATCGTAACATAGAACTAAGACCAATTATAACCAATACTTGTTGATAAAGGTGAACACAGAACACTTACTGTTGTAGCTAGAACATTTAAATACTCCTGGACTTGACCTTCTAACTTTGTATTGCTTTCCTCTAATTCTGTCACCCTCGAGTCTGAACTAGACACCTGCAATGAGAAGAGAAACACTGGTACAGATTCTATATACAGCAAACTATATTCAATGTCTGTGTTTCTGAATCAAATTGTTTTTCTCTACATCAATTGTGTTAGAACTGAAGCATTTAAAAAAAATTGAAATTGGGCATTAAGAAAAAGTTATTCAATATTATCAAAATAATAATAGTAAGTTTCCGCATGTCTTATTTAAAGCAATTATACTGGAGAGAAAAAAATAAGAAATTGAAATGAAGTGTACACCTACATTTGATGACGCTTCCCGAAGTTGCTCAACCTCGGATTGTAAACTACTGTTTGTTTCTTGTAAATCTTTGACTTTGGCTTCATAGCTGGCACTCTGTAAAATACAAATTTTGTTCAAATCACAACACGGTCAAGTAGTCAGCGATATATCAAACTGTCTTTGTTCAGCTGTGAATATCTGAACACTGTAGTTATGGCCTTCAGTACTTGATCAACAAATCCATTCATACTTGTCTAAAATCAGATCACACTATATCTGTGTTCTACGTATACAATCCTAGTATGTCCATGCAAACATGCATAGAACTTACTGATGTGTCTAGCAGTTGTTTATTTTCTTGGAGTTGACTTTTTAATGTTTTATTACTTTCTTCTAATTCAGCATTTCTGGCTTCAGAACTGGACATCTGCAAATGAATGTTCAGCATTGTTTTATTCTATGTAGTAGCTGTTACTGCTAAATTTAGCCAATTAACAAACAAATTTTTCTAAACATATCTGAGTTTCCATTAAAGCTATAGATACTGTAAAGCAGCTTTATTCACCATGGGTTAAATGAGTTATGTACACAATAAAACAACTGAGAGAGAATCCAATACCCAGTGAGAGTAATGCCATGGCCACAGATCAAATAATTGTAATGCACAAATGTTTATTTCTCAGTTTTACATTTGCAAACTATTTCTCGTTTATGAAAAAATGATGGTCTGCCTGTGCGTTTTAACTATAGTCAATTAAAATTGCTCGTATATTCACTGTACTAATATTTAAAGGATTTTATTTAAAAGTGAATACACAGCAAAAGTTTCATATTATAACAATAACTAGCATGATATAATAACAGTAACAGTTTTGTTTTGCTTTTAAAGTTAATAAACCTGAATATGTTCCTGGTCTCCTAAATGGAAAATTATAGCCTTACATGAATTATGTTTTGCCATATTGTATACCATCTGCAGGTGCTTTACTTTTGTCAAACAAAGTTGACCCCTTCATTGGTGATGACTGACCGAGGCTCAAGGCTAAATATATCACCGTTTCGGACTACCTAGGTTAACTGTTTAAAACTCTAACGTTACGTTAATTTTCTCACGAGATCACACAAGGTAAATTATCACAAGGTGTCACATTAGATTAGTTATCTCTAATTGGTTTATTCTCTAATTAGTTCATTAAGAGATGATTAGAGACGAAAAATGGACTTATTTTGTGGCACATACATTTGATGATTCTGTCTTTAGTCTTTCGACCTCAGATTGTAAACTACTGTTTTTCTCTTGTAAATCTTTCACTCTGCCTTCATAACTGGCACTCTGTAAAACAAACAGTTACATAATGTAGCTTAATTCTACACTGTAAACAATGATGCTGTACTACTTTGTAGCACAGCGTATGCAAGTCAATGTGGAAATTGTTCAGGGATGATTACAGAAATAAGTGCAATATCTGAAGATATACATGCATAATTTGGATCTGAACATCACAGCTGAGGTGAACATAAATATTGAGGTTCTAATGTTTGCACTGATCCTGATGCACAAGTTTGATGAATGTCATTTTTGTGTGTATACTTGGTCTGCATGAATCCAAAACCAATAGCAAACATAACAGATGAGTATTAACTGTTCTCTAATGATAGGGTATGGGAAGCGACTTACTGAGGAAGACAGGTTGGTTTTATACGTCTGTACTTGAGTTTCTAGACTGCTAACCTGACCCTGGAGGTCTGTTACTTTGGCCTCTGACTTAGCAATCTGAAATACAAGACATCAGACGTAAAACACCATCTCTACTGACAAAATAAAAGAATGTGGACGGCAAGGTTGCCTCACATGTAACATCGTGGTGATTATATATACATCTTAAAACCTATCAAATGTGGCATGATTGCAACTATGTTGAACAGCACTGAAATAATGACATTTTTGCCCAGTCAAATATTCACCATTTTCCTATAAAATCTATATTTGCTCAAATGTTAAATTTCGCCCTTCACATGTAATTACTTTATATTTCATGTTTTGTACTTAAACTCGCTATCATGATATATTTGCCCTCATTGCGGAGGGAGAAAAAGGCAAAAGTTAAACTGCAGCGAAAGTTTCCCGGTGTACAGAACTTCATTTAAAAGTTAAAAGTGTGCTTACAGATCCATTAGCTTTAGAAAGCCCTTGTAATTGCAGTACAGCCTCCTTCTCAAAGCAGGACATCCATTCTTTATGGACCTGAAAAAAATGTCAAGTTCATTATTTCAGTGCTTACAAGTCCTGTACAAACTTATAATCTTTATAAATCACATCACCAGAGAAATCTTATAACAATTAACACACTCTTACACCAGATTGTCCCAAAAAAAAATATACAAATTTATCAATAAACCAAAGATATGTCAATGCATACTGATGTAACATGGTTGATGTATAGACAATATAGTAAGGTATAGAAACCAACAGTCCTATGGAACTACATTAGCAGATCACATTCCACCTGTATACTTACCAAATTTGTGTTCACAGAAACATCTGGGAAAATCTTCTGTAATACTGTTTTATCGTATTTTTCTGTGTCTGTTACTAATGCTGTACTTTCATCCTACAAAAAGAAAGACTCAATCAGGTTTTGAAGAGTAACATACCTTTCACTAGTGTAAACTTACCTCGAACTCGTTCCATCAAAATACATACCTGTATTTATTTTTATTTTACTTGAGCAATTACTAGTGAGTGTAGTCTAGTTCAGTAGTTATAGCATCCACTAGTCTTTTTTTCGTTTCATTAATCACATTAAAATCCAAGGACAAATTACTTTATCTTGTCAATACACAAATATTGCAAATTAGTCAAAAGAATTCATTGAACATATTTTTTTCTTTTCTTACACCTTTCCAATAGCAATCAATAATATAATGTACAAATTCAAAAGTGTGCAGAGGCACAACTTACTTTTTAAATTTAATTTGAGAAAGTATTAAGCAAACATTTATTTAGAAGAAATAATGTTATTCTCTATACAAATCCAAATCTTGACAAATGATTTATTTGAAGCATACAGAAATAAATCATTAATTTAATATTTGAGAAAATAAATGTAGATTTACAGCAAACATGATATTTTAATCAATAACAATGTATTCATAGGCTCTGTGTGTTATCTCAGCAAACGTTACTCAGACTATAAGACAACACTGTCATGTGATATATACTGGTAAGGGGACTCGCTGTGCTAACTCAATGACACACAGTAACACAACTGCCTTAATAAAAGATGGAATGACTAAAACAAGCATGCCTCTAGTATTTTCTGGTCAAAGAAACATCATGATACAACATGGATGAATTTAGCATCAAACTAAACAAGCCCCTAGGAAGGAAACGGTGGATCGACTGGTGGTACAATGTAGTTTGAGGGGAAGCAGTGGGGGATAACCAAAAACAATATTTTGATAACAATAGGTGGCAACAAGGAACACAACTTGGGAAGTCAAGTTTTTTTTTTTAAATTGTGTCTGTACCATATGTAAACTTCAAATGTTAACTTTCAGCATCAATTTTGGAATTTTTATGATCCTGATTATTTATTTTTTAGATGCGTTTGTCTCCTATTGAGTTCAAAGACTGACATTTTTATCAAACTACAGGTGTGGTGATGGTGACATGGGAAGATAGCTGAGGAAAGACTACTTACATTCTGAGCAAGAAAATGAGACAAATGAAGAATTTTGTACATTATGTATTGATGAAAACAGAACAGTATTTCATAAAACATGACAATGTAATTAATAGTAGAGCTAAAAGAGACTCAGCAGACAGTTTATTTAATAATTCATAATGATGTTAAATTATAAGAATGAAGCACTGAAAAACAAAATTTTGTGTTTGAAACAGATAAAAACATTAGTAACATTTAAGTGATGCTCCAAAATCACACAAAATTAACCAAAAAACAGAAAGAAAAGAATAACAGTGAATTACATTTTACAGTGAATCACAAATTGTTTAATGAATTTACAAAAATAAAGTTGATCAATAAAATTATATGACTAATAGTCAAAGATGAAAAAAATCCACAACACTGTAGTGAAGATTTTACCTTCGTATCTTTGACAGCAGATTGAACTTGTGTTACTGACTTTTCTGCCTTTTGCAAGGCTTCCATTGCCTCCCAATTCTTTTGCCTCAAATCCTAGATAAGAATTTAGTAAACAACGACTTGTGTAAATTAAGTCATTAAAAACCTAAGCAGCCATGATGAAAAGACTAGCCTATTCTGCAAACTTCACTAATTAGACTTGGTGCATTCTTATAGTTTATGGGAAAGCCAGGTTATAAGTTTTTTGAGGGCTTAACTCATTCACCCCTGAAAACACATTTAAACTCTTCAAATTCAAAGGTTGGAATAGTTCATTTTGAAATTTCAGGGCTGAATGAGTTAACATCTCCACATGCTATAAGGTCTAATGAACATGGAGGTTGTAAGGAAAATACAATTAAGAATAGGGAGAAAGAGGCAATTAAAACTAAAAATATTTCTATAGGGGACAAAAAAATATAAGTGCATGGGTATTACATTACCAGATTCTGTTCTATCTTGGAGGATAAACAATGAATTCACTTATACCAGTGCCACGAGCACAAACTTGTCTGGTCTGACTGTGCTATAACATAACTGTACATTTGAAAAGTCAGGAGTAAAGAAACAAGAACTTTTCCGACAAAGTACCCACTTAAAGCTCTCACAAGTCCATACAGGTTAGCAAACAAAACTGGAACTGGTAGCAAGTTTTGCTAATAGCGAGATGTGTTAAATGTACATGAGCATAAAAAATGTGTATTCTTTGGGTTAAGTTGAAACACCATGCTTTCATATGCAAGGTAAGATTTGATAACTGTCCAGAATATTTCATTGAAATGGCATGTGAAAGTTTAGGTATCTAATCAAATCTTCTCTTTTTTCAACAAAAACAATCACCAAAGCTGCACTGCATCCTCACAAACAGTCTTTTCAGAATTTATATAAAACAACTTTTTATCTTCTTAAACCAATTCTTGTTAATATAATAAATTCTTTTGAAGTGAATAAGTTTGCTTTAATCCTAGATTGAGAGAGTGTTTTGGATAGAGAATAGAGCACAGCTGTGATGGAACAGATGCCAAACCTACTGAAGATGGATCACCCCAAAGTCTTACATTGTTTTTCTTCTTCTGCTTATCCACTTCGCTCTGTACTTTGGTCAATTCTGAGACCTTGACCTCCAAGTCTGTCACTAGTTTCTTGATTTCTGTATCTTTTTCTGAAACTCTGAAAACATCATGAAGCAGAATGATTAGTTAAACTTGTCCTTTAGCATACAGCTTGTATACAATACTTCCAACAATTTTTTTTCATTGGATGCATTCTAAAGGATTCGTACATGAATTTTTCGATCTAATTTAAGGTTTTTAAGGCCCATCTCCTATCATTTGCAAATTCTCCATACACAGGGAGCCAAATATGTAACCTTGATACCTCTAAACTTGTCAAATAAACTCTTATCAACCGTAAAATCTAACACTGGTCCGTATTCCAAAACCTAGAATTACCGGTAACTCTTAAAAATATTTTATTTTCTTACATTTTATGAAGAACAACAACACAAAAACCAACAAAATTAATAGACATGTACAACCAGTTTTTATGTCAGATCATTTAGCTAACTTCATGTTTCATTTCACCCTTTCAAGACATTTTTGTTAAACTAAGGGGCTATTAGGACCTTCTCATCAATTTTAATACTATCATCCATATGTTGTAAAGCGCTTTAGAGTAATTTTACAAATTATATAGGGCGCTATATAAATGTTATATATTATTATTATTATTAAGGCTTTTGAAAGCCAACCCTTTTTTAGAGCCTTTTCAAAGCCTGTATGAAACCAGATTCTACGAAACTTTCCGGATAGCAATTTTGTTTCAATGATTTTAATATTAGACAGTTTAACAGAATAAGTTTTACAAGGCTTATTATACTCACTTTTCTGTACTGTTAACATGTACAGTGTCTGAGAGTAGGAAGACAACTTACTCCTACTTCACAATCAGGAATAGAAAGCAAATGAGTTAGATAAAAGATTTTACACTATATTTACATTTTCTCGTGCTGTGAAACAGCAATTTTGTTTTCAGCCGGTTCATCATGAATATCCCCGTTAGGAGCCCCAGCTGTCTTGACAACAGTCTCCTTCACTACCATCACTTCCTGTGAAAGGCTCGAGTTCTCCTGCTTCAAAACCTGAAGGAAACAAAATTGTGAAGAAACCGTTGACATAAAAAATGGAAAATGCATGTAGTCTGAAAATAATACTATTTAATATATAGTTGTATAAGATTCTTGCATGTTTAACCCTCAACCAGATCCATCCCAATTAAATTGAGAAAATGTCTATGAGACAAGGACACTGCTTCTCTCTATGTCCCATATATAAGTTTCATTGTTTGAAAATTTCCGACAAACAACAACTATGACCTTGATCTTGGCTCTTTGAAATTATTCCTATGTTTTTAATTATACTCTTTGTATGAAGTTTGATGAAAATCTGTTATTTTCTATATTCTATTAAGTGTGAATTAATGGTTATGTTACAATGATGTTTGAAATGACACGCTTATGATTCGCAATTTTTTACAAACATTAATAGTGAACTTGGCCTTGATCTTGGTATCCTGAAGCATGAACTCATCAGAGGTATTCTCATTGACACTAATATATAGTTTGACCAAGATCTGGCCATAATACTGCATTGGTAGATGTTTTTCTAATAATAGTAATAGAGACCTAGGACATGGCTCTGGAAACCTAAATATGAAAATCATTTGAGGTATTCTCATTGTTGAAATCTGTATAAAGTTTAATGAAATATGTAATAAAATGAAGTTGCCATAGTAATAAAACGAGATCATGATGCGGACAGACATGGGTAATACTATATGCCTTACTCCCATCCAATGGCTGGAGGGGGTCGATTCCAAACTGAAACACACTGGGCATGTCTGCTGTCTACAAAGCATAAGGCACTTACTTATGAGCACAGATGACCTCTATATTGCGTGCTAATGCAAGCCTTACATGTCTGCTGTCTACAATGCACGTGTTACAGGTATGGACGTCTTTTATACAGTATGCCAAGACAGGCCATGCAAGTCTACTGCCTTTGAATTAGCACTAGGTCATACAGATGTCTGTTGACAGGTATACCCAACAGGCCATGCAAATTTGGTGTCTAGGTCGAGTCTGTTGTACAGTGTGCCACCAGACAGTTATATCAGGAGTACAGGTGTCGACTGTAGAATATACCAAGCTGGACATGCAACTCTTCTGTCCATGAAGGACCAGATTAATGTAAGTACAGATAATTGTTGCAGAATATGCTAAGGCAAGCATGGGAATCTGGTGAGGATGATGAATTAGACGCTTATTACACGTACAGATATTCATTGTCAGTAAAGTAAGAGAGGGGTTATGTGGTAATGAGTAGATGTCTGTTATGGTTTGTGGCATGGCATGGCATGGCAGGCGAGTCAGGTGTCTATGAAGCATTAGTCAGTTATAAATACAGATGTACAGAACTGTTGTAGAGCATGCCAAGAAAGGCGTGCCAGTCTGGTATCTACCAGGCTCTAAGCGGCTGCAAGTACACATCATGCGAGTCTGCTGTCTGCAAAGCACAAGAAGTTAAAAGTACACAATTCTGTTGTAGAAAAGCTGGGATAGATCATGCGAGTCTGGGGTCTACCAGGCTCTAGGCGGTTACCTCCATCTCATTTTGTAGTTTGTCCTTGCCCTGTTCGGACTCTGATAACTTCTTCTCCAGATTATCCAAGCTTGACTGCATATCATGTTTCTCCTTCTCTGCAGCCTATGGTTTACAGGGACAATGGTTAATGCTGCATTTTTATTGTAAAGATTTTAATGTCCAGGTATTCAGCATCAGAAATATTAGCATGTATCGGAAGGTTAACTATGGGGCTAAATATTTGTAAAATCACAAAATCATGAGCTGCTTTTAGGTTATAATGAATCACGACACATTTGCCACACATAAGAATGCTGGCAGATATTACAATCAGGAATAACGTTAATTGTTCTTCCATTTAAGGTTATGTCTACCTCAAAATCTGTCTGTAATTTTGTCTTGAGCTTTTCCATGTCTGTCATTTTCTGTTCTGTAGATTTCATGTTTGCCTCCACTGTAGACCTTTGATTCTTAGCATCCTTTTGAAAGTTGTGAAACAAATGTTCTCATTGTTCACTGTTGACATTTACACAATGGCAAATAAATGTATAGCGCACAGGTGTAAAAGTGAATCTTATATATACAGATGTGCTTCAATAAAATCTGACAATTTTTTTCTGTGAGATAGATATGCAGAAGAAAAACTAAAGAATTTTTAATATATAAATTTAGATGTTAAAAAAATCACCTCAGACTGGGACCAACTTGTTCAAATCTGATCAGCTGTAGCATTGTGTTGTGTGATCTGTTGTTAATATTACATTCTTATATTAATTAAGTAAAGTCAGAAACTTAAACAAGGTGGTGTATCAACCATATAAATTCAGATATAGGAAGGTGTACAATTACAATCTAATACAATGTAAAGCTGACCAGATCTGGGACAGTTGATACCTGTGACAAAGAATAAACAAAACCCTATCACCATTACACACCCACTAATACCGGTAGTACAGTGATTACCTCAAAGTCCTTCTCAAGTTTACACTTCAGCTGTTCTGTGTCCATTAATTTCTTCTCTGTTGCTTTCAGACTGGCCTCAACATTAGATTTGGCTTTTTCAGCACCCTACCAAAATAACATATAAATCTATAAGCCTCGGACAATATTCAATAGTCAATCCAAATTTGAAATTAATGCTTCAGTTGAAATCTCCTTCATAGAATTTCAAATTTCTTTACCTTAAGTTGAAAGATGTAGAGACACTAGGAATCCAGTATGAGGCTGTTTCAGTACTACCAGTATTATTGTTACTATTAGTTCAACCACGTCACCACATCCACAGTCCCCTTATTCTGCCCCTCCCACCTTTATACCCTGCCCCTCCCATCTCCATACTTTGCCCCCACCATCTTCACACTCTGACCCTTTCAGCTTTACGCTCTGTTTCATTCAAGCCCTTTTAACTTCACACTTAGCCCTCCCATCATTGAGTATTCAAAAAGCTTCTCTTGTCCAAGTTGTGTCTGTCAAGATCACAGATCTGCAGATCGAGGACTGGACTATTAAAATGAGGATGAATTACTTCCATAAAGTCATATCTACTTGTCAGTTTCACGCTACTAATCATGATAAATAATGTTAATGGAATTTTAATTTTTAAATTGCAATATATCTACAGGAACAAAGTTATAACACCCTCGGAAATTAATTTAAGGAATTTAATAAAATGTTTCACGATCAAAGCAAACATTCACAACATGTACACTATGGTAAATATTTGCATTGCATTTCTGCGGAATATCCTAAAAGGTCTATATATTTTCTGATAATTTGCAGGATATGTGCAGCATATATTTTGTTATATCTTGCCTTTTGCAGAGTAATGATTACAAAAAAAATCAATGAAATGTCATTAACTGGTAAGACTTTGTGATAACTAGTTTGAGATATTTTTATACATGTACATGTCCAAAACATTTTCATCTCGTTAAACACAACTCATTACCTTTCTCTGAATTCAGGTAAAGCATCAAAATTCAACCCATTCAGCCAAAAATAAATTTATAAAAAGTGGTAATGCAGTATTCCTGTCTAGGTATAAATTTACTTATATGATCTAAATACAACTGTGTATCCTCCACTTGTATATATGCAAGTGCGGTTTATAGCCCAGTAAATATGGTACGTACTGACACAGTGTATGGAGTGATAAGGCTTTTATAGTGGCTGCTGTTGTGCTTTTATAAGAAACAACAAAGACTCGAGGAAAATACAGACACAATAGCTAGAATTGCAAGTTTATACTTACACCAACTGATAAACAAGTTTCCTGTATTCAGAAACAGAATGTTATATTTCTGCTTACCCCTTTTTATGAATTTGTTCTTTTAAATTTATACTAATTGGGTAGACAGTCTGCATAAACAAAATATGATACATTTTCATAGTCAATAGTGTCAAACAAAAACATTACCCCATCAAACAAACATGATATCTTCCCATCTTTCTGCAAAAAAAACCTTGGTGTCTTGATTCTACAATATCTTCTAAACTAAAATTTTGACTATTTCATATTTTTAAAAAGTCAATGTTAGTCCTTTAAAGCATTGATTTTGAGTGCATATTCAACTTCACTCACCATGACAGCTGTCAATAATTATTAGAATATAGTAGTATACCCTACACCTTTCCACCACCAGTTTCATACATGGAAGAAGATCAAATAATTCTACGAAACATTTGACTTATTTGATATTACAACATCCCCTGTTACATGAAGTACTTAGTAGAGGTAATACTAGCCAACCCTAGATAAGCGTACCTGTAGCTTTTCCTCCAGAACCTTTGATGTGTTGTCATTGCCAGACAGTGCCTTTTCCAACTCCTGAAGTCGCCCCTTGACTGTAGAGCACTCCTTTTCGGCAGTCTTCAAGTTATTGGTCAGTGTGGCATTCTCTGCTTCTGTTTTCCTTAACTGTTTGTTTACCTCATCCAGTCTCTTGGATACAACCCCTTCAGACTCCTTCTGCAAGCGACAAAAACATTTCTTATTACATACAAAAGGTATTTTCCAAAATTCTTCTCTTTTTTCCATGTTTGTTTATGTTGCACCACTTCAAAACTAAACTCTTTCAAGATGCCTTAAATTTATGTTGTATTGCTACTGATTTTCCTCAATCTTGCAATCTTTAATCTGGATTTTTGTCTTTTTTTCCCCAGAGGTCATACAGCATTTTTTGTTATTATTTAGTATATTCTACTGCGCGTTTCCTACCTCTGATCCTTTAAGTTTGGCTAGTTCTGCATCCTTCTTGGCCAGTTTCTCCTCCAGAGTTTTTTTGGCATTCTCTGCAGCGCTATTCCTAGTGACATTCTTTGAGAGTTCCTCCTGTATGATCTGAAGCTCAAGTGTCAGGCTGGCATAAGTCTTCTGGGGCACAGTCTCTGACCTATACAGTCACCAAAATATTTTCACATATTTGATCATGTTTACAGTTATAAGTTACTCTATATAAAAGTTTCAATCTGGTTATAATTATTCAGTTCTAATGTTTTCATTTGCATAATAAATATCTTATTTTTTAAGCAAAATTAATGGGTTATTTAATTATATTCATATTACGCATTAATTCAAAAAGCAGACTAACTTTAAATAAATTGATTCATCAATATCAAAACAACTTACTCTGCTCTTTTCAGGTTTTCTTTCAAAATCTTATTTTCCTGAAAATTAAAAAGAAAATTATATGAAAAGAAATCCTCAATTTACACCACTTTGTCATATTTGCAGGTTCATCCAAATTCACCATAATCTTTTAAAAGTTACAGCCTGGACAAGATTTCAAATGAAATTTTGCACTTATTTGACCTTTGACCTTGAGGTGAAAGTCACTGTGATCTAATTATAATGCACTGCATACTTCCTGGGGGTCACCTAAGTGTTTTCCTAGTTTCATATTTTACAGTTATATCACAGACAAGCTTATTAGATTAGAAGAAGAACCAGTAGAACTAGTACATACACTGTAATTAATTATCAAATTTAATGAAATAGTCTATAAAACAAAGAACAATTGATTAATCAGAGTTTTACATCTTCACAACTGTGGTCATTTGACGATGGAAAGAAGAAGAGTACCTCACTGAGTTTCTGTACAAGGCTTTGGTCACCTGCCTGGCGCTCCAGCTGCTGAAGGCGAGTCTGGAGAGAGCTACGCTCCATCATGTGTTGTTCAATCGAGTGCTGCATCTTAGAGCGGAGGGCCTGGATCTCAGAGTTCTGTACAGCGATCTTTTCTTGGTACTGCTTCTCCAGACTGTTGTACCCAGCTTTCTCCTTGGACAGACATGAATTGGCATGCATTGCCAACTTTTGTTCTGTAGTAACAAAACACTGACCATATAACTTTCCCAAAAATCTTTCTTTTCCTTAGGGAATTATGTATTTTTTTGTCCTTAATATTTAGTGTTATAACATGCCATCCAAATAATTATACACATAATATCCTTTCATATAATGTTATAACTTTTCTGAAGAAAAAGATGATTTTTTTTTTTTAGATTTCATATTACACCGGTGTTTTTAATATACTTTATATGTACCAGGTAGGTTGATGAAGTTTGGTTAGAATATAATGTATGTTCTGGAGCAGAAGTTAACATGTTTTTGTCTTTCAAAGGCTACTGTAGCTAACTTGGCATTTGAATTCATATGAAAATAACAGTATTTTCTAAATACCATAAATGCGGGTTTATTGATTTGAACAAAAAATCAACAGCACTTGTGATCAAGTTAGGTTAATCCTAAGAGGAAGAGGTTTAAAAAGGGTTTAGCTTGATAGCAGATACTGCACCAGGGTATAACAAACAGAGGTGTGTATGTATACATGCCTTCCTGCAGTGCACGCTCCTTCTCCTCCAGCTGTTTACGCAGCAGTTTAACATCATCACCTTTCTGTGTTTTCTGAAAGTTGTTGAGAGAGGAATTAATGAACAACCTAATGACATTTAATAAGTGACACCCAGCTGCAATCTATAACATGGATTTAGATATGTTTACTGTTTTAATACTTTGCACAAATCAATATCAGTATTATTCAATGTAAGAGATACTGAGCAAGAAGTTTTGTGCACTAAAGAAATCAAAACTTAAAAAAAACAAAAACAAATCGAAAAAAAAAGAAAGAAAAAAATGTTATACATACTTTAGTACATATTTTGGAGTGCAAATTAATCACACCTAGCCATAGCCTTTGACAGGCAAAATTACAAGCACAAGGAAGTTATACTCTCACCACTTAAATTTTGTAAGTATGTTTCACTTTTTTTTTAGCTCTTTTTATTTTTTATAATATGAACACACTGGCTTATGTACCACACTTGAACATTTTGTGTAATAACTCTCTACTATTGGGCAGGAAAAGCTCACTAAAATTATACTGGATAGTGGAAATAAATAACTCAGTTTTATGATGTCTGGAAAAAATTGTTCTAAAGATACTACTATAAGGCTTGTAGTAACTACAGCAATCAAAAGGAGACAAAGTCAGTTTCCACAGTAAATAATGATCAATTAATTTAAACTATATGTTTATGGCAGTAGGACGTGTTTAGTACATGTAAGTTATAGATAATCACACGAGTAACCACAAAGACAGGAAACAAGTGGGTGTGTGTAAGGCTTGTAGAACCAACAGCTGTCAATGTAGCTTCTAGCTAGTGTAGTACATATAGATATAGATATTTGACTTTTGATCCGGTAAAAGGTCATCTTTTTCTGTAAGGTAACAATACAGGATATAGCTTGTTTATAGGGTAAACATTATAGAAAGTCTGTCGTTCCGTGAGGAAGTCAGTATGAAAATTTGATCTGTATATGGTAAACATTATAGAAAGTCTGTCTTTCGCATGTGGAAGTCGGTATGAAAATTCATTTCGTTACTTTTTCGAGTGTAATCAATACAAAGAAAGGCGAATATTATTACACTTATTATCTGCATATATATATATGGTATTATAAATTTAGATTTGCTATTAAATGGCAGTCCAATCTGTCTCTTCGAAAAAACAATACAACACTCTTTTCTTTTCTCCATATTTTTTTTTCACTTTCATTGACGATTTGTGTAAATTTGATTGTCGACGTTGCCATGTACATTGTGTAAAATAGTTCTGGGAGAAGGCTTCATAAGTTAGAATAACTTGTGCCTAATCCCATTGCAAATTGCAATAGAATATGTTTCAATCAACCTCTAGATTTGGTTCAAGTACGGCTATATTTTTTTAAGTTTGTTACTTTATTCATCCTGCTCTGAAAGAGAAACCTTCATTGTTACATTTTGAAATTACACGTATCGACAGCGTTTACCTACTGAATAACGGGTACTACACATGTGCAACCATTGATGTCAAATCAATGTCGGTACCTGTTATGTTGTGTCGGGGAAAATTGATTGGACATCACAATTGTATCATTACCACTGAAGGCATCACATACTGTATTCTCTGCAGTAAAGATATTCCTTTTATCATACTGATAATTCCTCGTACTTCATTTATAAAAAGAAATGAATAGTATTCCTGACCTTAACATGTCAAATTGATAACACAGTGCAAAGGATGACATCTGTCAAACCTGTCTCTTCACATATACACATACCATCATCTATTGGCTGTGGTGGTAATATGCTGGGTTAAAATTAAATATTTGGCCAAGCCTCAGGGATGTTCAATTACACAATTAAGAGTATTAGTAGCCCACTGACAGATTTTGGTAAAAAAAAACTACTTTACTAAAGACTCGTTAAGAATTTTTCTTTATAAAATATATATATATACGCTTTGCCTAACCTTATTTACAACTTATTGTTACAGGATGGGAATCTCAAACGTTTTCATGCACATGGGGGGCAGCCAGCCCCTCCATTTGTACAATTATGAACCCTCACCACCATACCATATATGTTGCCAGTCTATTCGGTGAAATTCCTTCCAGTGGTTCAGAAGTATAAGCATATATACACATCATTTTTAGACGCCTATCTATTTTACTAGTACATGTGTATACAAATCAACCAAGAGTAAAAACTACTCAGAAATAATTTCAAATTTCAGATTAGGTATTATTTTTCCTTGTATATTCTAACTGTAAAATTGCATATGAGTTATAGACTGACCTTATTCCAGGACGAGCTGGCTCCACCCTGTTTGTTCAGGAGGACTTCAATCATGTTCTGTATCTCAGAGTCAGTGAGGGGAGCCGTGTGAATAGTTGCCACCAGCTGACCAGGATCAACTGTAACACAAGTTACATAATTAATACACATTTAGACAAACAAAATTATACTAAAATAACATGTTGCACTTGCAATCAGTCAATTACATGAAATTGAAAAACTGTTTAACTAACAGACTTAATTTTTAAAACTGCTAAAAAATGTGTATGTTTCCTGCTTCTTTATACATGTGTAATTCACAAAAACAATACTGATTGCAGACTTCTGAAATTACATGTATAAGTGTAATATACAAAATCAATTATTGTGATGAGAAATCTATTTTCACATAGGACATTGTAAAACTCTAAAAAAAATCTTCACATTCAAAAATGTGTGTTTTGTCGGAGCGGAAATTTTAAAGGCATTACTGTTACACATATAAATGTAGTTTAACAGTTTTAAAGTTAAAATGGGAAAGGACGTTATTAACAAATGTAAGAATTAGTATAATCAAATGTATCAGAATTTTCAAATTATCTTTCAGTGGAAAGGTATTGATATTTTACACATATAAATGTAGCTTAACAGTTTTAAAGTTAATGTCGGGACCTGACGTTATTAACAGAAACAATTTAAGTATATTGTTATTAGTACTATCAAATACAGCGTCTCAGTCTCACTTGAGCTTTTATTCATCGAGTAAAGTTGTTTACATACCGATACAATGGATATGCCTGTCACCTTATTACATTTGTAAGACTGTTTATGGGGATATTAATGAAATGCTCCTAAGAGTTAGTGAACCCTAACGTCACACAAGGTGCCTCAGGAATGCTTAGCGGTAAGTGTTGTGGACTGGTAAGTGTTGTAGATGTCTGACCCTGATATACTTGTATGCTGGTAAACATACTTGTAGCTGGCTAGCACAGTCTATGCTTGAGGGGGTGGGCTTGACACTTGCTGTCAAGTTACAGTCATGATGATCAAGGAAGATCAAAGTGACAACTTCATTTTATTTCTAATTAACGTACTAGATAGTCATCGTTTTGTTCAGAGCACTTAAATATTTCCTTTATAAAATTAAGAAAATCATAAGAATACAATGTATTATTGACAGGGCTAGAAAAATTAGAGGTCCGACAGCCCAGGGCCAGTAGAACACTGTACAAACTGATCTATCAATACAGTACATTGTAACATTGTATTATAACATTCATGACACATTACTTTCTTATCTATCAAATGTTCAATTTTGTTTAAAAACATATCAAAATACACAGACTACTTCTAAATATATATATGTATATATATGAAAATTTGGGGACCAGTATATATGTATTTAATTCTGCGGCTAGTGTTTTGAACATTTTGTTCTTGCACTTAAATGAATTTTCTATTAACATGATAATCAAATTCGAACACATTCAATCTCCTTCAGCTAGTTAAAACTATGCAGACATGATGGTACACAGAGAAGAGTTTACTTTTACGTTAATTCCAAGCAGCTGCCTGCAATCTTGCTAATAGAATGCGTGTACACCACGATCTTATGCCTCTCTGAAATCTTCAGTAATCTATGGATGTTTATGAATCTGTACATATTCTTGTACATTTTATTAAGATATTCAAGCAACAGTTTGTTTACATATAATTATGAGACTTTTTTTAGGTGTTGTGGAATAGGGCCTGGGTCTTTTAGGTGTTGTGGAATAGGGCCTGGACCGTCTTTCGCTTTGAAATGCATTGGAACACTCATTAATTAAAACCAAAAGGGCCCAGAGGGTCTGTATTGTTCAACTAGAAATTTAAGCAATCTTGAAAAATTCTCATTGAAAGTAGTTTTGCAACTATTTTCCCATTAAGATGCTCTGTCTCTCTAGCCCGGAGAATGCTTCATAGTATGTACATGTATCTGTTTTTTTATGGGGTTGGAACTTGGAACTTGGGATTTTAAGTCAGTTTCATACCATGAATGAATGATTTGGGAGGACCAGATCCAGATCACAAATCACATATAATCATGCATACAGATTTGATTTCAAAATAAAAGAAAGGGTACATGTTATGACCTATGATCTATAGATATAGTCAGGACGATTAAATTCTATCCTATTTTTTATCAATTTCTAGTCTTGTAATCTTTATTCTTTAAAGATATGATTTATTTGATACTGTGTAATTAATGAGGGGAGAGAAAAGACCTAACAATAACATGCATAGCTTAAGAGGCCCTTTTAAATGTTTACCGTAATGGCCATAACGCCCTTTTTTGTTTATGGACTTTTAAACCATAAACAAACAAACCAATCTAGACTTACTATCTAGGGTAATTTGAGAATCAGACTTATAATTGTATTAGGCCAAATTTAAACAGCACTTCATGGGAGGGGGAATTTAATACTTCTATGTAGTTTGCAGACTTCATTTAGGTACTTTTATCAGCAATAATTCTGCGATGAATTGGTTATATATTTAGCTTTTTCATTTATATCCTTATACTTGTAATACACGTCTACAGATTCTATGCTATATATATTCGAAGGTTCCTTAATTGTGGCACCATATTCTATATCCTACGAAGGTTATTGCACTAAACAGACACATGTATGCTAGACCTGTACACGCGGTGGTATCAGTGTCATCAAATTTTCTCATGGCACATGTACAACAGCTGTGTACCAATAAACATCACCACCACATTGCTCTGACTGACAAATCACCTGTTTGTTTTGACTACATTATGTTGCTTTGGCTGCTCCTATTTGCCTTTCTCACATGCAAAACAAGTTTTTTCCCTCTGTCTCAAAATTGGAATATTAAATGTTTTCAAACGATCAGTAGTTAATCATTATCAATGCTAATTTAAAAGTGCCTTCAACTTTATTTTAAGAAAATCAAAATGCTGTTTAGAAACATGCAGGTGCTCTCCAGATGTACATAGTTCAGTACATGTGTTCAACCAAGCTGCACAGATTCAGCTGTCTGTTTACAAACTATCACTGGGTTCATCAACTATGTTTGTCTTTTGTGTGCTATCTGAAATTGTCCTGAAAACATATAGCATTGAAGCTTTCTGATTTATAATTTATATGGCCCTGAAGTATTATGATGTCATCAATAGATGGGCAATCCATGATGTCACATAAAATCCTACTGTAGTGTTACTATGCACTAGAAGATGTAAGGTCTTCTTTTGTCATTAACACATTTTGTTTACATAATTTGCTTTTATCAACTGTCTATATATATATATAGAATAAACCTGAAGAGCCCTGTGAAGGGTGAAAGCAGCTAGTTTTTTAGTCGGTCGTTAATTTTATTTTTTCTATATATATATATATATATATATAATTATATGTTATGCTTGTGAATTGATACTGGAAGTGTACAACTGCACATGGAAAAAATAATATAAAAGCATTTTGGTCAAGTATTTTCCTTCTTTCCTCTTCGAAAAAAATATGGAAATATGTTACACTGTATGAGCAAGCAGAGGTGCCCAGTTCTGCCCTCTACCTATTTTTTTTTACAGACAATCCAATGTTCCTGCTCATATAAATATAAGTGTTTCAAAGCTACACAAAGTCGAAACATGTACTCGTACTAACTAGAGCTCGAGGTGACATTTGTGACAAATGGACCAGAAATAAAAGGATATTACATACATGTAGACAAATCCCTAATATATCCTAAAAAAACTCATCACATTGGAGTCAAAACAATAAAAAATATATATATACATTAAAATTTGGTAGATGTTGTATCTGTATTATAGCTGAATTGACAAATTTTGCTGAAACATACTCTCTTGTATGAGATTTCAAGAACAATGATATCCACATGGTTAAAAGCTATATACCATGGTATAGATGCAACAACAGTTGTAAAGTACACTGATCATGTCCCAGATGTCACCATTATCATCTATCTGCAGGATAGGATGTCAATATTTTTTTATTGAATTATTTTTAAAAGAAAAGCTTTATAAAAATTGTGCAATCTAATTATTCAGGGGTTAATCACAGAATTTTGAGGAATGGATCCTGGGATGAGTAATTAATTAAGATAAATATTTGTGATAACCAATATAATTGTGATGGGCAATCAGTTTAAATATTTATCGAAAATCAGTTTGAAGTCAAAAGTACCAGGTAGTAAACCAATTGATGGTCCATTGTATAATCAGTCTAAAAGTTTATCATTAATAGACAGGATTGTTTACTATGCAGCTGGATTCCTTTTTTTAAAAGTACAACCAGCTTAAAGCAATTACTTTCAATGCATACTGTACAATGTATGCATTCAACACTTGATTTCAGTAATAAACTACTACTAGTACCAGTATCAAATTATGAAATTTGTAAATCAATAATCAGAATCAGGAAATCAAGCAACCTTTTACTAGAAATTATACTAAAAAACTTTGAATATTTTCATAGTATAACTTATCTATTAGTAACCCTGGGCCTTTAGTAGTGATTTTCATATTAATCAGCTTACCGGTAGTTGACTATTCATGGTGACAGTTATTTGTGTAAAATGGTTTAACTACAAAATTCATGATCAAGTTTAGTCAGAATAAATGTGTGTAGATATTATGGAATTTCTTTAGAGTGATTCATGAGGTCAACTTATCACTTGCAGTATATTAACGACAGCAGCAGAAGTTCACGAATTATATATTTCCAGCTGCTCTTATTATCAAGATTGCTCATGATCATGGCTGCTAGGGACTATAAATTACAGATTAAGTGTTTGAAGGGAGATAATTCTTACAAATAGGGTCTTGTTTTTTATTTGATTTAAGTGATCGTGATCACACCATAAGATGGAGGATTTCACAATATATTTCTTTAAAACAATTACATATCGAGAATAAGTTAGTTAAAAGTAACCAATTGTGGATCTTAAAATTACAATTAGCAATTTCAAAAATCAGAATGATTGCAGAACCTTCTAAAATTTCTCTGAAAGTCGTCATAAATTTTTACATTTTTGAGGTTTAGAGAAGGGCACTTATTAAGTCAAATGATGTTATTACATGTATTTGGATGGTTTTAACTTAGCCTTTATTTTAATTAAAAAATGATCATTTTGCCCTTTGAAATATCAGAAAAAAGCTCTTCCAGCAAATCTTCTCCTAATTGCTAAGAACCTATTGACATATTATTTAATCTTTTGCATTTTCTTTTTTTTTGGGGGGGGGGGGGGGGGATTTCCAATTGGAATTTCAATGGATTAATTCAGGAAAATTTACAAATTGAGAATGTCAGAGTTCTTTAAGTACTATGATTAACCTAAGGAGATTGATAAAATTAACATTCATGTACTGAATCAGAAAAGGTCTTGTGATGTACAATGTTAATGGCATTTTTTTAAAGCAATCAATGTTATAAATTATAATGTATTTGTATGGTGAATATTGATCATAAATAAAGTTAGTTAGAACATGGTAAATATTGTGATTCAAACATATCTGAATATGGCACAATTTGTGATGATAATGCCATATAAATCCATTGTACATGTACATCACAATAATTATTCGGGATCCAGAAATGTTAATTCTAGAAAGTCTTACTTTTCATTTTGGATTCCGGACTGGAGTAGGAGGCACTGTGCGATACTTTTTCAAACTTCGGGACAACAATCTCTTCTTCCATTAGTACAGGCCTCTTTGGGATTGCTTTCACTTCTTCCTTCCCTTTCTTGGAAGATTTTGGTACAGACTTTTCCTTCTTTACCTCCTTTTGATCCTTTTCAAGATCATGTAGAATTTCCAGCTCATCTTTTGGAACTGGAATGTGGTGAATCACTTGTTGGGTTTCTTTTGCCACATGTGGCTCCTCGTTCTTGTTGTGAAGAATAGATTTTGGTTTCTTCTTGATATTTTGAGAACGTTTCCCTTCAGTTGTGGAGGCTGTCAGTGGTTCAATGATTTCAGGATCAATTTCCAAATTGACCATCTTTTGTTCCTTAGGTAATTCAGGTTCCGAAACCTGAAGTCCTTTTTCTTTTGGTTTCTCTTTCGTCTTCCTAAACTTTTTTTTCTCCTTCTCTGCCTTCTTAAGGCTTTTCTCTTTCAGTTTTTCATCTTCAATTCTTTGCTTTTGCTCAGCCAATGCTTCTTCAAAAGTTTTTTCTTTTATACCAAACATAGATATAAGATAGATCAGCAGAGCTGACAAACAAAACGCTGCAATACCAATGAGAATAATTTGAGGATCCATTATGACAGGTGATAAGAGCAGTTATTGTCGAATTCCACTTGACTGACACTTGTTAGATGAGGTAATTACCACGCCCCTCCCCTATTTATTCTTTCTTCTTGACAGACATCCAACAAACGCTAAATACACAAGGTGGAGAATAGACAAAGAACAGTGACCAGTCAATTTGAGAAGGGAACTGTCAGTAGTGCTCTGGAACTTGTTCGTCAGACTACACAAACCGTACTCCTCCAGATGATTTTCCGTCCACGTCGGCACTCAGCACTTCCTCACTGCAGCCGGTGAAAAACCGGTAGCAAAATAAATGAAACCAAAACTAAATCCTTATTATGAAAGATATGAATCAACATATATAATAAATTAATTAAAACTACAACCTTTGCTTGGTATAATAACGTTAATACTTATGTGGATGCACTTTTCTTCTAAGCCCGTATCTTGTCAACGTGGATAAAAATTCTTCCGGAACTGAACCCGTCTGAGGGCCTTCCCGATTTCAATGGACGATCAGTATACCGTAATTCGTTTGTAACAACAAATTTCATTGGTGCAATTCTACTAAGCGTTTGGTTCGTCTGCTCAGCATCTTCGTCAATCTCGGGAATAAGTTAAGTCCAAGACTATTATGTCAAGAACAGAACGCATGTTTTGATTACATCCCTCATAACTTTTTTTTAAAACACTCTAAAAAGTTACGGTTTAAATAGTTGCACAAAAGTACCAGTTTCTTGGACTATCCATTTCCAATTAGGAAATTGTGACAGTAAACGCGCTGAGTGCTAAATTGATGGAATAGCCAGTAATTGAGAACGAGACAACCTTATGAAACTAGGGCGCCATCTGGTAACCAATCGGCTCGCACCTGGTCCATTTGTTCTTTGTCTGAATAGCGTTGTTCTGACACTTTCGCTCGAAGTGCCTACTGTTGGCCATTCCCAGATAATGGAGGCTCAACAAGTTCAAAAACGGTCGGTAGACGAAGCGGAAGCGTTACTTGATGGTGTCTCAGCAGTTGTCGTTGACATCGAAGGAACAACCACTTCATTATCGTTCGTCAAGGTAAGACGATGCCGGCATCTCGCGCACACATGCATACCGGTCCACCATCNGTATTTCGGAACTTTGTACTGTTACGATCGAACTTGAATTTTGCACACACCTAGATATATGAACAACCTTTAGGAATCAGAAGAAATAAGTGAAATAAATCTTATAACGAACTAGCGGGCGCGCAAAAACCTCGGAGGACACTCGGAGGACACTCATTACCCGGAGGACACTCATTAGGGTGACCCCACCATCATGCTCATCTTCCTGCTTGGGTTGGAGATAAGGCATGCAAGTATGGCAGTTTTTCACATCAGTCATGTCGAACGTCTAACATCGTATTTCAATCGTCCTAAAGACGCTGACGTGAATGATAATTGTCTTGGTATTTCGATGTATCACAACCTCTTGTGAGGCAATATACATGTATACTATTCAGTATCGCACTACCGGGTTCATCTGCATTGCACATTTGAGTGCACCATCTTCGAGACAAGAGCGTTTTGTGTGACTGTTAATAACATATAAAATGTGGCAATCCTCTTTTCAAATGTTGACGAGACGTTTATTGTCACTGACGAATAATCGTGACTAATTGGTAAAAAAAAACAAATATGATGATATTATGTATGCAGGAGTTATCTTTCTTTGTTGACCTATGTTTTCCCTGTACTTCAAACTTGATTTTTATAAAGACGATATTTTCTTTACTTTTCAGAAAGTATTATTCCCTTATATCACTGAGAATGTTGAAACATACCTGAAGAACAGATCTGATGATGAAGAAACAAAGGCAGACATTTGTGCACTTCGTGAATTGGTAAGAGACCAAAACTTTAAAAGTATGATTTAGTTATTGTGACAAAAGTGCATATAACTCAATTACTAGAAGTCCATCAGTTATAGAAGTTCATATGTATACATCTTAGGAGTACTGAAAAATATATCGAACGACACTCACTGTGACCTATGTTTTTGCATCTGACTTTTAACAAAGAGACTTTGCATTTGNGTCATCAACAAGGCCAAATGTAAACATCGCGGCGAAAGAAAAAGATGCATGCAAAAGTCATGACAGGCACGAGGTATCAATACCGTTATATATAACAACAACATATAGGTAGGAATACTACACTTGCATCATACATGACCTTTGAATACAATTATTTACGTATAGTATTGCTGTCTTGTCCGCTAGTTGAGTCCGACATGGCACATGACAGCGTGCTATTGTTGTTATCATCTTCACTGCCTCACTTTCGAAACAACCACGTGACATATATAAATAGATCTGCGCTAAATTTACGCGAGGCTTCCCAGAAATTTCAGTGGTCAAAACTGGACATTGCAAGCAGAACTCAACCATTATCTTGCCGTGGTATAACTTTTGGAAGGCCAGAGAACACATTTAGACCCATTTATTTTGTAATTTTTTCCCCGACCAGCCCCTTTAAACACGATTACTCTAAATAAGGCAGAAAATAATCTTTTGTTGATTGCTTGCTAATCATCCAGCCCTTTACCCTTTGTGCTGGCCTTGAGATGTTTTGGTGGTCTGTTATGGGGGAGGGGGGGTTGCCATTTTTCAGGTTTGAACCAGAGATTAAAATACACCAAAAAGAAACGAAGAAAAACAGAGTCCATACTGTGTGCAATTAGTAGATGTGAAATGTGAATTCTCCTGAAATAGTGTTTTCTTCCAAGACAGAATTTTTTGACGAATTGGAAAATTTAAAAGAAATTTAGAATTGGCACTGTTTTTCCATCATTTTCCCTCTATGGCCCAAAAAAACCTGTATTTATACCAACAGTAACACTACTGCTGTACTAAAAAAAAAATCATTTTAATTTCCTCTCTTGTCAGAATCGCCGCTGATGTTTTTCATAAATACTGAAATAGATAGAAAAGTCTTGTCAGATCTCAAAGAATTAGGCTTAAGAGGAAGAACTTCTAGTTGAGATATCATTTTAAGCTGTTTCATTCATCAATTGATAATTTGATTTAGACTAAACAGATTGATTTACACAATTAAATTGCAAAATTGATTTGACAAATTATATGAATTGTTGCTTTTTAGGCTTGTAAAGATGTAGCTGAGAAGATGGAAGGATGCATAGAGATTCCAGATGGAGAATCTGATGAAGTAATCAAATGCTGCGTTGAGAACATCAAATGGCAGATGTGCCAAGACCGCAAGTCAACAGCTCTGAAGCAACTGCAAGGACACATGTGGAGAGAGGGCTATAAAACAGGCAAAATCAAAGCCTCGTACGTGTATTTTGTTTGTTAGATTAAGTCCATCATTATAAATATGATCAGATTCGTACTTGTTATCTTTTACATATTATTCAGACATGTGAAAATTTACATCATGGGAATAAATTTTTTCAATTCTTGTTGAATACAAATTTATTATTTTAGATATTCATATCAAAAATAAAGAAATGGTCAAAAATTTGAACTTGAAACAAAATGCTCTACTGTAAATGTACATATTTTAGCAGTAATCTTATTTTCATGCTTTGAACAGTGTGCTAATTTCTGTATATTGTTTTCTATTGAGTGGGTGTGCCAATTCATCATCACTAATCTATTACAAATTGATAATGCTGTAAAAAAAAAACGTACTAAAATGGTGTCGTTTATGGAACATCATGGATGAAAATTGGAAATAAAATCAGATAATTATGAATTGTTAAGCAAGTAATTTCTGACATAGCAGTAGACTGCAAAAGAATTATGTATCAAATCATCCTCGATACTCCAGGGGTTACGCTCACTTAGGCTGTCTGCACCCCTGGAAAATGTCGTAGCAAAATTGAAGGGTGCAGAGAGCGCGAGTGAGCGTAATCCCTGGGGTGTTGAGGATGGTGTAAAACATTGACCAGATAATTGATTATTGATGAAATGTTTGCATAAGATTTGTGAGGACTTATGACAAATCCGTTCCGTTATTTTTGCTGAAGGATTTACGATGATGTGGAGCCGGTGATCACACAACTGATAGATGAAGGTGTGTCTGTGTATGTCTATTCCTCGGGGAGTATAGAAGCACAAAAACAACTCTTCAGTCATGTGGAGGAGGGTGATATCTCAGATGTAAGCTTGCACTATATAGATACTAGATTGTAAACTGGCACATCCCTCATTATAACTCCTGCTACAAAGGAGCAAGAGGTATTGCCTATGTATGTCGGTCAGTGATTGTACATGTGTTGATTTATAATTGTAGCTTGCAACTTGGTGCAAATGTCAAGTACCTTGTCTAAATTGAATTAATTTCACCGATATGTGCATTGATGGTCAAAGCAGGACACGGGCAATACATATCAATCCAAATGGCTTGTTTAAAACTTAGTTGCCAATTTAGAAGTCGCATCTTTTTTTAGTAGCAAAATGAAAATAAAATTAGGCAATGGCTTTTTTTGCTACTGACAGAGCGAGCCCTGCAGTAATGCCTTCGATATATACCCTTGCATGCTTAGACTGATTAAAAAAAAAATTTAAGCCGTGATAATAATTACTCGATTTTTTAAAATGTTGGGATTGGGTTGCTATCGCAATCAAAACTTGCATGTCCATCTTTTCCAGACAGGCTTTGCTGCTCTCACATACACAACTGAACTTGATGTAGTAGTATATGTAATAATAAAAGTAAAAAGATAATGGAACAAAATACTAAATTGATATATTAAACTTTCCACTGCAAGTACATGATTGTGATTAATATATTTAATAGAAAACTTACAAATAAAAAAATCCATAGTCTTATATATACTTGTAAATACATGTAATAGTAGGAACCAATATCATTAATCTGTAATTCATCGATTACAATTTTCACCATTGATACAACTTCTTACCTATGAGCATAGACAAGTTTCAAATCAAGTGATGCATTTCCTTGTATTATGTATAGATATTGTAATCTGGTAACATGGGTATTGTATGGCAATCTTAAGTATTTTCATTTGTGAACTTTTTAACATCAAGCGTATTATTTTGGTCATTACAGTTATTTACAGATTTCTTCGACACGACCATAGGCAGCAAGACCGATGACTCCAGTTATACTGCTATCTCGGAAAAAATTCATGTGGACCCTAGCCAAATTCTTTACCTCACAGATAACCCCAAAGGTTTGTATCCAAAATTATTGTTCGGCATAAAAATGTGGTTTCTACAATTCTCACAAAATGATGAATTAATAAATTTATCTTCTTTCTGTGAAAGACGGGTCTTTGTTGAACAACAGAACAATTCTAAACTATAAATTCCTAAGACTTCATACAGGTGTATCAATCTAGAAAACATTAAGAACTTACTAGATTGATGGTAAATGTGGAATTGAGCAAATCATAAGAAAATATACATCTTTGTTAAAATTATATATATTGTTCATATGCACTTTAAAGATGCTGTACAGAATCAAATTATATACTGGAAATGATGGTGTCAAAACCAACGTAATGGTATTTTATTTTTGTGCATGAATCTTAACATTTTATGCAATACCAGTCAATAGATGTGAGACTAATTTTTTCTCAGAATGATAAAGAAATTTGGTTGAAATTTCAAATATTCATTCTGATTACCAATGTGAACTTAATTTTTCAGAAAAAAAAATGGTTCTCTTTAGTGTCGTATATTTATGTAGTTTTTTATTAAAACATAAATATGAGGGTCATATTGCATTTTGTATTTGGAATAGTGTTCAGCTGTATACTTTTTCATTTAAGCTTGTTTAAATTGTTTTGTAGAAAAGTTTTTACATGTGTATTAACCCATTCACTCCTAAAGTCAGATTTGAACCTTACCAAATCATAGACTGGGAAAGTCCAGTTTAAATATGTAGGGGTGAATGAGTTAACATCAGAGGATATGTTACTTTAGAATGATGTTCATTCCTTTGAAGTTCAGATCAGAAATTTGGTCAAAAACTATTGTATTTCAGTTTGTGCCTCCATCATGGCAATTGAATTAATAATAATTTGAGGTTCTTATATACCTCTTTATCACAACCTAGTTCGTTGGTCGTCTCAAAGCGGTTCACAAATGATTAGCCGTGGATATAGGGTCTTTGCAACCAGCCAACATCTTTCTAAACTCCCTGGGGAGCATAGTCGGTGCTGCCATTTTGGCGCACACAGCTAGCATTCAACCATTCTAGCACTTCCCAACCTCGTACTCATTTACAGCTGAGTAGACTGGAACCAGCGGAGTAAAGTATCTTGCTCAAAGATACAACACAGTGCTGTGCCTCGAACCCGCAACCCTTCAGTCACGAGCCCGGCGTCCTACCACTAGACTACCGTATCTCCTATGCAGAGATATTTTTATGAAAACTTGCGTTACTGATAGTATCACATACCACTGTTATGTCTGATTTTTAGGTCACGAACAGAGTATTTTGCAATAAGCAATAGCATTCCAGATTCACCATCCTGTGTTTCATTAAGATATATCACTGTCACATTTTTTGTTGTTGCAGAGGGTGCAGCAGCTATGCAGGCAGGGTTCAAAATAGCATTGGTTAATCGTGAGAAAAAAAACCCATTGATCACAAAGCAGGATCACTGTGACTTCCTTGTGATATCGTCCTTTGGAGAACTCTTTGGTGAGGATGAAATGGACCACAAGAAACTTGAAGGAAATGGAGACCTTGATGCCAGCGACGAAGAAGTCGATGACGATGGTGCCGAGTTGGATGATGATGATGATGACGATGATGAAGATGAAGTTGATGAGGAAGAAGAAGATTTAGGAGATGATGATGACTAGTGTGATGGTTCAACAAGTGGTTGTTGATACATGGATAAATGTCTCATGTTACAGTCCTCATCACTCATAGCCAGTCTGACATTGCATGTGGAGAAAAGGGTGAATGCATAAGAATGAGGAAAGGATGTGTACAACAACCGCATAACTCACATTGAATTGTTTATATTTAGTTCCATCAAGGGCAGGATTAAAACATTAAAAAATCTTTTATTGTTTCAAGATGCATCTTCTTTAAATGAGTTGAAATCTTGCCATAAAAATGAAATCAAATGCTCTTTCACCAACTTCGGTCTGAAAATCTTTTTCGTCTTATATTTGGACATTTTTTATATACTTTTTACAACTAATTTATTCTATTAATTTATGCCTGTTGCTTAGTTTACCTACACCTTTAGGAAGCATAAAAAAGGTTTGTTGATCTATTCATTTATATTGAACCACATTTGGCAAATTAATTTATTTCATTCATGCTGTTTTTATATATTTTTAAATTTGCTGAAATAAAATTTGTTAGTTTCATATTTTAAATTCATGAACTCCATTTGAACTGTGAATTGTTATGATTTATTTATGTACAGAATATACAACAATGCCTTTTGATTTCGTTTTTTTTTCTTCTAACCATTGGTTTAGATCAACAGCATTGACTGCTAGTTTATTGAAGGTAGAATGGCAATTGTTGCTGTTAAATGGCTATGTAGGCACTGAAGTGTCAAGGCTGTTCTGGGTTTGTTCTGTAGTAGTTATGTTTGAAGTGCTTTGGTACTTAATTCATACTTGTTGTGTGTGTAAGGTGTTTACTCATAAATACCTTCTTTGAGGCAACTATACATATATTGTTTTATAAGTCTGTATAACCAGTGTTCTGTGAATGGATCTTTCGTCCAGGGTATCCTATATTTTTATTGTTATCAGATGTTAAAATATTTTCTATAAAAATATTTGTAATAACGAATCAAATTTTCTCCATCTTTGGTATGGTTTCTCTAATGCAGTTTAATATAGATGTGCAAACCATTGTTATCTCTGATGAGTAATGAAATTGCTTTGCTTAATTATTTTAGCTGGTTTCGAGAAAAATTGATTTAAAAATAATCATTAAAACTTCTTTGCCAGGTGAATCAGTCTTTGACTTCAACATGTAAATTGTTAGTGCAAAAAACTCATGTCTGAACCCCTTCAAGCTAATAATTCACTCGTCACAGAATGTCTTCAAACCAAGGGAGATTTCTGTAGGTGCTCGTGCTGTATCAAATGTCATTTGTTAAGCAGAAATACCTGATTGGGCAAATAATATTAAAAGTTGAACTTAGAGTACAAGTAAAAACTATGTTGATTTCTGTTGTAAACTGATATTTGAACATACTTTACACTATTTGAAAGTTACATATATACAAATTTTGTAGTTATGTATCATTAATTCAACAGAAATATTCAGCATTATGATACCTGTAATCTCCATTCAGGTTCCACTCTTGCCTTGAGTGTGAATTTATAATTGATGTTTGTTGTATACTCTTAGTTTTAATTATAGGATTTAGCATCATTGTTGTGTTCAAATATAAATTGTATTCATAATTTTGTTGGGTCATGTGCAAAAAAAATGAAAAAATTATTAGGTGCTCCGCAGGGACAGCTGGTGTTTGATTCAATGTGGAACAGATGACTGGCCCAAGTCGTATAAAGTGTGGATTTTAGGGACGGGAATCTGATCCCCTTGATTGTGTCGCACCATAGACTTAATCATTTGCTGTTGCTTGGTAAAAGTTAATTCTGTGTACCATTTAGACTACTAAGTATTCTCTTGCATATTTCGTGTGTAAATCAAAGGAAGATGCAGAAGAAAAGATTCTGGATGTTAAATTGTAACGTCTAGAACAAGATATCCGCATCAATCCCTGTAAATACTAAATTCATGGAAATGCCTACAATATGTTACACAGATCAATGCAAGCTCTTCATTCTGTTTGCATGCATATTTACCATTATTTCTGTGTTATTGAAACAGTATGTTGAAGAATGGCTTGCAATATTTTACCCCCACTGTTAATCTTTTTACCTGAAATTCAGATCAAATGATCTTGATATTACAACCATCATGTATTCAGTTCAGGTTAACTATATGTTACTTATTTGACTTTATTGGTCCAATAAATATAGCATAGTTAATAAAATTTCTTCAATGATTTTGATGGTCATGTGTAACTCATTGGAATAATATTTTTTACTGAAACATTTTGTTCATGAATAACATTTAATATTGTATAAAAATAAAAGTAGTTTTACAACTGTCTGCAAGATCTACTTGTTATGTGTGTATGACTTGAATTTATAGGTCATTGTAACGTATTGCCATGCGTCTCCATCTGAATGGTGTTTGATATATTTATCGTGCTGATTTCTGTCAATAAGATCTCGGGACAAGTTGGAAAATAGTCCCAAGCAGGCAGTAACTTGCAGAGTTATGGGACTTTGAAATTTTAATTACAATTGAAGCTTGTGGGGCTAAACTTGTGAGCACAATAAAAGTGAATGGATTTTGATAAATTTTGCTATGCTGCTTTATATCAATAAGATCTTGAGGAAGTCGCAGGAGCTGCCTCATCAGGCACTAACTACTAGTCATATGCCACCTTGCAAATATCTCCCTGCGTGTGAGATGTAATGTGTTCTGTTTGTAGTAGAATCGAGCTTCCAACGGCATCATTTAAAGTGCTACAGCACAGATACTGTAACATCCACTCCAGACCAATTTATACTCTACCTGGGTTGTGTGAGCAGGAGAAACCCTTTTTTTCTGAATATCCATGCAAACGACGACTTCTGGGATCAAACCCCGGCCACCTGTGTGTAAGGCTGAAGTGTTTACCACTCGTCCAATCCGCCCATTTAGTAAAAGGGAATTGATTTTGATAGATTTTGCTATGTTGCTTTATATCAATAAGATCTCGGATGAGTTCAAAAATGGTCCCGATAAGACAATAATTGGCAGAGTAATTGGACTTTGAATTTTTAATTTCTATTGGGAGCCTATGGGATGTGAGCATGGTAACTTTAGTATAACATAATAATGATATACAACATTTGATATATCGCCCTATCTAGCTAATATAAGCCAGTCTAAAGCGCTTTATACATTAATAAATACAATTTTGAGGAATTTGCAGGAGCAAACTACTAGTCCTATGCCACCTGGCTAATATCTCCCTATGTGTGTAGTCCTATCACAGGAATGGGCCAGACTACTGAACTCCTTGAAATGTTCATGTCATCAGAATTATTGAGGAGACAGTTCTGAGCCAAGGCGACCTGGAAAATGAAAGATCTGACCACAGTGATTACCCTGGACACCTCTGTCCATACTTCACAGTGTTTACCCTGGGAATCTCTGACCATACTTCACAGTGTTTACCCAGGACACCTCTGTCCATACTTCACAGTGTCTTCCCTGGATACCTCTGTCCATACTTCACACTGTTTACCCTGAACACCTCTGTCCATTCTTTACAGTGTTTACCCTGGGTACCTCTCCATACTTCAGTGTTTACCCTGGGCACATCTGTCCATACTGCACAGTATTTACCCTGGGCACCTCTGTCCATGCTTCACAGTGTTTACCCTGGAAACCACTGTCCATACTTAACAGTGTTTACCCTGGGCACCTCTCTCCATACTTCAGTGTTTACCCTGGGCACATCTGTCCATACTGCACAGTATTTATCCTGGACACCTCTGTCCATACTTCACTGTGTTTACCCTGGACACCACTGTCCATACTTCACAGTGTTTACCCTGGGCACCTGTGTTCATACTTCATAGTGTTTACCCTGGACACCACTGTCCATACTTCACAGTGTTTACCTTGGATACCTCTGTCCATACTTCAGTGTTTACCCTGGACACCTCTGTCCATACACTACAGTGTTTACCCTGGACACCTCTGCCCATACTTCACAGTGTTTACCATGAACACCTCTGACCATAGTTCACATTGTTTACCCTGGACACCTCTGACCATACTTTACAGTTATACACTACAGTGTTGATCCTGGGCACCTCTGTCCATACACCACAGTGTTAACCCTGGACACACATGTCCCTACTTCACAGTGTTTACCCTGGGCACATCTGTCCATACTTCACAGTGTCTTCCCTGGATACCTCAGTCCATACTTCACACTGTTTACCCTGAACACCTCTGTCCATTCTTTACAGTCTTTACTCTGGACACCTCTGCCCATACTTTACAGTTTTTACCCTGGACCCCTCTGCCCATACTTTACAGTTTTTCCCCTGGACACCTCTTCCCATACTTTACAGTTTTTACCCTGGACACCTCTGTCCATACTTCAGTGTTTCCCCTGGACACCTCTGTCCATACTTCACAATGTTTATCATGGACACCTCTGTCCATACTTCAAAGTGTTTGCCCTGGACACATCTGTCCATACTTTACAGTGTTTCCCCTGGGCACCTCTGTCCATACATTACAGTGTTAACCCTGGACACCTATGTCCATACTTCACAGGGTTTACCATGGGCACATCTGTCCATACTTTACAGTGTTTCCCCTGGGCACCTCTGTCCATACTTCACAGTGTTGACCCTGGGCACCTCTGTCCATTCTTCAGTGTTTACCCTGGCCACCTCTGTCCATACACTACAGTGTTTACCCTGGGCACCTCTGTCCATACACTACAGTGTTGATCCTGGGCCCCTCTGTCCATACATCACAGTGATACCCTGGGCATCTGTCCATACTTCACAGTGTTTACCCTGGACACCTCTGCCCATACTTCACAGTGTTTACCATGAACACCTCTGACCATACATCACAGTGTTTACCCTGGACACCACTGTCCATACTTCACAGTGTTGACCCTGGGCACCTCTGTCCATTCTTCACAGTGTTTACCCTGAATTTATCTGACCATACTTCACAGTGTTTACCCTGGGTACCTGTGTTCATACTTAACAGTGTTTACCCTGGACACCTCTGTCCATACACTACAGTGTTTACCCTGGGCACCTCTGTCCATACTTCACAGTGTTTACCCTGGACACCACTGACCATACTTCAAAGTGTTTACCCTGGACACATCTTTCCATACCTTACATTGTTTACCCTGGACACCTCTGACCATACTTCACAGTGTTTACCCTGGACACATATGTCCATACATCACAGTGTTAACCCTGGACACATATGTCCATACTTCACAGTGTTTACCCTGGGCACCTTTGTCCATACTTTACAGTGTTTACCCAGGGCATCTGTCCATACTTCACAGTGTTTACCCTGGGCACCTCTGTCCATACTTTACAGTGTTTACCCTGGGCATCTGTCCATACATCACAGTGTTTACCCTGGACACCTCTGTCCATACTTCAGTGTTTACCCTGGACACCTCTGTCCATACTTCACAGTGTTTACCCTGGACACCACTGTCCATACTTCACAGTGTTTACCATGAACACCTCTGACCATAGTTCACAATGTTTATCCTGGACACCTCTGTCCATACTTCACAGTGTTTACCATGAACACCTCTGACCATAGTTCACATTGTTTACCCTGGACACCTCTGTCCATACACTACAGTGTTTACCCTGGACACCTCTGTCCATGCTAAACAGTGTTTACCTTAGGCACCTCTGTCCTAACTTCAGTGTTTACCTTAGGCACCTCTGTCCATACTTCAGTGTTTACCCTGGGCACCTCTGTCCATACTTCACAGTGTTTACCCTGGACACCACTGTCCATACTTCACAGTGTTTACCATGAACACCTCTGACCATAGTTCACAATGTTTACCCTGGGTACCTGTGTTCATACTTAACAGTGTTTACCCTGGACACCTCTGTCCATACACTACAGTGTTTACCCTGGGCACCTCTGTCCATACTTCACAGTGTTTACCCTGGACACCACTGACCATACTTCAAAGTGTTTACCCTGGACACATCTTTCCATACTTTACAGTGTTTACCCTGGACACCTCTGACCATACTTCACAGTGTTTACCCTGGGCACCTCTGTCCATACATTACAGTGTTAACCCTGGACACCTATGTCCATACTTCACAGTGTTTACCCTGGGCACCTCTGTCCATACACTACAGTGTTGACCCTGGGCCCCTCTGTCCATACATCACAGTGATAACCCTGGGCATCTGTCCATACTTCACAGTGTTTACCCTGGACACATCTGTCCATACTTTACAGTTTTTACCCTGGACACCTCTGACCATACTTTACAGTTTTTACCCTGGACACCTCTGCCCATACTTTACAGTTCTTACCCCGGACACCTCTGTCCATACTTTACAGTTTTTACCCTGGACACCTCTGCCCATACTTTACAGTTTTTACCCTGGACACCTCTGTCCATACTTTACAGTTTTTACCCTGGACACCTCTGCCCATACTTTACAGTTTTTACCCTGGACACCTCTGCCCATACTTTACAGTTTTTACCCTGGACACCTCTGCCCATACTTTACAGTTTTTACCCTGGACACCTCTGCCCATACTTTACAGTTTTTACCCTGGACACCTCTGCCCATACTTTACAGTTTTTACCCTGGACACCTCTGCCCATACTTTACAGTTTTTACCCTGGACACCTCTGCCCATACTTTACAGTTTTTACCCTGGACACCTCTGCCCATACTTTACAGTTTTTACCCTGGACACCTCTGCCCATACTTTACAGTTTTTACCCTGGACACCTCTGCCCATACTTTACAGTTTTTACCCTGGACACCTCTGCCCATACTTTACAGTTTTACCCCGGACACCTCTGTCCATACTTTACAGTTTTTACCCTGGACACCACTGCCCGTACTTTACAGTTTTTTACCCTGGACACCTCTGCCATAACTTCTAAGTGTTCATCCTTGACACCTCTACAGTATTTTCTTTCCTTACTCCATGCTTAAGACATCTTTACATTTACAAGGCTAAGATATACTCAGGAGCCACATTGATTCAAAAGACTAAAACACACATTCGACCCGGTAAATAAATAATGTATTTTGGTTACCGTTACAGTACCTAAATCGGGACACTTTTTAGTGAAATATTGATGTATTTCATACCATAGTACCAATCCCAGTAATTTTTGTTCACTTTTCCTAAACAGATATAATCATTATCTTTTCATTTTGATAACAAATTGATATTTCCGGCGCGTGGTTCTACAAATAGAACCGGAAATATAATCATGGTTACGTAATCGCGAAACAGGTGTAGCTGTATCCAAATCGGGACACCCCTACCAGTTTTGGCTTATATTTGGAGATGAAAAAAAACATTTAGCAGAACATGGCATATATTTGGAATATTTAAGAGTCAATGGTCGTTCTGAATGAATTTCTTTTCCAAACTACCATAGTTGTGAAATAGTAGGATTGTGAAAAATCACGTACAAAAAAAATCAATAACGTCGCATGGCGCATCAATTTAGAACGTTACATTTTCGTCATTATTTACAAACTAAAACTGTGATTGTAAGCATAATTGGCAGTAAATAAAGTTCATATACTGTTTTATTGGTATATAAGCATCTTTGAATCAATATTTTCAATTTGAAAATACTTCTGTGCACAGCATGCAAATTTCTCATGACTTTTTCCTTCAAGTGTCCTGATTTGAATACTGTCCCGATTCCCAATTTGGGTACTGTCCCGATTCCCGATTTGGGTACTGTCCCGATTCCCGATTTGGGTACTGTGACGGTACCTGTTGACTACCATATTCATTTCACGAGTATGGCCGATATACTTCACGATTGCGAATCACGAATGAAATATCGATATATGATATTTAATGGAAAAACCATTACTTTTTCTTTTAATTACATTTTAAAACTACCTGCAACGACGAAAATAGTTGGTGATATAAAAGCGTGATCTTTGGTGATATATTTTCAGGACATCACGCCTGACAACAAGACGCCGCAATTTTGATTGGACTACTTAACAAAATTCTATGTTTTTCTGCTAGAAAAAAATGGTAAAAGTGTGAAAGATATCAGTTTTATCAAGTTGATAAAATTCGGTTTAACACTGGCAAAAGTGTAATAAATCACACCAGATGACATAATAAAATCGGGCTATATTATCAACAGAGTACAATAAAACGATTAATGAATGAAATAAACACGTTAGGAACTAAATATAATCATTCACTTTAACTATACATGAAAGTTTAAACACCCAAAACATCCAGCATAATAAGTCGAGCGCCCGAGATGATATGTCGAACGCTCGAGATAATATGTCGAGCGCCCGAGATAATAAGTCGAGCGCTTGAGAAGTTATTTCAAGTGAAATAATAAGTCGAGCGCTCGAGATAATATTGTGCATGTCCTAAATGTACCACCGTACAAGTTACAACATATACAGTACAATACAATTATATATATATGAACGCAAACAAAATATACAGACATTTTTTTCCATTATGATAGTGGAGAGTGAAAATTATATTAAGGTAGTTCAAACATTTACCCACATTTCTAATGTCGGACTATTCACTGTCTAGCAGGTGGACAAATTTAAACATTATAGTACGATTTACATAATATATTTTAATGAATTTAGTTCTAATGTCAGCATAACAATTGAGCTTAACATTCCCTGTAATAATATGTGAATGTTCCGTCCAGCCGAGTGACCAGTAGTGGCTAGACTTGCCCCGCTGTCCTCTCGAAAATCGAAATCACGAGATTTGTAATTTGGCCCTAACCGGCCACCATACTAAAGACCCCCTTATAGGCCGGGACAAGCTATGCCCGTTTTTATTGAGGTCGTTCTGGGCAGTATGACATTTGTTGAAATTTATACGTATATATATACTATTTGGAAGAGACATTTCATACCTTTCATGAAAATAAAACAAACAAAGGAGCAAACACGTCCGTATGAAGGATTTTTAACCTTTTTTTCCTACCGGAAGATTGGATTGCCGAACGTGCCCGGTACGGTGCCTTGGAGCACTTTAGTGATGCCAATGTTGGAATCATAATTATGACGTAACTAAATCATGCAATGTCAGATTTTCCCGCCAATTTCACGACTTTTCATGAGTTGCACGGGACTTAACAAAATTGCCCCGGTAGATCGAACGTGCCCCAAATTGATGTTTCAATTAATTCGTATATTACAGCAATACGAAAGCTAGTGTTAGGCTTTTATGTGTGCTATAATGTGAAGCTGTCAGTATATATATATATATGTTGCATAAATAAGTAGCCTCAAGTCTGTTTACAGAAAGTTTGCATAACTAACTTTTAACTTAGTTCTAAGAAGTGATGAGGTCATGATTTTCTTTCTACTCTACCAAAACTAAGTAACTTAGTTTTTCTCCCTTTTAATAATTTTATGAATGAGTTTTCCTCGCCATTTGTTTTCGTGTGAACGTCCCATGGTCCCGCTCACTGCTAGGACCCTCAAAGTTGTAAATATTCAGCGGAAGACCAAAAATATCAGGGCGGGTCGGGGGGCGAGCTTGACAGTATACCTGAGAATTGTTCACCGCTATATTTCTTCTTCTTCTTCCAGTAATGTGACGGGCTGCATGCGGAGCATATTAGCACATGGTTGGACCTAAACTAAGTAATTTTACATGTTTTAGGGGTCAAGATCGGCTTTCGGTAAAAATGACACCCCCAATGATCATATACATTTTAAGTGTACATAGGAGGTTTTTGAAAGAAAAAATATCCATCCTTCCAACGGTACCAAGCATTTTCCCGTCAACTAACTTAGAAATATTGTTTTTGATGTAGGAAAGTTAGATGGGGTCGAGATTTCGACATCGAGAGCTTTCCTCCCTTCTCGTATATATGATCTAAACCCCTAAAACATGTAACATATGTAATAAAGTTGCGCAGAACCCCCATTTACTATTCATCACATGTATACTAGCTGTAACAAATGATCAGGTCCCTGTGTTTCATAACGTTACTTATAGATCACTCTTCGATTGTTTGTATCCAATGTACTAATTATTTGTTGTATTTTCACTATATGGGCAGGAAAGACTACGGAATAAAGAACACTGAACATTGAATATAATCTTTGTCTCAAGTTTGGCTGACGCTTATTTATATATTCCCGCCTATCTCATAAAACATATCGATCAAACTGAACTACCGATCGTAACGAGATCTCCACGAGATGTAAATGAAAAATGGCTTCCAACGAGACTACTATACCGGAGACAATCGCATAATCATGTGTTGTGAACGAGAAAAACACAAAAAAATGACTTGAAGTGTGGCACAAATATAACTTAAACCCTTTATCTTTAAGATATGGGTTCTCACATTATAGATATCCTGCGTCAGGGGATATGGGCATCATTGAGCGGAGGCTGGTTCTACGACCCCCATCAAAACATCTTCTCGAACACCTTCCATCTGTATCTATGGGTGGCTCTGCTCGTTGCCCCCCTGATCCTCCACCTTGTAAGTGATTTGAGCAGGAACTATCTCAGGTTTTCAACAGGTCGATACATTTTGTGTTTGATTGTACTGTTTATATTTGATGTGCTATTTTTGTCGGATCGTATATCGGTCAACTTCCTACTTTCATTCTGTCATAAGAATTCCTGCATGATTCATCTCGGATGTCACTGATAAAGATTCACCTACCCACATATAAGGTCTACACGTAAATCACAGCTCCTTATGAACGTAAATCACAACTACCTGTGTGTGTATCGATAAGTAACAAGCTGTAACGCTGGGAATCAGGATTTATATGAAATTAGTCTAAACATAGGTTAAACAAACATATAACACGGTGTTTTTTGTTTTGTTTTTATAAACTGATTTCTCCAGGTTGGGAGGAAGGGGGAATCCCCCAGACACACACACACTTTACAAAAACCTGACTTTTTGACACTACCAACACCATTCACTCTGAGCACACATGGATAAAACACTATTTATGTATAAGATTCAGTAGCTTGAAATTATTTTCATAAACGTTTAAAAATTTGGACAGTTTAGGATACTATATGCTGAAGCTCAATATCTTTCCATAACTCAGTAAAAAAGGAAGAGTGGAAGTAAAATCTTCCAGAATTCCAGCATTTTGAACAGTTTATGATCGAAACCCCAATGCAGGTGCACAGGATGACCAATAAAATTGCCAAGTCATAGTGCTATCAAAAACTGCAATTTATTCTATAATTAGATATGAGACAATGTCATCACATTCAGTTTAATGATGTATTTAATTGTGGTTGGAATATATATAGCATCTAAAACTAAGTAAAAAACCTATACAAGTCTACAGCAAAGGAAACATGATTGTAAACAATGTTTTCCAATTTTCCATCTATTTCCCATTGAGCCTTGTCAAGAGGCTCGGAAGACTATGTATATCTGCATTATTACTGTTCAAATAAATTGGTAAGTCAATCATATTAAAGCAGAAAAAATATTTTTGATTAGATATAATCTGTTTTTAATTATTTTCTTTTATATTTTGGTGAAATTTCATATTTAACTATTTAATATACTGCTTTGAGATGAAAACATTACGCTGGCACACATAGTTGTCATTGTAGAATTGGTGTTTAAATGAATAGCCCTGTTGTATGTACGTCATGAATTTTGTTCGCTTTGAGCAATTCATTTGACAGTAGAGGCTAAAATCTGGCCTTATTGATGGAACTCTGATTTCCTGTAAAATAACTTCTTAAATTGGTTGAGCTTTGTTATTGGAATTCAAGCCCCTTAAATTCTATTCCACTAGAAATAGGCATGAAACATGTTGATAGCAGATACTGAGATAAGGATGTTCAGACAAAATTAGGATGACTATATATATCAACCAATGTAAGAGTTTCTTTTGCTGGATGTGACAAGATCATTTACCTGCTCTGAGTTCACCAATTTGGTAGAATGTTAGGTCCCGACATGGTTTCTGTAGGTCCGCCCACACAGTAAAGGACAACAAATGATATAAGTTTGATAACACTTTGTACTAGATTAAAATCACCTCTTTAATTATGAGTAGGCTCTAAAAATGTGCATTTCAGTCAACATGTGCCTGACATCAAGATAATGTTTTTTTGACAACTTGGGATTAGGTCCGACAGACTTTTTACCATATTTTAGGCTAGCTATGTCCACTAGTCATTTTTTGGGTCCCAGACCTTGATCTTAAGGAAATTTCAGCCACTGATACTTCACATGAAATGAAAAGTTCTAGAATTGACTCATGACTATTTATTTCTGGATCTTTTTGGGATGTATAAAATTGTGTAGGTTATACTGTATATGACATCAATTCCCGAATGTGACGAGCATGATGTCACATCCTGCATGATGTAGGTGACTTGATATACATGTCTGTTATAGCCTAAGTTGATTTGTCCCATTGAGTTGACTATTTTCTTCAATCTTTCCTTCAATTATACTTGAGTATTTAGTCAAGATGTATACCATGAAATACATTAGCTCCACCTCCTCTGTTATTCAAGGTGCCGGTAATGACTTGGTGTTAACTGTTTACATCAATTAGCACTAGTGGTGTAATTCCTACATTCACCAAGCACACATATAGACAAAAAATTATACTTTTGATACTGAATATATATATATACCAGTCAAGATTTCAAATTGTGAACGTAATGCTACAACAATACAGGATATTTTGACAGTTGAGTTTAGCTGTCATTTACCAATTTTCAGCAGTACACATTGGTGTAACTGTGTGCGTTGGGGTGGTGAGAGGGCTTAGGATTCCACACTTTATGATATGGTTGTCTGAAATCTTTTATCTTTAGACTCCGAACTCATCTGTCCTAACACTAATTATACTGAGGTGTATATATTCTTTCAGACCCTTGTCTCATCTGTGCTACTATGGGGGCTGTACTGCCTTGTGGTGGGACTGGTGTTTGCCATCCTCAAGTGTGTAAACTACCGCCTCCATCACATGTACGACACCACAGAGCTGACAGAGGGGAAAGACGAGGCAGACAAAAAGGACAACAGTGATAAGGACAGCAAGACCATTGAACTAGGGTAAGCTTGTATGTTGCAGTTCTAGGAAGCTAATTATATTCAATCAAATAAGTTTTTGTGTTTTATAGGGGTCAAATGTTCAAAGTCAAAGTGCTGTGTGTTTGAAGAAAGTTATAGAAAGGAATATAGATGTATTATATTGTTGATGTGTATTTAAGAAAATGAAAAAACTAAATAAATATTGTGACTGATGATATATGTACAATTTTGGAAGAAGTTTTACCAACCTTATGTTTTTGTCTTAGTAAATCGAGTGGGCGAGGTAGGGATGATATAGAGCTACGTCCCATTGGTCGCCCACTGTCTGTACAGCCTGGAACTAGTCACCATGATGAGGAGAACAACAACAGAGGCGTGGCGACAGTGGAACGTGACCTAAAACGGAGGCGGTCCGACAGATCTGGTACGCAAGAAAAAATTAACCACACAAAGTTATTACTATTTCTTCATGTTGCATGATGTATTTTTTATAAAACAATAAGTCATTAAGAGAATTTTCATTTCATTTTTTGGACAATTCCGACCAAGAATTTAGAAATTTCTTTAAAAAGGGGAAAAAAGAAAATTTGGTTTCACCCGAGAAAAAGAGTAAATATCCTTGCTCATTAATTTAAGCAGGGGATCATATTGATGTTTATAGTGACTGAGTGCAGTTCCTTTTTTTGTCGATTGATAGGTTAAAAAACAGACGTTAGATGCATTGATGTTACAATGTTTTATCATTTTATTGATTAAGGAAATTAATGTTTGCCTTTTTTTATGTACTTCAAAACTTTATTAGTGTATACTTTGTCAATTAGAAAAGAGGAAGAACGATGGGCAGGCTCCCCTGGCTGAGCTGGAAGCTGATGGGATGGATACTCAGACAGAGACAGGTCAAAAGGAAAAGAAGACAAAATCTAAACTGGAGGTGCAGGAACTCACTAATGTAAAAGGTATTCTTCAAAATCAGCTTGTTTTTGAAAACAAAATCTATTTGTTACTAAATGTGATAATACTATGTGTAACAAGAAACTACCATGAATACAAAAACTATTCATGGGTATAAATATATATACATGTACACCAATTCTAATGGAATCTGTTGTAGTTCTGTATATGAATTTTGTTTCAGGTGCTGAAGGAGATGGTGAAAAAAATTCAAGCCTACCTGTTCAGAACACCACAAACTCTGCCAATCAGATAACAACAAAAGCGGATGTAGAGGTGAATCCCCAGGTATCTGATGGTGAGGTAGAGCAGGGTGAGATATTGGGACTTAAACTTCGTGAGGACACTGACTCTGACCTCTCACCTGATGCTGGATCATGGATACGAAGACGTCGCAAAGCTGTCAGAAGGACTAAAAGTTCTTTGGAGAACACCACCAGGCCGATCCCTCAAATACATGATCCCAGCAATAAAGTCAATATTAGATCATCTCTTCCTCCTCATCAAAGATTTTCAATGCAGACAGTGCAAGAGCAAGGACATTCTGAGACCGGACTCATTAGGCCTCATAGTGATCAAAACATCCTGAAAAGAGTGCGACGGTCCAAAAGGCCAGGAGATGGTTGTGCTGTGGTGGACGTTGAACAGTATACAGGAGCTAAAAGGCCTACATCTTCTGGCTCTTTAGAGTCGACAATATCTTTGGAAGCTGAAATCATGCTGAACCTCATCGCAGGGAAACAGTCAGAAAAGACTGAACAAACAAACTGTGAGGTTGTGAATGAAAAAGTAAGAGAAAATCACAATGGTGATATAAATAGTGATGATACAAAAGACGGAGATTCAGTGCCATCTTCACCACATATTTCCAAAAGTACGGAGGTGCTTTCTAATAGGAAACTAACAGAAACTGAAGTTATTTCAAATAGGAGGCCCCGTCCCAGTGCTGCCTCTGTTGACAGGTTGGGAACTAGGGAGAGCAAATTGGAACGTAGCTTTACTACGGGTAAACCACGCCGCCCAAAACGATCCAAAGACAGGCCTTGTAGTGTGGGAGATCTTGAGTCTGTCCCAGCTAGCTTTGTTAATGGTAGTGAGGTAGGATCAGGAGTCAACTGTAAACCCAGAGACTTATCATTGACATCAAGGATTGCAAGATTTCTACAGGGAGGTAACTCTGACAATTCCAATCTCCAACAAGAGGCAGGACCCTCACAGCAAAGCAGCACAGTTGGTCTAGACTGGCTCTTCAGTACTGATAGCGACTCGCTTAGTTCTGATGGACGTAAGTATCTTAAAACATGAAATCTGTGCAAAAGAAAAATCTGATGATGAATGTCTGGAACATGTGAATTAACACTTATATTTGTAAGTCGGAGAAAATTTGGTAATAATAAGTCAGATATATATTATTTCTTTAGGATGAATCATCTTTAAAACCTCATCAACTTAAACTGTCAACTTTATAAAATTTATAACTTACATTCAGATAAAGAATGAGAAATTTCATTAATCAACCTTTGAAGAATTAACAGATTTTGGGGCAAATATCCAAATCGGGACATTTCACATTTGACAAATATTACAAAGGTGTATTCACTCAATTTCACTGCATGCCCTGGACTATTGTGTTTAAATATTAGTACTATGACTCAGTTTGCAATATATGCCATAAACACATGGCAGTTTTGATGTTTTCAATGAAACCATCTATAATAACAGGGGAGAGTCCTCATTATGATAACAAGATGTGGTCAGACTCATCCAGCACGATGACAAATGAAGGGGACACAACTACTGTGGAAACGACCAGCCCTGACCTGCCAATTAACTACACGCCCCTCCCAGACAATGGCATCGTCACCACCCCATCCACACCAAGTCCAGATGAACTCGAAGCTATGAGGAGGCAGGGCGCTATCCCCAAAAAGTACCCCACCCGCCCACTTCCTGCGCTTCCAGCACCACCAATACCATCGACTGTACCAATACAACCACCCACTGAAGGTAAGTTTGGGGATGTATAGATTTGAAAATGGTACATACTGGAAAATATACTACTAATTATTGGAAAAAGATCCTCATATTTATACATGGTTATTTTGTCATGTTTCTTTTTCCAGAAATTATTTTTAATGTGTACATCATGGACATTGTTAGTTTCTGATGTCAGTGTCCAAATATTGATATTCTTATCACCTGACAAAATAGAACCATAGAAATTTTATACTGTCAAATCTTGTTATTTTGCCATTATTTGTCAAAGCTTATAAAGGGGGGTTGGTAATACATGGAGGGAGATGTATAAAGGAATTGTTAAAAATGGAAAAGGGTAAGATGAAATATACTTATACATCAGGACAAATAAAAAAAGAGGAAGTTAGGGTTACAGTCAATCCTAGAGATTTAATGCCCAGACAAGCACTTGTAAGTCAAGGGTTTTGGTGCACTGTAATTTTGTTTTGGAAAATAAATAGCCTACCTACCATTATTTTTTCTGGATGTAGCACTAAACAGATATTTAATTTTGTTTGACCAAATTATGTTTCTTGTCAACAGATGAACCTACACCTAGTGCAGCTACTCCTTCCTCTGGAGAACTCTCCGATCCAGAAGATTTCCGTCGCAAGATTTTAGAGATCCTGAGTGAATCATCAGACAATCCTGAACAGATAAAGAAACTGATCAATGTTGTTATCACCCAGGCTACAGGTGAGGTTCTTATAGTTTTAAGAGTTTAGAGACTTTGTTCATCCTTATATACTGGTAATGTGTTTCTGTATAGTGAATTGACTTGTTTGTTTTTGTCTTTAATGGAGCGTTAACATCTTTTAAGACATGTTTAAATATGTTTTGCTGACATTGTGTGTTTCTGTTCACAGAGAGACGTGGCAGTAGAGGCACAGATAGCCTCAGTGGGGACAGACACAAAAGAGGTACATTCTGTCATAGTTACGTATAGGGAAAGCAAGTAGAGAAGGAACAAAACAAACATAATGGACCCATTAACAACATGTTTGTTTCATTATGATAACCACTTTATACATTTTACCATATTATAACTAATATTGATGACATGTTTCTTCTTTATTATCTCATCAGCTGTGTTATATATATATATATATATATGTATCAAATATTGTCCATACATTTTTCAGACAAGGAAAAGCAGGGTCCACATACCACTACTCCTAGCGCCCCACCTCCACTGACTGAGGACCAGGAGGCTCACTCATCCAAGTCTGCCACACCTACTGAGGTGTCTGCTCTCCTTCCATTTACCAACCAGGTTTCCACTGGCTCTCGTAGTGGTCGCAAGTAAGTCTTAGTCCACTACCCCTCACTTCCCAGCCCTTCAGTTACTCCGCAGTGGTCACAAGTAAGTCTTAGTACCCTACCCTCACTTCCCAGCCCTTCAGTTACTCCGCAGTGGTCACAAGTAAGTCTTAGTCCACTACCCCTCCCTTCCCAGCCCTTCAGTTACTTAGCAGTGGTCACAAGTAAGTCTTAGTACCCTACACCTCACTTCCCAGCCCTTCAGCTACTTAGCAGTGGTCACAAGTAAGTCTTAGTACCCTACCCCTCATTTCCCAGCCCTTCAGTTACTTAGCAGTGGTCACAAGTAAGTCTTAGTACCCTACACCTCACTTCCCAGCCCTTCAGCTACTTAGCAGTGGTCACAAGTAAGTCTTAGTCCACTACCCCTCACTTCCCAGCCCTTCAGTTCCTCAGCAGTGGTCACAAGTAAGTCTTCGTCCCCTACTCCTCACTTCCCAGCCCTTCAGTTACTCCGCAGTGGTCACAAGTAAGTCTTAGTACCCTACCCCTCATTTCCCAGCCCTTCAGTTAGTCAGCAGTGGTCACAAGTAAGTCTTAGTCCACTACCCCTCCCTTCCCAGCCCTTCAGTTACTTAGCAGTGGTCACAAGTAAATCTTAGTACCCTCCCCCTCACTTCTCAGCCCTTCAGTTACTCAGCAGTGGGCACAAGTAAGTCTTCATCCCCTACCCTCACTGCCCAGCCCTTCAGTTACTCAGCAGTGGGCACAAGTAAGTCTTAGTCCCCTACCCCTCATTTCCCAGCCCTTCAGTTAGTCAGCAGTGGTCACAAGTAAGTCTTCGTCCCCTTCCCCTCACTTCCCAGCCCTTCAGTTCCTCAGCAGTGGTCACAAGTAAGTCTTCGTCCCCTTCCCCTCACTTCCCAGCCCTTCAGTTACTCCGCAGTGGTCACAAGTAAGTCTTAGTACCCTACCCCTCATTTCCCAGCCCTTCAGTTAGTCAGCAGTGGTCACAAGTAAGTCTTCGTCCCCTACTCCTCACTTCCCAGCCCTTCAGTTACTCCGCAGTGGTCACAAGTAAGTCTTAGTACCCTACCCCTCATTTCCCAGCCCTTCAGTTAGTCAGCAGTGGTCACAAGTAAGTCTTAATCCCCTACCCTCACTTCCCAGCCCCTCAGTTACTCAGCAGTGGTCACAAGTAAGTCTTCGTACCCTACCCCTCACTTCCCAGCCACTCAGTTACTCAGCAGTGGTCGCAAGTAAGTCTTAGTCCACTACCCCTCACTTCCCAGCCCTTCAGTTCCTCAGCAGTGGTCACAAGTAAGTCTTAATCCCCTACCCTCACTTCCCAGCCCCTCAGTTACTCAGCAGTGGTCACAAGTCAGTCTTAGTACCCTACTCCTCACTTCACAGCCCTTCAGTTACTCAGCAGTGGTCGCAAGTAAGCCTTCTTTATCCCTCTTTAGCCCTCTTATCCCTGACTGCCCTTGTCACAACTTGCCAATGTAGCAACTGCATGATAACATGTATTATATGAAAAGTTTATTCATCTGAATTGCATAGTGGTTAGCAGTGTGTAAAACAATCACATAAACTGTGAGGCCCATTGCTACTGTCCTATATTCACTTGCAAACTTTCTGTGACAGTGTGAAAAGACGACGAGTAGACAGGACCAAGTCAAAGGGTCGTCACCGCCACAACACACCGCCACAATTGTCAGAATCAAGTGGCAATCAAAGTGTCCACATGGCTGCCTCACATGATGACACGACTGAGGGAGCTGTTCACTGGTTTCAGGATGACCAAGGTAGGCTGCACAAAAGATACCTCCATAACAACCATTCAAAGGGAATTTGATTTTATCAATACTTTGAAAAATCATGACTAATGCTTACCTTATCTACACAGATTTTTTTTGTGTAGGGGGGGTGGGGGTGGGGGTGGGGGGAATGCAAAGTAAAAGTCTGTTTAAAATTTTGTTACTTCATATGTATAGTATATTTCAAATATCTTGAAGTGTCCTGGCATCTTTGAAGTCTATAACAAGCATACACCCTCTTCATAATATATAATAAACCATAAACTTCTTTCAATCATACTCACATTTTTTTTGTAAGCTTAAGTTAATTTGGCATTTACAAGGTTGATTATTGAAGTATTTCCACCATTTAAGAATCCTAATGCTATCTTACCCAAAATATCTGTGGTTTGTGTTAGAGTTATCTCCCTTAGATAATTAATAATTCAGAAGTACTCTAGGAATATCAGTGTATGCATTCCAGTGGACCTCTCAAATATTGAAAGCACTAGCCCTTATGCAATTTATGTGGGGTTTTTTAAATTCTGCTAGTCAGACTTATAGTTTCATAAAATTCACCAGCTTCGACTAAAAATCTACAGGCAATGAGCTTGTGAAACTGTATTTCACTGATATCGGCTTTTAACCAAATCCTGAGACATAAGAAGCATTGTACAGGTTTCTTAGTGTGGATGTTTGTTTGAAAGGAAATTTAAAGATATCATAGCAGCATATATATCCTTAAGTGAGTAGAAACAAATCAATATGTGTACAGGCTGGAAATAGAGTGCTTCACTTTCGTAGTAGTTACTATCTGTTTCTGTGTTATAGGTAACTGGTTGTCGTACACATTTGGGGAAAACAGCAGTGGTGTGGCCTTCAACACCAACGAGACTGTGGATGCCTCAGTACCGTGGTCAGAGAAGAGGTCAGTAATTTGTAGTCTGTTTATTGTGTATAGCATCTGGATTCTTTTGTGTTTGCAGGGTAGAAATTCTGTTTTAAAAAACTTCAGCTTCAAGTTAGTTGTTCTTGATATTTTGAAATCTCCTGTATAATTTGCATAGATTTTTGTCTGGGATCAAATGTAATTAATAAACTTGTTGACATACGTACACTATAATTGTCTTGTTAGTGCAACTCATTTATCACTTTCCATCCCAATATCATAACGTTCATTAATGCTGGGGGTAAACGATCAATCAACATTGTTAGCTCAATGTGTAACAGTCGGCATGTGAGCTTATGCCGTGGCGCAGCGTCAGTCGTCACAGGGGTCAAATATGTTTAACATCTTTTAATAGGTTGGTCTAGTTCACTTTTAAGGTAACAAGTGTGAGATTAATACCAGGTGAGCGATGCAGGCCCATTGGGCCTCTTGTTGAAAATAGCTTGTTGGTAAATGACTTTGTGGTTTTGCAGCTGGAGCCTTAGTGGCTCGGATTCTACAGTGATATTGGACTCACCTAAACCTGAGAACAATAAGGATGAACCCAGCCTGTTGGACCCAAATGGGCAGGTTGTCATCAACTTTGTGAACCTTCCTGGTTTAGTGGAGTCCCATATAGGATTACATAATCGCCATGCACGCATTCCGTCAGGCTGTCCAACAGGAAGTTCCTCAGACTCTGATCTCCAAGACTCGGCATCTCGAGATGGAAAACCAAAACCCTTCTACAAATTCAAATACGTACCTTATCTGACAAAATACATTAAGGTCCATTTTGATAGACTGGCATTGTTAGCTTTATTAGATAGGTGAGTATTGATAATTTTAACAAATTGAGATATTCTTACTGCATAATTCTAATATTCATACTCATTCTATGACATAATTATTCAAATTTGAAGGTGATTTTTTGGGATTTCTATAAAGTATTCTCTTGTTTTTGCAAAATCATAACTAATGTTTTGAAATAAATATTTAAAAAAAAGGTTGTTTAACTAATAATAAATTATAAATATTTAAAAAACATACTGGTCAAATTATTTATACATATTACATGATTTGTATTTTGTTTATTTAACAGGAATTTAACAACTATAGAGAATATTGTAGCTGTGATAATATCAGTGGCTGTGGCCGCCCTGGGAGCCCTAGTCCTCAGCAGTAACTTCTACCACGACTTGTCCGTGTTCCTCTTCTGTTTTATTATTGCCAGTTGTCAATATTCACTAGTAAAGGTAAGTTTAGTCTAGTCATCTATATTGTCTAGTATATTCACTAGTAAAGGTAAGTTTAGTCTAGTCATTTATATTCACTAGTATATTCATTAATAAAGGTCGGTTTAGTCTAGTCGTCTATATTCACTAGTAAAGGTTGGTTTAGTCTAGTCGTCTATATTCACTAGTAAAGGTCGATTTAGTCTAGTCGTCTATATTCACTAGTAAAGGTAAGTTTAGTCTAGTCGTCTATATTCACTAGTAAAGGTTGATTTAGTCAAGTCTATATTCACTAGTAAACGTTGGTTTAGTCTAGTCTTCTATATTCACTAGTAAAGGTCGATTTAGTCTAGTCGTCTATATTAACTAGTAAAGGTAAGTTTAGTCTAGTCGTCTATACTCACTAGTAAAGGTTGGTTTAGTCTAGGCGTCTATATTCACTAGTAAAGGTCGATTTAGCCTAGTCGTCTATATTCACTAGTAAAGGTAGATTTTGTCTAGTCGTCTATATTCACTAGTAAAGCTCGATTTAGTCAAGTCTATATTCACTAGTAAAGGTTGGTTTAGTCTAGTCTTCTATATTCACTAGTAAAGGTCGGTTTAGTCTAGTCGTCTATACTCACTACTAAAGGTAGGTTTAGTCTAGTCGTCTATATTCACTAGTAAAGGTCGATTTAGTCAAGTCTATATTCACTAGTAAAGGTTGGTTTAGTCTAGTCGTCTATATTCACTAGTAAAGATAGGTTAAGTCTAGTCATCTATATTCACTAGTATATTCACTACTAAAGGACGGTTAAGTCTAGTCGTCTATATTCACTAGTAAAGGTAGGTCAAGTCTAGTCATCTATATTCACTAGTATATTCACTACTAAAGGTAGGTTAAGTCTAGTCGTCTATATTCACTAGTAAAGGTAGGTTTAGTCTAGTCGTCTATATTCACTAAAGGTAGCTTAAGTCTAGGCGTCTATATTCACTAATAAAGGTAGGTTTAATCTAGTCGTCTATATTCACTAGTAAAGGTCGGTTTAGTCTAGTCGTCTATATTCACTATTAAAGGTAGGTTTAGTCTAGTCTATATTCACGAGTAAAGGTAGGTTTAGTCTAGTCGTCTATATTCACTAGTAAAGGTAGGTTTAGTCTAGTCGTCTATGTTCACTAGTATATTCACTAGTAAAGGTAAGTTTAGTCTAGTCGTCTATATTCACTAGTAAAGGTAGGTTTAAATTAGGTGTCCATATTCACTTGATAAGTTTTGTCACTATTCAGTAATACAGGAGATGTAAGTTTAACCTAGTTGTTAACATTCACTAATAAAGGCAGTTGAAATCTGCAGTTGTCACTCTTCACTTATTAAGTTAAATGTATCTGTAGTTGTCAACATTCATCAGTGACTTATATGATATTTTAAGTTTGTAAATTTGTCTTTTGTTTGTATTATGACTTAATAATTTATGGGAGTTATCATGATTTCAGAGTGTCCAGCCTGATGCAGCATCACCCATGCATGTAAGTTTGACTTTATCATTGTCATAGGAACATAACTGTCCAGAACATTGCACAAAGAACACATCATTCACAGCAATAATTGTAACAGAATTCTTTCTGTTTGGTATAGATACAATTCATATTTTACACTGTTCTAAAAGAATAACCTATAAGATATTTAGGAGCCCAGATGGGCCACTCTTTGTCATGACCAGCTGATAGCAACAACATAAAAAAAACTTGTTTAAAAAAAGTTTTTATGTAAGACGTATCACTTTATATGCAACAAGCCCAGATATAATGAACATAAATTGGCTGTGATGCTGCTGATGTGGTCTTCTGTTGTTACAGGGATACAACCGTATTGTGGTGTTCAGCCGTCCATTTTACTTCTGTGTGTGCTGTGGCCTTATGCTGTTACTGGACCATGCCCGGCGACTTGTTCCCACCACTCCAACCTATGTCTATGGAGTGCCATTTACTGTTGCGTCCTGTCTCATCTTCGCCAGGGACTTTCTTCAAAGTGAGTAGTTAGTTCATTAAGGTAATGGAGAGTATGTGTATCATTTTCATACTGGAATTAATTTTATTAGCAAACAGATATATTATAGTTCTGAGGTGCCAGTGTCACTGTTTAAATAACATTAATTGGTGAACATTTAAATGAACATCCACGCCACTTAAGCATTTGTTGGACCAAGCAATCAGCCAAAGAACTCATTATATATGATCACATTCCGTTTTCTAACAAAAAAAATGTAACATGTTCTTTGATATTACCAAATATTTAGCAGGTAATTTGTTTTCACTTATAAACTCGGTAGCATCAAATACTGGAATCAGTCAGCTAAATTGCAGACAACGTAATCTTAACTACAGAGTTATGTGGTTAGTAACATTGTGTGTTGCAGTGTTTATCCTGTGTTTCCCACTCATATTTACACTGGGCCTCCTGCCACAAGTGAACACCTTCATGATGTACCTGTTGGAGCAGATTGACATGCATGTGTTTGGTGGTAATGGTAAGTCGGACATCAGTCCCATTGCTAACCGATAAATTAATACTCTTTACAAAAAGTCCTTGTTTTTCCTCTGAAATATAATGTACTGACCAGGTAGTGAAACATTGATTGTTCATTTAGTAGTATTGAGCATATAAGTGGTTTAAGATACCAAATTGGTGGCCTAAATTACTACTTTTTACAGGGAAACGGGTATTAGAATGCCTCTGTGACTTTTAAAATGAGACTACATGTATAAACTTACCAGTAAAGACTCCACATTATAGCATGAATTATTAACTCATTCACCCCTGAAGACACAATTGAACTCTTCCAGTTCAAAGGTTCGAATAGTTCATTATGAAATTTCAGGGGGTAAATGAGTTAATGTTTTTAATGCAGGTTTGATTTTGATAATGTGATATTTATCATATATTTTAAGAGTGCATGTTATGTTACTGATCGGAATTTGGAGGTGTTAGTTTACTTTGTGGTGAGGAAAGATCATTTGATATCTTACTCATCTCTATAGCTTTTTGGTTAATGCATACAATTCTACAACTACTGTACTGTAAGTTTGAGAGTCTCTTTCTCCTGTATGGTGAGGAAATAACAAATGATGTTTTGATAATCTGTGAGATTGTGTATTACGTTACAACAACTGTTCACGTTGTGGTGTCTGTTTACTGTATCGTTAGGAAAGATTATTTAATATTTTGATCACCGACTTTGAGATTGTGTTTTATGTTACAGCTACTGTGAGTTTGGGGGCGTCAGTCTACTGTATGGTACGGAGTGTTCTTGCTGTCACCTTTCTATATGGAGTATGCTTCTTTGCCATTGAAGTAAGTACTGCTGAACAGAATACAGGCTGAAGCTTAAAGTGAACTCATTGTTTAAACTCTTTTAAATGGTAACTGTGACATTAAGTTGGTGACATTTCTAAAATAGAAATAACGCAAGTGTTTTCTGAATTTCAGCATAAAGGTATTGTTTAAACCTTTGAACATTTCAACAAACTGAATAATGACCTGTAAGTCCCTCTTTGAATATAACTTCTGTGGTGTTTTATGATATCTGACAGCCACAAGAGGTGACCTTTGTTTGTTTTAAAAAATAACTTTATTTCCTTTGTGTTATATATTTATCTTAAGATTTTAATGTATCCCAATATACATGATATAAATTTTCTTTGTTGTGCATTGCTGGGTTTGGGGTTCAAATTCCCTGTCAAAAATTGTCCTGGCACAGGATGGCTCTCATAGATTATGCTTTCTTTCGCAGGATATAAACTGCAGTTATAATATGTATCAGTATGGTACACTGTATATGAAAATCGTTTTTAAGTTTCTGATTGACATCCATTGTTTTTCTCCTTGCCCTTGCCACCCTTTCCTCACTTCCTTTCTCTAAAGACAATACCATGCTATGCTACAGGTTGGAGCTGGAACAGGACAGCGTGCATGTGATGACAAGGACCTGTCTCAGAATGTTTTGTTTTCAATCTTTTCTGCACTGCTGGTTGCTGTATCTTACCACCTTAGTAGAAGTGCTAGTGATCCGTCTGTTTTGTGGTAAGTGAATCACTTAATTCCTAGTTTTATTATCTGCTCTCAATCTGTCATCACACATTGGTTTCCAGACTATAACTTTCATGAATATTTTTGGAGTTCAGCCAAATTTGGGTTATGCTTGCAAATTAATGCAATTCTCAGGAGTTAAGAATAGGCAAAAAATCGCCACACTTGCTGGTAGTGGAGCATTTGCTGACGTTTTAGTGTGGGAGTTAATTGGTATTTTGGGAAATGGAATTTACCTAACATATAGAAGAACATAGGGCAAGATATCCTAAGAACCATCATTCAGTAAGTCCACATATATGTTATAGTTCATCTTCTCAATTTCCTCTTAACACATGTGTAATAGGCTGTAGGGTACTACTGATGTAAGTCACTCCTATATAGATTATCCCTTAGCATACTGTTTTATAAACTGTGCCCCTAGGATGCTGGTGCGAGATCTCATGTTTACGGAGAAGAAAACTGAAGGAGAGGATGGGGACCTCATAGACCCACTTCCTGAAAAACTTAAGAAATGTGTGGTATGTATATCAAGACAGAAATGACCAGTAAATAAAGATTCTTTCATTTCCTTTAATTTTTGTAAGGTTGATAAAGCTTAAAGCTGTCTGACAGTAAAATTTTGATCAGTGCATTTTAAAAAAAAATCATTAAAGTCAGTACAGTAATTTCTAATGTAAAGTTTACAGCAGCCTATGCCTGTGTGAAGTGGGGGAAACGTATACATTTTTATAAAAATTGCGCAAATATTCCTTTTCTTTCCTTTATTTTGAGAAAGTACCAAGTATTTCACTTTTCGACGGTGGGAAAGTGCTTGTTTTCGGCAGTTAAACAAGGAAAACACATTGACTTCAAGTATTTAAGGTTTCTAGTATCTGACAGCATTCAAATTGGGGAGTTAACCTAATCTACCTAATGTGTTGTTTGACAGAGTGAGCGTCTACAGTCAGATCTACTGGTTGTACTAGTCATCCTGGTCATTGGGTTTGCTGTCCACCTCAGTACAGTCTTCAGCAGTCCAGATTTACAGGTCAGTCTCAGTTCTCAACAGACATCAATGGGGTTATAAAGTGCTTTCAGCCTTGATTGCCTTTAAACATTATGTAGTAATTAAAAAAAGAAATCTCACTGTTTTGTGATTTTCATGTTAATATGTGTTATTATATAACAAACTTATAACTTTACTTTGAACTGTAAGGCCACAGACAACATTGGAAACATTTAATTTCTATTCACAGATGAGTGCTCTTTCACAACATGTTACAATCTGATTGTGATATATGAGTTCAAATGTTCAAAATGATAAAAAACAGACATACTTTTGAAATATGATATGAGGATCGTTCTGGGAAAAAGAGCTTTTTACTTTGAACTATACGTTGCATTCCTCTCCTCATGATTAATACCTACTCCAACAGTGTTAGGGGTTTACACGGGTAGATACTTAGTCGGCAAAATCATATCTGATAGAAAAAAGGCCAACCAGTGGCCTCTTATGTTATAGGAGTAGATTAATAGCTAACAAATGTGGTGTTGTGTACAGCCCCTGCTGAGTGATATCCTGTACTACATCGCGGCCAGTGTCGGCTTCCTTACACACTACATCATTCCTATGCTGCGAAAGGAGATGCCCTGGCTCTGCTGCTCTCACCCTGCCCTCGCTTCCCGAGAGAGGAACATGTTCGAGGTGGAAGGTTAGTCCCACTGTCTATGTGGAGATAGTGATCACGTGAAAACTGGTCTGTATTGCCAGATAGGTCTTCTTCAGGAATAATTGTATTTTGAGACCATCCCCAGGAATTCTGTGTCAGGAAGTGGCCTCTTTACACAGGTGACCTCTTAATATAGGTTCATATCACTATGAAATCACCAAGTTGGAGAACATTAAAAGTGTTCTCCTACTAGAGATGATCTCATAAGCAGGTTTGATTGTATATATTTGACACAGTATGGTTATTTACAGCATTGAGTAGTGACACGGTCAGTGATGTTCCTCAGTTAATCATTGTTTAATTGAAATATTATTCCATTGACAGGTGCTCCAAAGATAATGCTGTTTGAGCGATTCTATGTGTGGCTGCGTTTCTTTGAGCGTAATGCCATGTACCCTGTTGTCTTTCTATGTGCCTTGACCCGGTCAACACCTCAGATTGTCTGCAAGTTTGGAATATAGTAAGTACATGTGTACTAGGCTTTGTTATTCATAAAAACTTAAAACTTTAAAATTGTATCAGACTAAATTTTAGAAGAAAAATGCATGCATTTCTTTTCTTAACAAACTATTGAAATAACCAGCAGTGCTACCAGTTATCAATGTAATCATTCATTGTAGTGGATTGTTTTTCTGACAAAAACTGTAATTTCCACACTACTTGTTGATTACCAACAAGTTCAGTAATGTTTGTGTAGATACTATTATATTTGGTTGTGAGATAACCATTATTTGTGTGTGTTTCAGTGTGGGGCCACTCATCATTGCCATATGTGCCCTGAAGTTGCTGAGGTTTTCGTTTTCCGACACACCAAAACAATACCTTATAATCACATTCACTGTGTTTTTCTTCAAATATGACTACAGACATTCATCAGAAACATTCCTCATCGATTATTTTTTCATATCCATTATTTTTTGTAAGGTAAGTAAACAGTTACATGTTGATTAGTATATGTATTTTCCTGTGTTATTTAAATAAATCTTGATAATATGTTATTAATTTAAAAAAAATATTATAACTATGTTCTGTTGTATTCTTAGATATTTCTTTAAGCTAATTAGGATTTTTTTTGTATTTTTGCATCAGACAATACAATGTTTAATTCAGATTTAAGATAATATTTAGATCAGTATAGGTGATATATTTTTTAGATATTTGTTTGAATCATTATATAGGAAAGGTGTATTTTTCATTTGCATCATACAATATTTTATTCAGATTTAAGATAATATTTAAATAAATAAAAAAATATTCATTATAATCAATACACAAAAACTTAAGTTATCCTTTTTTTCCAGTTCTGTGATTTGATGTTGAAGATGAAGTTTATCATCACATATATAGCTCCATGGCAGATCACCTGGGGCTCAGCTTTCCATGCGTTCGCTCAACCATTCAGTGTTCCTCGTATCCTTTGTATAAATATAGTTTACAGTCATAACTACAACAGTACCAGTGTAGGTCACAGTCATAACTACAACAGTATTAGTGTAGGTCACAATCATAACTACAACAGTTCTAGTGTAGGTCACAATTATAACTACAACAGTACCAATGTAGGTCACAATCATAACTACAACAGTACTAGTGTAGGCCACAGTCATAACTACAATAGTACCAGTGTAGGTCACAATCATAACTACAGCAGTACCAGTGTAGGTCACAATCATAACTACAGCAGTACCAGTGTAGGTCACAATCATAACTACGACAGTACTAGTGTAGGTCACAATTATAACTACAACAGTATCAGTGTAGGTCACAATCATAACTACAACACTACCAGTGTAGGTCACAATCATAACTACAACACTACTAGTGTAGGTCACAATCATAACTACAACAATACTAGTGTAGGTCACAATCATAACTACACCAGTACTAGTGTAGGTCACAATCATAACTACAACAGTACTAGTGTTAGTCACAATCATAACTACAACAGTACCAGTGTAGGTCACAGTCATAACTACAACAGTACTAGTGTAGGTCACAATTATAACTACAACAGTATCAGTGTAGGTCACAATTATAACTACAACAGTATCAGTGTAGGTCACAATTATAACTACAACAGTACCAATGTAGGTCACAATCATAACTACAACAGTACCAGTGTAGGTCATAATCATAACTACGACAGTACTAGTGTAGGTCACAATTATAACTACAACAGTACCAGTGTAGGTCACAATCTTAACTACAATAGTACTAGTGTAGGTCACAGTCATAACTACAACAGTACCAGTGTAGGTCTCAATCTTAACTACAACAGTACCAGTGTAGGTCACAGTCATAACTACAACAGTACTAGTGTAGGTCACAATTATAACTACAACAGTACCAATGTAGGTCACAATCATAACTACAACAGTACCAGTGTAGGTCACAATCATAACTACAACAGTACCAGTGTAGGTCACAATCATAACTACAACAATACCAGTGTAGGTCACAATCTTAACTACAACAGTACCAGTGTAGGTCACAATCATAACTACAACAGTACCAGTGTAGGTCACAACCATATCTACATCAGTACCAATGTAGGTCACAATTATAACTACAACAGTACCAGTGTAGGTCACAATCATAACCACAACAGTACTAGTGTAGGTCATAGTCATAACTACAACAGTACTAGTGTAGGTCACAATCATAACTACAACAGTACTAGTGTAGGTCACAATTATAACTACAACAGTATCAGTGTAGGTCACAGTCATAACTACAACAGAACCAGTGTAGATCACAATCATAACTACAACAGTACCAGTGTAGGTCACAATCATAACTACAACAGTACTAGTGTGGGTCACAGTCATAACTACAACAGTACTAGTGTGGGTCACAGTCATAACTACAACAGTACTAGTGTAGGTCACAATTATAACTACAACAGTATCAGTGTAGGTCATAGTCATAACTACAACAGAACCAGTGTAGATCTCAATCATAACTACAACAGTACCAGTGTAGGTAACAATTATAACTACAACAGTATCAGTGTAGGTCATAGTCATAACTACAACAGAACCAGTGTAGATCTCAATCATAACTACAACAGTACCAGTGTAGGCCACGATCATAACTACAACAGTACCAGTGTAGGTAACAATCATAACTACAACAGTACTAGTGTAGGTCACAATTATAACTACAACAGTACCAGTGGAAGTCACAATCATAACTACAACAGTACCAGTGTAGGTCACAATTATAACTACAACAGTATCAGTGTAGGTCACAATCATAACTACAACAGTACTAGTGTAGGTCACAATCATAACTACAACAATACCAGTGTAGGTCACAATCATAACTACAACAATACCAGTGAGGTCACGATCATAAAGACTGATTTTAGTGTTGGCATGTTTATATTCTATGTATTTGTATTATTATAGTATGATACATCCTTAACCTTTACCAGATTCTGCCATGCTTTTTTTACAAGCAGCGGTCTCTTCATTTTTTTCCACTCCATTGAATCCTTTCCTAGGAAGTGCTATTTTCATTACATCATATATTCGTCCAGTTAAATTTTGGGAGAAAGATTACAAGTAAGTATAGAATATAAATGTCTATTTGAAAATATTGATTTTATTTTTGGTTTTTATTTTGAAAAGTGTACATTCAATGTGAATGATATATATTGAAAAAGGTTCTTTTGTTTCAATGTATATTTGAAAATAACTACAAACATTTTGTGTGAAGCCTGTTACCATACTATGCTAGGTGCTATGGTGTATAGTAAATAATGTGTGATATTTGTCTTGACAGCACCAAACGGGTAGACAACACAACCACCCGGCTCTCATCACAGTTAGAGAGGAATCCAGGTTTGTACAACTGTATTACAACAAAAATATCAGATGTATGGTATAGTAGTTTCGCTTTTTTTAAATAAACTGAACTAAGAACGACCAGAGTTTGGGTATTAATACCTTTCTGAAGGATCATATATTACACAAGATTGATCTGGTTGACAAGACATGAGTTGGCAATAGGTCGAGGCCTGAGGTGTAAACTGATTTATACATCTGCTTCAACACAGTACTTTATTGTATTTCATTTTAAGTCTTCTTTCTCATGAATTGTAATAAAAGTGTGTTAACATAAACTTTGAGAGGAACATTGACTGTATCAGTTGCTATAGTGTTATGACAATTGAATGTTCTAATCTGTTATAGGTGCAGATGATAACAACCTAAATTCCATTTTCTATGAGCACCTAACTCGGTCGCTACAGCACAGTCTGTGTGGGGACCTTATGTTGGGACGCTGGGGCAATGCTGAACAGGGCGACTGTTTTATTATGGCATCTGACTACCTCAATGCACTTGTACACATCATAGAGATGGGCAATGGGCTTGTCACCTTCCAGCTCAGAGGACTGGAGTTCAGGGGTAAGGCACTTCAGAGTTACAAGAGCCTACTGCAACTAATAACGTCTATATATGTTGGTATGTGGGATATAGATATTCTGCCTGAGGGTGCAGAATTTGGGTCAGAACAGAAGGTTTGCCAAGCTACTGACACCTGATTCCAAGGGTAGAATTCCCATACCCCACATACCAACATAATGATGATTTACTCTTTTTCTCCAACCTTTTACCTGAAATTATGATAAAACATATTATAGAAAATGTAACTACCATGCTAAATAAAGGGGAAAAAATGGTTTTAAGTATACACATTACGACAAAATAAGACCATATATGAGAAGATCAAAAGTATGGTAAACCATAGGTTTACCATACTTTTCATACTGACAGTCTGAAAGAGCTATGCAAGACCTGCAGGTCTTAAGTTCATAAGGTGTTGGTTGCTGACTACAAGGTCGTTATAGGCAGTCAAACATTAGGATTTTGACTTAGAGGTCAGAATGTGGTGTTGTCATCTAATTGTGATAAAAGTGAGGTTCAGTGAGTGCACAATGAAGGACATGTGTACTACATTGAGTTGTGAGCAAATTCAATTTTCTGGACCACTTATGTTAATGTTGTAACAGATCTTGTGAAAGAATGCATTGTCGACAATGATACCATGCATTTTACTGTTGATTATAAAAGATGTATTGTTATATTGCAAGAAAGCAATTTATCTGTAGATTATATCTGTGTATGGTTTCTGTAGCCTATCACTGAATGAATAACTAGGAAACCAGCCATAGCTAGTAATGGTATGGCACCAAATTAGGATAACATTAAAGAGTGTGACTTGTTTGGTTACAGGAACATACTGCCAACAGAGAGAAGTGGAGGCCATCACAGAGGGAGTGGAGGATAATGAAGGTAAGACTGCACTATTTTCTGATTGGTTGACAGCAATTTGTAATAGCCAATCAATTTTAGTCTGATAAAAAAATGGGAATAGAGGGTATTAGTGATGCAAAGGGCAATAGTTTGATAAACTATCCACTGTATGTTAGTTGTCTGACAGCAAAGAATTTCCCAAGAGTGTGGATAGCTTGAACTTCATATAAGGAACATGTGTTGTGTGTCACAGTACACCATATGTACAATGTATATTGTGTATTCGGTCACAAGGCACACAGATGTGAAAAGTATCGTGTTTTAACTCACAGGATGAACAGTGTGTATTGTGTCTTATCAATGGTTATAAGATTTACAGATGTAGCAAGTACATGTCTTAATGCATCAGATGTACACACATAACAGTGGATGTTGTTTTTCAGGTTTTTGTTGTTGTGAGCCGGGCCACTTACCTCATTTTCTGTCGCTGAATGCAGCCTTTCAACAGCGGTGGCTGGCGTGGGAAGTGGTTGTCACCAAGTATGTCCTGGAGGGCTACAGCATCTCCGATATCAGCGCCGCGTCCATGGCCCAGGGTTATGACACCCGAAAGATGCTTATCTCTTACTACATCATGGTCAGTTATAGCTTTAAAATAACATGTCTTTAGCCAGTCTGCCAGTATCAGATGAATTATAGACATTATGAACAAAATTTTCTTGAAAGAAAGTAAAATTTAAATATATGGGAAATAGTCTTGGGACAATTAAGTATCCTTTTATACACCTATTCATGACATAAGTAAATTATTTCTTACAGTCATATTGCATAAAAACTAGAGTATACAGATATTTCCCTCTGAATCAGAATGACAAGTGGTTTATTCACAGGATGGCACTAAGATAATGGAATGGATAGATATCTGTGTCAATCTTGTATTACAGAGTATTATTTACTATATGGTGCGTTCACCACGACTGGAAACCTGGCTCCAGATGGAGGCTCTTGTAGATGCTATGAGGGTGACAACAGATGATAAGTATGTTGATGTGGACCCAACCTTTGTTCTCCTCATTGATGAAGATTACGATCCCAAACTCAAGGGTATCTCCCGTGATAAATTCTGCAGCATTTATCTGGACTGGATCAACTACTGTGTCAGCCGCAGAGACAAGGTACAGTATTAGACTTTACAATGTCTGACTCAGGGATTATTGATATTTATTAGCTAATATTTTCTATAACATTTGTAAATCAAAATGTTGTCATTGTGTAGACAATTCTTAATGAAAAGAAAAATGTCTTGGCTTTAGCAAAGGTTGTGTGTCATGTTTCAGTCCCTCGACACTGCCAAAGATTCCATGCTGGTTTCCCTGTGTTTTGCCTTAAGTCTGCTGGGCAGACGGGCACTGGGAACTGCTACACACAACACAGCCTCGTCCAGGTGAGTCATGGTCTTTGATCAACTTTAAAAAAAAATTTTCATGTTATTAATGGATTATTATTAGGGCCCCGTATCGGGAGATACAGGTGCCCGCCCGTTAGTAATCACTCTGTCTGTCTGTCTGTCCGTCCACAAATTTTGTTCCTGGCTGATTACTTTGGTATTTATTGACCGATGTACATTTTAACTCGGTCAAGATGTACAGCTCACAAAAATACATATTGAGGTAAAAAGTCAAGGTCAAAGGTCAAGGTCATTAGGTTCAAAGGTCAAGGTTAAATTTTGTATCTTTTCACTGGTGAACATTTTGGTATGACACTTTGAAGCAATGTTGCTCAGAAATAAACAAGGAATGAACTGACCAAAGGTCAAGGTCATCGGGTCAGGGGTCAAGGTCAAATTTTGTAGCTTTTCACAAATGAGGATTTTATGACATTATGAAGCAAAGTTGTTCGGAATTAAACAAAGAGACACACTGAGGTAAAAAGTTGAGGTCAAAGATTAAGGTCATTAGATTCAAAGATCAAGGTCAAGTTTTGCATCTTTTCACTGATGAACATTTTGTTATGACATGATGAAGCAAAGTTGATCAGAATTAAACAAGGAGTCAACCTGACCAAATGTCAAGATCATTGGGTCAAAGGTCAAGGTTAAATTTTGTATCTTTTCACTGGTGAACATTTTGGTATGACACATTGAAGCAATGTTGCTCAGAATTAAACAAGGAGTCAACTGACAAAAATGCAAGGTCATCGGGTCAGGGGTCAAGTTCAAATTTTGTAGCTTTTCACAAATAAGGATTTTATGACATTATGAAGCAAAGTTGTTCCGAATTAAACAAAGAGACACTGAGGTAAAAAGTTGAGGTCAAAGGTTAAGGTTATTAGATTAAAGGTCAAGGTTAAATTTTGTATCTTTTCCCTGATGAACATTTTGTTATGACTTTATGTAGCAATGTTGGTTAGAATTAAACAAGGAGTCAATTGACCAAAGGTCAAGGTCACTGGGTCAAAGGCCAAGGTCAAGGTCAAATTTTGTATCTTTTCACTGATGAACATTTTGTTATGACATTATGAAGCAAAGTTAGTTTGAATTTAAAAAGGAGTCAACTGACTTAAGGTCAAGGTTACGTGGTCAATGTCAAGGTCAATTATTGTATCTTTGTACTGATGAACTTTTTTTATGTTATAATGTAGCTAACTTGGTCGAAATTAAAGAATAAGTCAACTGACTAAAGATCAGGGTCACTGGGTTAATGGTCAAGGTCATTTGGGTCCAAAGGTCAAAGACAAAATGGATCTCTGACTTTGACCCTTGCTCTTGATGGAAGAGGTATATAAGGTGAAATAAAACAAATCAAAGCTAACAAATGAGTATTGCACCGGTATTTACATTTCTGTTAGCCCAGCAAATATGGAGGTGGAAGGAAACAAGACTAACATCATAATACATGTAAAATGTATATTTTGCTTCCTTGCGATTCTTTTTGGAGTCCAAATGTCAAACGTCAAACTCAGCTATATGGGCAGATTGCTTCTTGATGATATGGGGGATATATTGCCACAAGACGGGGCCCTTACTGACCTGTCAGTGTTCTAGTTAAATTTTTGTTTGGTCTATCGAGGCAGAGACCAAACTAAGATGTGCACCCTTCATTAATGCGCAAGGAAGCTTAGAACAATTTGTTTTGTAAAAATGTGTTTGTTTCATGGCAAATATTAAAGGAGTTCTGTTGTACATTATTTCCAGTTGATGAAATCATGAGCTAAAATCTAGACCAACAAGATAGCTTATTATAAACAAAATTAAATTACCTGATTGCGAATTCACTAGAAATATTTTATCCCAGTATTTTTGTGGTTATAATAGTCAAAATAACGACATGTTTCAGCAGCAAAATAAAGTTTATAATCGCAACAATTAAAAATCTGTATAAATACTGAACAGGGATTTGAAGAAAGCAAAGAAAAAATAAAAACCATTATATCCTCTGTTTTACAGTATGGACTTCTTCCTGCATGGACTACATGCACTGTTCAAGGGTGACTTCCGTATCACATCGCCTCGGGATGAATGGGTGTTTGCCGATATGGAGCTGCTAAGGAGAGTTGTTGCCCCTGCCATCAGGATGGCCCTCAAACTTCACCAGGTAGAATCTGAGTTTCTTTTCTGTATTTAGTTAACCTGATGGTACCGGAAAGGCTGCAGTAAATTTCTATCAATATAACCATTAGCCTGTACACATTGTTTCCCCTTAGGAACCCAAATATGCACGGGGATAATAAACTGATTTGTTTTTGCCATTGTGAGGCTGTATATTCAGATTTGTTCCAGCCATGACACTTAGGTTAAGATATTTCAGACTGCTGTATGACCATATGTTGGACTGTTGCAGGATTACTTCCTGTTCACGGATGAATACGAAGATAAACCCACACTGTACTCGGCCATCAGTAACTATGAACAGAATCTAGTCATCTGTCATGAGGCAGACCCCAAGTGGAGGAATGCTGTCCTGTCAAACATGCCCTCACTGCTGGCTTTCAGGTAGGGTAGTAGTTGTATACTTCATGTATAGGATGATTAAATAATTGACAAATATTTAAATATACATTGTCTGACACGATCTGTTTTTAAAATCCAATAGAGTGTGTAGTTTTGTTTATAAGTTGATACTTTTATTGTTTACAGACATGTGTTTGATGAAGGATTGGATGAGTACAAGGTCATCATGCTCAACAAGAAGTATCTCACCTTCAGGGTGGTCAAGGTGAGACATGTAGTACTGAATGATAAATAGGGTAACTACTATAGACTCAACAAGTAGTATCTCACCTTCAGGGTGGCCAAGGTGAGACTAATATTACTGAATGATAAGTAGGGTAACTAGGTAGGGTAACTACTATAGACTCAACAAGAAGTATATCACCCTCAGGGTGGTCAAGGTGAGATATGTAGTACTGAATGATAAGTAGGGTAACTAAGTAGGGTAACTACTATAGACTCAACAAGAGGTATCTCACCTTCAGGGTGGTCAAGGTGAGATATGTAGTACTGAATGATAAGTAGGGTAACTAAGTAGGGTAACTACTATAGACTCAACAAGAAGTATCTCACCTTCAGGATGGTCAAGGTGAGACAAGTAGTACTGAATGATAAGTAGGGTAACTAGGTAGGGTAACTACTATAGACTCAACAAGAAGTATCTCACCTTCAGGGTGGTCAAGGTGAGATATGTAGTACTGAATGATAAGTAGGGTAACTAAGCAGGGTAACTACTATAGACTCAACAAGAAGTTTCTCACCTTCAGGATGGTCAAGGTGAGACACGTAGTACTGAATGATAAGTAGGGTAAATAGGTAGGGTAACTACTATAGACTCAACAAGAAGTATCTCACCTTCAGGGTGGTCAAGGTGAGACATGTAGTACTGAATGATAAGTAGGGTAACTAGGTAGGGTTACTACTATCGACTCAACAAGAAGTATCTCACCTTCAGGATGGCCAAGGTGAGACTAATATTACTGAATGATAAGTAGGGTGACTACTATAGACTCAACAAGAAGTATCTCACCCTCAGGGTGGTCAAGGTGAGACATGTAGTACTGAATGATAAGTAGGGTAACTAGGTAGGGTTACTACTATTGACTCAACAAGAAGTATCTCACCTTCAGGTTGGTCAAGGTGAGACATCTAGTTCTGAATGATAAGTAGGGTAACTAAGTAGGGTTACTACTATAGACTCAACAAGAAGTATCTCACCCTCAGGGTGGTCAAGGTGAGACATCTAGTACTGAATGATAAGTAGGGTAACTAGGTAGGGTTACTACTATAGACTCAACAAGAAGTATCTCACCTTCAGGTTGGTCAAGGTGAGACATCTAGTACTGAATGATAAGTAGGGTAACTAAGTAGGGTTACTACTATAGACTCAACAAGTTATGATGAAAACAATGTCAATTGAACACAGTCTGAGGTACAACAATTACTGCAGACAGTCTGATGTACTTTTGATGTTTTACTGTGTGTTATATCTGCTTACATCAACTCATCATTAACTTGTTAACTATGAAGCCACACTTTTGGGTTAAACTGGTAACAAACAGAATCGGAGAAGATTCGAGAAATATTTATTATGTTTAGATACAAATCTTTAAATTTGTTTTTTAAAGTAACTAAATTCTATTCAAATTTAGATTAGATAAACTAAATTAATCATCAGTTTTGTATCAAGATTGACAATCTTGTTCCAAATTGATTATAAATTTAGCTTTGTTACTTAATGACACAAGTGGAGTATAGGTATTAGGTTGATGTTTCTAATTAGTAGAGTTTATATCTAGTAAATTGGATGCTTTATATATCGATGAATGCTTGGCTATATGTCAATACAGGCTAATTATTTGCCCAATTAAGTATCCTGATATACAGTATGTGGTAACATTCATACAAATGTTTTCCAGGTCAACCGGGAGTGTGTTCGTGGTTTGTGGGCGGGCCAGCAACAGGAACTCATCTTCCTAAGAAACAGAAATCCTGAGCGAGGCAGCATCCAGAATGCCAAACAGGCATTGCGTAACATGATCAACTCTTCCTGTGACCAGCCCATCGGCTATCCTATCTACGTGTCTCCTCTGACAACCTCCTACTCCTCCACTAACTCACCGCTAGCATCCATTATTGGGGGAGAGTTTATCCTTGCTAATGTCAAGAGCTTCTTCCAAAACGTGTGGAAAAAGTGAGTCATTTTGATAGTGTAAAACCTGCCTATGAATATACGATGTAGTTTATGTTTAGACTCAGTTATTATATATGTTATTTTATGTATCTTTGAGGTCTGTGATGATAACAAGGTGTGACGTTTGTTATATATTTTTATCTAAAACTCCTGTGGTAATTAATGACAAGGTTTGACTTAAGTTACATTATTTATCTGAGAGTTCTGTGATAGTGACAGATGTGATATTGTATTGTGTACCTAAAATGTTATGTGGTGGTAACGAAGTGTGATATTGTATTATGTACCTCAGAATGTGATGTGGTGGTTAAGAGGTGTGATATTGTATTATGTACCTCAGAATGTTATGTGGTGGTTATGAGGTGTGATGATTGTTGCAGAATGAGGCGGCGGTGTGGAGCAACATGTGCTGGTAGCAGTTCTGGGTACTCGGAAGACCTGCCCTACTCTCTCAGCTGTTCCCCTGCAGGAGCAGCCACAGCCCTCGGCAGTATGGGTAAGTACCTCTGTGTCAACACTGGAACATTTGACATTCTCTGATCCAATCCTGATTCATTTGAGTTGAAGTACTTCATAGTAGAAACAGATAGCAATACTAATTAAGACATTGAATTTTGCTACAAATACCTTCCTTCTCACAGAATGATAGATTGATCTGGATTTCATTACATATTTCAGGTCCAAACTCACGCTCCAACTGCTCGACTTCCACTCCTACGAATCAGGAGCTTGCCCTACAGACTTTTGGGAACAGAGGAAGTTTGATCTCCACAACCAGCTCTGCCAGTAAACCCAGTGCTCTTGTTACTCTGGCAGGTTTTATCAGCGAGACCACAGGGAGCAAGGATCCTCTCCCACAGAAAGTCCGGGTATGTGCTTAAGGTTGAGGAAAGTCTGTTTCTTGATGAAATACTAGCAGTACAGAAAACAGCCTGCCTAAAAATTGTAGAGCTAACAACTAAAAAAAAATGTCTCTAGTTTAATTGTGTTGTATTAGCTGTATGTTTCCTTAAAATCAGTATATTATTGTGTAATAATTGTTCTTAAGAAGTTTTTCCATTTGCAATCCTTTGTCATTAGGTGCATGTCATAATTTAATGAGGTTAGCATTAGTGTCAATATTAATCATCTTAACAGTATTAGAATCAAACAAGGAGATTTCCGATATGACATGTTTTCCATGTACCTTATAGCACAAAATAATTGTTCACAGATCACGGACATCACAAAAGTCTTCTACAACATTAACCTTGGTCGTCGAATAGATGTCCAGTGGCCTAATGAAGACTGGAAGCAAAACGGTGGCAAGTCAGGATGGGCAGCCTGGTCACCTGTTGTGGGCATGGAAGGCTGTGTTGTGCATCGCTGGGAACCTTGTCATAGAGAAACAATGAAACGTTCACATGTTGACAAGGTGATACTGTTAGTGCAGATCTCGGACAAGTATGTACCTATCGCTGAGGCTGGGGTGTTAGATCTAGGGGCAGAGGTATGACATGAGGCGAGGTCATCATGGGTATGACACAATTACATCAGACTACTAATATTGTAACAGGGACATCTCATCGCTGTTGTAGGAGCATCTACGGTCGTCATAGAGACACTAACACTGCTACAGTACTTGTCATGTGGCTCTCCATAGGTAGAAGTTTGTGTCAAATTATCCATGGTTATATGACCAAAAGACTTTACAAATGGCTGTCTTGAATGTGCTGTGTAGTGACTCTCATGTTGTGCAGCCATTGGTCAGACGATATATATCATAACACGTCAACCTTCCAAACAGTTCAATGTTGTTTTAATCATCACTACAGCGTTGCATTCCACAGAGATGTGATGACATGAAAGGCATGTCCAACACAATACAGACAAGTAACTGTTACATCTCCCAGCCAGCAGAACAGCTTGGATAACGGAGATCTCAGGTGGTTCAGCTGTGAAACACAGTTGAACAAGTGGAAAGTGTGAGGATTGTGTGAGACAGGGAGGTAACTATGGATTAGTTAAACCTCTGTATTTATCTGTGATTATTTGGAAGGTCTTTACTTGTGATGAACTTCAGCTTCAGCATGGTGAAATGACATTGGTTAACGATACCTGTCACAGGTCAAGTGATCTGTGGTAGGCTACGGGTGTGAAACAGACACTTCTGCAGTTTAAATGAAACTATGTAAAAGAATAATTTCTAAAAGAAACAAATGTATAATTCCAGCCAAAACCAACTAACTGAGCTCTCAGCAGCTCACATCTCCTCAGGAAACAAAGTATACACATCTATCTATATATCTGCTGAATACAGTACATGTATACGGAGGCTAGTCTTTACAGAAGAGTCTAGACAACGGAACATAGTACATGTATACGGAGGCTAGTCTTTACAGAAGAGTCTAGACAATGGAACATAGTACATGTATACGGAGGCTAGTCTTTACAGAAGAGTCAAGACAACGGAACATAGTACATGTATACGGAGGCTAGTCTTTACAGAAGAGTCAAGACAATGGAACACAGTACATGTATACGGAGGCTAGTCTTTACAGAAGAGTCAAGACAACGGAACATAGTACATGTATACGGAGGCTAGTCTTTACAGAAGAGTCAAGACAATGGAACACAGTACATGTATACGGAGGCTAGTCTTTACAGAAGAGTCAAGACAACGGAACATAGTACATGTATACGGAGGCTAGTCTTTACAGAAGAGTCAAGACAATGGAACATAGTACATGTATACGGAGGCTAGTCTTTACAGAAGAGTCAAGACAATGGAACATAGTACATGTATACGGAGGCTAGTCTTTACAGAAGAGTCAAGACAATGGAACATAGTACATGTATACGGAGGCTAGTCTTTACAGAAGAGTCAAGACAATGGAACATAGTACATGTATACGGAGGCTAGTCTTTACAGAAGAGTCAAGACAATGGAACATAGTACATGTATACGGAGGCTAGTCTTTACAGAAGAGTCAAGACAATGGAACATAGTACATGTATACGGAGGCTAGTCTTTACAGAAGAGTCAAGACAATGGAACATAGTACATGTATACGGAGGCTAGTCTTTACAGAAGAGTCAAGACAATGGAACATAGTACATGTATACGGAGGCTAGTCTTTACAGAAGAGTCAAGACAATGGAACATAGTACATGTATACGGAGGCTAGTCTTTACAGAAGAGTCAAGACAATGGAACATAGTACATGTATACGGAGGCTAGTCTTTACAGAAGAGTCAAGACAATGGAACATAGTACATGTATACGGAGGCTAGTCTTTACAGAAGAGTCAAGACAATGGAACATAGTACATGTATACGGAGGCTAGTCTTTACAGAAGAGTCAAGACAATGGAACATAGTACATGTATACGGAGGCTAGTCTTTACAGAAGAGTCAAGACAATGGAACATAGTACATGTATACGGAGGCTAGTCTTTACAGAAGAGTCAAGACAATGGAACATAGTACATGTATACGGAGGCTAGTCTTTACAGAAGAGTCAAGACAATGGAACATAGTACATGTATACGGAGGCTAGTCTTTACAGAAGAGTCAAGACAATGGAACATAGTACATGTATACGGAGGCTAGTCTTTACAGAAGAGTCAAGACAATGGAACATAGTACATGTATACGGAGGCTAGTCTTTACAGAAGAGTCAAGACAATGGAACATAGTACATGTATACGGAGGCTAGTCTTTACAGAAGAGTCAAGACAATGGAACATAGTACATGTATACGGAGGCTAGTCTTTACAGAAGAGTCAAGACAATGGAACATAGTACATGTATACGGAGGCTAGTCTTTACAGAAGAGTCTAGACAACGGAACATAGTACATGTATACGGAGGCTAGTCTTTACAGAAGATTCTAGACAACCTTGATAAAAACAAGGTATTCTGAACAACCTTGAGTAAGTCCAGACACTTCTGGACACTGGAAAATTATATTCATTCAACATCAATCGGTTTGCAATCTTCTTTAAACTGTTTATTGCCTAAGTTTTTTGATGTAAAACTGCTCAAAACTGTAATCTGCTAAATGTAACATATATATTTTATTCCTAATTTTTGTATTAATACAAAAAATGCTGACTGCTTTCATTTTATGTTCAGCTTAAAATTTACATTATTGATTTTAAAATATTTTTTGAAGTTATTTGTGCTCTGTTCACAATTTGCTGTGTATAAATGTGAAAAAGAAAAATGCTTTACGATTGGAACAATCAGTTTTCACTGACATACATTGTCATACTGCGGCATAACGTTGAACAGGAATGGAACAATGCATATCAAATTTGAGACAGGGGAAGCTGGTCTTCCTGTTATAGAAGTGTCGTCCAGTGAAAATTATATCTATGTGCAAGTAATATATAACTATGTAATCACAAAGCCATAAAATAATGTCATTGCTTCATGATATACCGTTATTACAATGAAAAATTTCAATCATTAATGTAGAATTTGCATGAAATATTTTGATTAATTTTTGTCACATGGTATGAAAATTTATTTAGAATGAGGTTAATTGAAATTGTCACATTAGAATTGACAAGATAGTATCGGTGTGTTGTGTAACAGTTGATCTGTAACATTCCCATGCTTAGAGCATCGAGTCTAGGAAGACTCGGCCTGATCATGTGACAGAAATCTTGTGATAATTCTATGTGTGCTGCTACATCTATATCAGTGGACCTATTTTGTTTACATGTTAGATATTGAATATTTCTCTTATGTAATGGCATTTTTAGAGTACAATTTCTAATAATTCAGTCCTCAAGTTGAGAAATGAATTTATAATATCCCACCATTTTAATAAAATAACCCCACTACAAATATGTTATCTTTTTAGATTATGAAAGCAAATAACTTTTTAGATTATGAAAGCAAATGAATATTGTTGTTATAAAAGATTGTATTATAGTCCATACAAGTTCAGATTATGATAAAAAAATAAATCAATAATTGATCAATGACCAGCTTAATGGAAAGTTCATCTGAAATAATAACCAAAATCACATGTATTAGGATTTCAGATGCTCAGCTTATGACAAGAAAGGCAAATATATATTTTATTTAATTTTCTAGACATTCAACAATATATATTTTTGAAAATTTGAATCTTTCAAAAATTTCAGTTTATGCTATATAAGCTTATTAGGTTGTCGGATTAAGGAATTGTCAGTAAGTAGTAATACCTTTTTGTGTGGGGGGGGATCGGGATTACCCCGGTTTAACAAGGTACCAGAGTGTACATATTAGGCTTAAATGAATCATTCCCTGAAGGCATTAATTTCCTGCACATAACATACACTTTTTTAAGTAAAGATTTTAACGACCAAAGCAAGACTTTTTTTATGTAGATTGATACTATATATATATATAGATAATGCTGGCAAGACTCCACAGTGTTCTTAGTGGTAGTCGTAGGAAATCCATGTCAACCCATTGATGTTTTAAACTTCAAAAAACTTATATACAAAATGTATGTTAAGTTCTTATGAATATTATAATTGTTTTAGTGCTTGAAAGTGCTGTGGAACTGGTTACTAGCGATAGTGTTTGTTTTAGAGTGGTATTTACTGTAGGTCCAAAGACAATATATACCTCTTCTTGAATGTCCCAATTACATTTCCTGGATGACAGGATTCTATAACCAGATTATCTGTGTCTGTCTCTGCTATGTTACTTTTTGTATCTGCTTAAAATTAGCTGAGACATTGCCTGCTAGGTGGTTGTGTGACGTAACTAAAGTGACTGAAGTCTCCCAACCATATCATTGTATAGACACAATGCTTGCCAGCCCGTTTCACGTTGGTGCTGGGAGGTAACAGTTTGTATGTCAGTTGTTTGCTGGTGTTTCACATATTATGTATATATATAAACCGGGAATATGGGTCTGTGCAATTCAAAGTATACCGGTCAATATGTCCACATGTAAATGTAACAGGTATCACCATTCACAAAGCTGCAATTAAGTAGGTATGGGAGAGGCCTGACCTTTGAACTTGTGCAGAATTGTTTTTAAGTATAGGGAAGAGAACAGAAAAATGTCTCGGCAGCTCAACAAAAATATTCATATTGTGCATTGTCCACCATTTCCATGACATTCAAATCACATGGAAGTTATTAAATCCTTTATAACAATCCATGACTAGATTGCACTTAAACTTCATGTAGGGAATACTTTGCTTGGAGTTAGATATATTCATATAAGGATCTCTGCATTCATTTGCAAATATTTATTTATGCTTGCTTCCGAAGATATTGGTTTGGTTTAAAGTATTTAACTGGTAGTTGGTTGTTATAGAATTCAAAGCATTACAAAATGATCTTGTATGTTCTAAACTTGGCAAAGTTATGAGTAGCAATCAATTATTTTCAGGAAATGTTCTGGCAATATAACCTACCTACATAAATAATTTGCTATGGTTGCCATGATTCGTACACATATAGGGTCAGATTTGGGGTTTTGTCCATCCTAATTTCTTCAATAAATCATCAATAAAACATGGTGTACAACAAATCTAAGCCTATGATCATTTTCTGCTGTATTTTTTTCAAATTGAGTGAACTGTATATTTATTTATGATTGTAACAGCTAGAAATAAATTATGTTAGCTTAGATAGGCAGAATGCTCTCGTCACAACCAATGAATAGGTGCCGGGGGTGACGTACGTGTCAGTTCTGTCTGTGTTTAAATGTCAATGTCTCTCATTTTTCATTATATTTGTCTAGTACTGCATAACCATGAAATCATTGTACCTCAAAGAACTATGTTACAAGATTTGCCAGTCAACATTATTTGTAATAAATACACTGTATAGGAAATATATTGCTGACTGTAAACATTAGAAACTGGTTTTGAGGATAATTTATACTCCCAAGCTTGGTTAACGAGGCATCATCGTTAACAGCCGTGATGTTTTATTTGTATGTATGCTGTTCTTTGTTACAAATACCAGTGGGTTGAATTTTAGAAATTATTGCAATGATGGTATTTTAATGGTGATTTTTGTTTCCATATTGTGTTACCATAGGTAACTTTAGAAAGTGTAATGGTTTAAATTGTGTCAAATGCACACTTAAGTCAGCAAGTGTCTTTTTAATTTACGAGTATGAGTGCATATGTGAAAATCTGCAGGATGTTTTAATATACAATAGCCATTAATTATACGTGTAATAATGTGATAATAGAAGTATGTAATCGTGTACCAGTGATTGGAAGGGTGTGTCTAGCGAGTGGAGGGACTGAATGATAACAGTTGTGTAGATATTATGTCACGAGGATGTCTATATATTGATGGATGTAAAACATCGATAAAATAAATTTAACAGAATTACCAATCTAGTTAACTTCTTTAGCTTGTTACTAAAAAAACTGCCAGGCCCTGAGTAGTGGGAGTAGTTGATGCGGGGGAACACTGCATCACTTTGACCTCCCCAGTTGTAGCTTGTTGCCTATGGGGAAACACTGCTTTATCTTGACCTCAAAAGTAGTTCTGGCTTGCTACTCTCGAAACACACTGCATCACCTTGACTAAAATAGTAGTTCTGATTTTTTATTTGAGAAAAAATGATTATATTTACCTCCCTAGTAATTGTCAATACTTAAACTTGCATTGACAACCACTGAGCTATGGTCCCATGCCTACTTCAGGTTAGATTTCATTTTATCCAACAGTGAATGTTTGTTATCACTATTCCTAAGAAAATATGCGAGGGATCTTAATCAAATTTCATATGTATGTTCCCCTTTACACGTTGTTGTGCATGTTTACTTTTTAGAGTGATCGGATATACAAAATGGCCGATAGGTGGCCATCTTGGATTTTGACAGTGAATGTTTTTTATTGCTATTTCTCAGAAAGAACTGGAAGGATCTTTCTCAAATTTCATATGCGAGTTCTCATTGATCGATAGTTGGCTTGTTCACTTTGAGAGTGATCGGATAACAAATTTGCAAACAGGCGGACATCTTGGATTTTGAAAATTTTGTAATGGTTATTTCTCAAAAAGTGGTAAGACAGATATTTCTCAAATTTCATAAATTCGCCTTGATCCATAATTGTGCATGTATTATTTTGAAACTGATAGAGAAAAACAAAATGGCCACAGACGGTCATCTTGGATTTTGACATTTCAAGAATATCATCACCATTTCCCAGGAAGTACTTTACAGATCTTTCTCATAGTGCAATGATCAGTTCTATTTCTTTCACATTAAGTATTGTACTAGTAATGTATATGAAACAACAAACTCACTTTGAAGGTTGTCTTTAATACACAGCAGTATGAAGTTTAGATCAAGTTACCTCGGGTGCATTTACCGTTTACATGACTTGATCAAACCGATAAGAGAAAAAAGATCAAACTGACATAGAACTAATGAAGATATTTCTCAATATTTTCTTCAGGTTGGTAAGTATGGATTATCAGAAGGTTTTTTTTACACAACCAATATCATTTTCTATGTGACATTTCGATGATTAGTACGATATGTACACGGTCACCTTCATCAGACAAATGACCAGTGAAGCACACAAAGGTGTAAAATGTGTACGAGTTGTCCATAAAATCTACGCTGGAAACGTATGTACAATAGTTGTTATATATGTACCGAAATGACTCAATTCAGCTACGCTTAGTTAACACTTGGTCATAGATGTGCGAGAGTCTTTGAGCCCCCTCGTCTCGATTTAGAACTGGCCCACAGCGGCGTATCCAGATGGCTTCCTTTATCTGCCGCTTGAACAGATTGCTCTCTCTGTCCAAAACTTTTGGAGTTTATATCTCAGTCAATCACATGGTTTTTCTGTGTGGCATGGTCTGTGATTGCAAATTTATTTATCTGGGACTCAGACTGTTTTCTTTCTGATCAGGTGAACTTCTTACCTTCTTGGCTGTCTGTCTTTCTGGTGTTTACCAAGGCGGACCCCAAAGGTGTTTTATCCTTAGGGTGTACTAGGATCTTGTGGGGCTTCATGGCTATTGCTATGCCATGACCGCGATATACCCTTTATATACAGGATGACCACTTGACCTTTGGTTTTGTTCTTATCCTTGATTGGCCTATTCTTGTTCTTCTCCTTACTTCGACACTGTTTTTTTGTCTGATGAAGGTGACAGTGTACATATCGTACTAGTCATCAAAACTTTTATTGGTCGTGTAAAAAGAACTTCTCATAAATTAATGAAGATGGTACATGTACGATGGTGGGAGCGAAGATCCCTCTGGGATATCTTGTTTAACTTTTCCCAAGTTTTTATCTGTGAAAATCTGTGGAAACCAATATATCCACAGATGGCGAGAGCCCAGGACGAAGTACTTTAAAATCAAGTTTTACTGAAAAGAATCCCAAGGTCACATAGATAAAATAAAGTACTTCGTTTCTGAAAGGCACACAGGCCATTCAATTGACTGATTTTTGCAATGTGATGCTACAGGTATGTTATTTATAGGCATTTGACTTGGTTGCACAATATCTATCCTGATTATCTTGTTCACTTGAGCTGGTGAAACTGAGAGGACTACAAGTTTTAACATGTCCATCAACAAGTGAACACAAACAGGTTAAAAACTCAATTTCTAAAATGTTTTGAATAAAATGTTGTCCCCTCAGGTGCAACTCGAGCTTTTTCCAAGGTCAAGGTAAGTTTCCCAATTACAGCTGAAAGGTTAACCATCAAATTTCATCTATCAAACGATTTTTGTAGATATTTTGAAATATGTATAACCACTTGGCAGTGTCCTGTTCAACCTTCAGCTTTACATATTACCTACAGTAATACTAAATAAAGCCAGACATGATGATGTGTAAACTTTTTAATGGAAAAAAAATATCACATTGTTACTCAATTGCATCTTGCAAAAACACAATTTACAATTCTTAAAATAAATCTTCCAAGAAGAATGAACTCTTAATCATTAATACCATGCATACATTTGTTAAGTAATAATGGATTCTAGCAATTTTCCCTAAATCAAATGAAACTTTAACAGACAAGTTGAAGAGAGCCCTCAGGAGAGGTAGGGTGGGGGTGCACCACATCCTCCAGAAATAAATCCTGGGCAATCCTTGCCGATACATCAATGTTTTTATTAGGAAGGGGCCAAGCTTGTTCAATTCTGGACAATTCTATTTTCAGCAACAGTGGCCTAGACCTATGACAAACCACCCCTAAAATGAAAAGCCTCAAACAGGGAACTCATATACCAAGACTTGACTAAATTCAGATCTGAACAAAATTTTATTTGAAGTGACCTTGCGCCGACCTTTGATGAACCAGTGAATTAAAATTAATAAAGTTCTCTTTCCTTGGGCAACTCACAGTCAGTTATGTAAAATCATTCATTCTGAAGATAGCATAGGGACAGAGTGATCTTGACCATTAATGGGTCTTCCTCCTCAATAGGTCAACTATCATATCAAGTCTGATCTTTGGATCATTTGTTATGGGGATCAAGATAAAAAAAATACTATGTTTAGTAACGGTGACGTTGACCATTAACAAACCATGCCAAAATTCAATAGGGTTCCTCTTTCCTGGGGCAACGAACATAATGAGTCTTGAATTTTATGCTATCAATAGTCTTAACAAGAACATTATATTTTCAGTAACTCTGACCTTGACCTCTGACAAATCATTCCCTAATTTACTTAATGATGTTCTTCATCTTCTCAAGGGTAACCAATGTATTCATTTTGAACTTGGTTTGATTATTTGTTTATTCTATGTTGATCAAGATACGAACAAGAAAATATTCTATTTTCACTGATGACCTTCACTTTTGATACATGCCACACAAAAATCATAGGATCATTCAATAAGTTATCTGGTGATTTTAATTGTATTAATTTTAAGTCACCTTGATTTTTGATTGACTTCGATTAAAATGAATTGGGTTCTTCCTCTTGGATCCCTAGGGCAGTTCACATACCAAATCTGAGCTTTAAATTTGTTTAATCACTTGTGCTAAAAGTTTGAACCAGAAAATAAAATAAGAAGCAAGTTTCCAGGATAAAAAGTACAAATGGATGGATGTTCATCTAGCATTATTGCTACATCCCCTTGAATCTTTCTGACGGAGACTAATAACTACTCGACAGGATGACCAGGGTATGCTGATTTTGAAGTATTTCTTTAAGGATTCATTTTTGGTGAGTTCGGTGGAGCTTTCTATAACTCATCTTCAATATATATATAAGAGCTGGAGGTAACATAACAGTATCTATGGCTCCAAGTCATTCAAAAGAACCTGTTAAAAAGATTTAAACATTTGACCCCTGTGACATTGAAAGTCAAACAAGGACATTGAGATGAACAAACATTATCCCTTTATCCCACCAAATATCACCACCATAGACCTTTTGTTTATTGAGATGAGATAGCTTAAAGGTTTGAACACATTGGACTATATGTGACCTGGAAAGCGTGTCAAGATCATTAATATGAACAAGAGGCCCATGGGCCTTAACGGTCACCTGATATATTTATACAGAGAGTTGATTTTGTTTTTAACATGAACAGAAATATTATTCAAAGTGACTAAACACAATAAAACCACCTTATTCAATATCTAGCATACAGATTTAAGACTAAAAAGTATTTGAAACTAGCACCTCTGATTCTAAACAAGGAAAATGAAGAAATGTTAGCACACTGACTCCTTTGGGCCCCACCCTACAGCCCTTGAGGGTAGGGCTGGCTCAAAATTTTCAAAGTATCAAACTGTCAACTCAAGGTTATAATTCCAATCAAGTTATTAACATGTAATATTCAAAGTATCATTTGCCATTATAAACCATAATAAATCCCCTTCCCCATGGGGTAAACGTGAGACCCTAGGGTCATAAACCTTAAGACCCTTCCATCTATGAAGAGTATTTGATTCTACCATATCTGGGTCTTGAGAAGAAGATTTTTGAAATTTCAGTCAATTCGACCCTTTTTGGCCCCACCCATCAGCCCCTGGGGGTCAGTCAGGGCTCATAGGTGCATACTATCAAACTGCTACCTAATACTGATAATGCTAACCCAAATTGAATTACTTCCAATGGAAATTAAACAAATGTTGGTCCAAAATGTGATTTCCCTATATAAACTATAGTAAAGTTTACCCCCTCCCCAGGGGGAAACACGAGACCCCAGGGTCAAGAAATTCACAATTTTGGTAAAGCACCTTAAGACCCTTCCATCTATGAAGAGTATTTGATTCTACCATATCTGGGTCTTGAGAAGAAGATTTTTGAAATTTTAGTCAATTTGACCCTTTTTGGCCCCGCCCCTCAGGCCCCTGGGCGCTTGGGACTAAACCGGCCACCATTTTTGTTGACCTTTGTCCATGAAAGGTTCCTGCAAAATGTCATTGAAATTGGTTCAGGGGTTTTGGCGAAGAAGTCGAAAATGTAAATTGTTTACGGATGCACGACTGACGACGACGGACAAAAGGCGATCGCAAAAAAGTTGATAGCTCTTCATCTAAGCATGCTACTAGCCAAATATCACCATGCTATACATTTTGGTTATTCCGTACAAGTCATTTACAAGTTTTAACATATTTGACCCTTGTGACCTTGAATATCAGTGCAGGTCCTTCATCCCACCATGCTACTGGCCAAATATCATCACCCTAGAACTCTTGGTTATTTAGAAGAAGCAGTTTATAGTAAAACATTGACAGACGATTCGCCACAGCATAAGCTCACTAGGCCCTTCGGACCAGGTGAGCTCATAAAACAGAAATAAAAAAAGAAAACTAGCACAATCATGT